TTTTAATTTCTATTGGTAAATCATAAAATATCATATAATATAATATAATATATTTAATTATTTAATTATTTAATTATTTAATTAGTAATTTTCAAATATTGAGAAAACTTTTTCATAAACATTTTATCTGGGTTCTTTTCTAAAAGGTTAATATATAAAAAACTATGCGGTTCATCAGTGGCAGTCTCATATATTTTATAAATTAGTTTCTTGCTTTCATGTAAATTATCGCTTCTAACAATTGCTGATAATTCATCTTGCAATATTTCTATCTCTTTAAAATTTCTAACTTTATAATAAAACAAATGACTTATATTTACTCTAATAATTGGTGGTACGGTTGATGATTTTTGAAGACTTACAAGTGTTGATATTCCACTATGACGACCTCTACAAAATAAAGAATTTAACAATTTGTTATTTCTTGTTATTGCTGGATTATCAGATACATCATCCAAAATTACCAAAATATTAAATAATTTCTTCGTTCCTTGTTTTTTCTGGTATTCAATTATTTTATTTTGAGTTTCTATAACTCTTTCTAAATCTTCAACATTGAACTCATCCCACCAACACGGTTCTTTATCATTATCTACTTTCAAACCTTCCTTAATGTATTTCTTCACTGGCAACCAAATACTATCCAAATTTACTGATGGAGACCAGATAAAAATTCTTTCAAATGCACCTCTATAAATATCAAGTATCATTGATACAAGTAAAGTTGATTTTCCACTTCCAGATGGTCCGACAATCATAGCTCTCATAGGCAATTTAGGGACAACCTCATGCTTACTTTGCTTAAAGTCATATTTGATTTCATCAATTGGTTTTACATCAGGCATAATAAAAATAATATTATAAATACTTATAAAATAAAAAACATATAATATAATTATATCATAATGGCAATAGAATCTATTAATTTAAGTGAAGTGGCTAGTATTCGGAGGATATATAAATTTGGTGATATCTTAGTGCCCGACACTGAACAAATATATTATGATACAATGTTATACTTTTTATCTGCAATTAAAAAACAAAATATCGTAGTATCCAAGTCCTCAATTGAAAATGACAATAACCTAGATTTTAATTTTAGAAAGTTAGTAAATTTTATGAAAGATTATCCCGATATGTATACAAATGAAATGATAAATAGTGTACAAGAAGTTATTGATATTAATATTAGAGATGTTAGTCTATCAACTGCAATAAAACTTACTAAAGAAAATAGTTTAAATACATATTCTATTTAATATTAATGGAACCTCTTTTTTATGATATGCTGGCAGTGAATATCATAAAAATGGAACAGGCTGTCGCGAAGCTTCGCGAGGCATCGCCGATGCGTCCATTGTTTTCAATCAATAAGCATTGAAGCTAATTAGTTTGATGCATTGTAAAGAAAACCCCAGTGCTGAGCCCCACCAATATTCTATTATGCATGAAAATAATAAGATTAAATAACTATTTTATCTTATTATTTATATGAATATGAGTTATTCGGATTATATTGATATAATAAATGAAGTAGAAAATATAGAACGGGTTGTCATAACTGATAATAGATGTAAAAAAATATGTTGTTTTATTTTAGAATTAATTAAGTTTTTGATACAATATATTAAAAATATAAATATTAATATAAATGCCAAAAAAGAAAACCAAAAAGAATAAGATAGGTTTAAGTGTTTCTTCAACAGATGAAGATAGCGGAGAAATTGTTAAAGAAACATCAGTATTTGAGATTGCTTGTCCTATGTGCAAAAAGATGTTGGAACTTAAAAATGAATTAGAAATAAAAAATAATAAAACATGTAAATGTTCATGTATTCCGACAAGTTTCAAAATAAGTAAAAATGATAAGAAAATGAATATTGATAAAACTAAAGACAGTATCAACTTAGAAACTGATGTCCATAGTATAACTTTTAAATTTGGTAGGCAAGCAACACCAACCGATAATAATGAAAACGAAACACAGGAAACTGTTAAACAAATGATGAAAAATTAGTATTTAAAGAGTAGATTTAACATAATTGCACTTTATAAATGTATAATTAAATAAATAATTATCTAAATAAATATATAGTAATGTCTGAAAATGAGAATTATACTATTAATGATTTAATGAAGAAGATAACATTAATTGGTAAAATATTAAAACCTTAAATGATATGATTAAATCCATTGATGACAAAATGAAACCAGTTGAAAGCGAACAGCAGGAGAAGGAAAAAATCGAAAAGATATTTCAAGCAAAATCTATAAGAAGACCAACGGGCGACTACCCTACAAAGCAAAAGAAATACTGTGAAATGTTGAATACAGGAAAAATCAAGCAACCAAAGCAACAAACATTAGACTATTATAAAATTTCAAAAAATGATGATGGAGCATATGCATTATTTGAATAATTAATAATCTAAATAATTCTAATAAATGAATTTATTAGAATTATTTAGCGGAACAAAAAGCGTCGGAACCATAGCAAAGTCGCTTGGATTTAACGTAATATCATTAGACTTGAAAAATGCTGATATCAACACTGATATTTTGGAGTGGGATTACAAACAGTTTGACAGAAACCATTTTGATTTTATTTGGAGTAGTCCTCCATGCACTGAATACAGTGTAGCAAAAACTAGGGGAACTAGGAATATCGAATATGCAAATAATATTGTCTTAAAAACTATTGCGATTATCAAATATTTCAATCCTAAATATTTTGTAATCGAAAATCCACAAACTGGAGTATTAAAAAATCAGGAGTTTATGGATGAGTTTGGTTTTAAAGATGTAGATTACTGTAAATATGGAATGCCTTACAGAAAACGCACTAGGCTCTGGAATAACATTACAACTTGGAAACCTAGAGAATTATGTAAAAAGGATTGTGGCAACATCAGGAATAATAAACATATTGAAACAGCACAACGGCTTCCATCAGGCACTAAGGAAAAATGGGGAGACAATCCAACAATACATAAACAGGAAGATTTATACAAAATACCGAGCGAATTAATTTGTGAAATGTTGGTGAGTTTGACGGATTAAGGATTTAGGTTTGGGGTTGGGCTTGAAACTTGAAAACCCAGCCAAAATGAGCACACACCATTTTGGTGTGTGCGCCATCCGTTTTTGGTGTGTGCGCCATCCGTGTTGGTGTGTGCGCCATCCGTGCTTGGTGTCGGCTCCTCTGGTTGCATCGCAAACTGTTTTTTCAGCTCTAAGTGTGTGAAGAGATGGACGAATTAGATTTAGATGAAGACATTAGCCTTCCATAGTTTATCAATTTTAAAAAGCACCAATATTCATATAGATATATCAGGAAACTCTCACCAATTGTCAAACAGGGCAGGGCCCTACATATTCTGATGTGGGGCTCTACATATTCTGATGTGGAGCTCTACATATGTGGATGTGGGGTTGTACATATACATATGTGGGGTTCCACATTCAAAAGGTGAATGTAGTGGATGATGTGGATGTGGAGTTCCACATATGTATATGTTGGGTTGAACATATGTATATGTTGGGTTGAACATATGTATATGTTGGGTTGAACATATGTATATGTTGGAATGAACATATGTATATGTTGGGTTGAACATGTGTACATTTGAGCAATGGAACAACCCATGTTTTCTTGAGGACATGTACATGTTGAACACAACATATGTAGATGTTGAGTGCAACAAATGTAGGTGTTTAAATTATAACCATACTATGATTATAACATTTATACCCTTATATGTTATAATTATAATGTAAAATGACTTAAAGGAATAAATGCTTAATATAATAAGAGCAAAATGCCAATGATAGGAGTGACAGAAGAAGAGCTGGAACAGGATAGAAAGATAATATTGAGTTTCATTAAGGATAATCCCTATCCATCGTATAAACAAGTCATTGAAGTAATTAAAAACGATAAAACAATGAAAGATATATATCTAGATATGTTTGCTGAGTATGGAGAACAAAATCATCAATGGATAAAAGAGATTTACGAAAACATAATGAAAGAAGAACTCGTTAAACGTAATGGTAATAGTATTAATGAAAGAGGAGGAATGACAACAATGCATTGTAATTATTATACTTTGGTATCAGTGTTGCGTTATTTAATACAACAAAGAGCACCAATGAAAGATTATGACGTTAACTTAATCTGGTATAATATCAGAAACATTTTGAGCAGTTCTTGGAACAACATAGGAGACTGGAAACACTAAAAACAGGTTTAATCATACTATGATTATCACATGTAAAATATTATATGTTATAATTGTAATATATTTATCGTTTGTAAAGATTGAATTATTATAATTTGCTTATCTCTTTCAAAGTGCGTTGTTTAGACTTGGTATGCTCTTTTGATTTTTTCGTGCTTTGGCTGTTTGTTTTTGTTTTGTTTGATACTCTTGTGATATTTTTTGTTGGTATGTTGCTTTGTTTTTTGTTGATGTGTGTTTTTGAGTTTGGGTTCTTTGATGATTTAGAGTGTTGCTGTTTTGTTGGTATGCTTGTTTGAATTATTTAATGTTGCATGCTGTGATTAAATATTTTTGTTGCTGGTTGTGATTATTTATTTTGTTTGCTTGTTGTTCTGGATTTTGTTTTCTGTTTGTTGTGTTGCTGTTGGAAAAAAATAGTAGAAAGAATAATTCTTTGAATTCTCCTTTTACTATTTTTTCCCCCCCCCCCCCCCCCCCCACAACTTCGCACACTAACTCCCAGCGCTTCAAGAAGCGCTTTCCGTCATCTTGCTTTAATCTGTCAAAGGCCCCAAGCATTCAATAGTGTCAATAGTGTGTGTTTTTGAGAGTTGTAGGACTTTCAGGTTTTTTGTGGCAAAAAGTGCTACGATCTCCCGAATAGCCAGTCAAAGGCAGAAGGTCCAGGCAGACAAATCAACTGGGTTCCCATTCCTCTTTCAGCTGATCGATCATCGGACGGTGACTCTCATAGCTCCAATGTCCTGCCTTGTGCAAATGGCGATCAGATCTGTACCCAACATGGGCCAAGGGGAACTTCTCCAGAAGGACCACCCAGGGTTGGGCTGCGGCACCCCCTTGTTACCCTTGAGTGCTCCAAATATATTCGGTATGTCTACGGGTTTCAGTTCTTCAGTTGCTGCCAGAGACCATTTCGTGGGAACTCTCTCGGCCCCCGAACCCCAAGTGGCTGTGGACCCAAAATCAGGAAATGGAGCCCTGGCATGTGAACACATGGACCGAAACCTGCGATCCCCTGGCGGTTTAATGTTGACCCACATCCATATATACCACCAGCGCGGTATATCCCCCTTTTACAAGTGGATGAGATACCCTCCATGCCTCGAAGAGCCCATCCCTAGTGTCTTTGAAGCAGGGTTTGATCCGTTTTTTTGGTGGGGGAACACGTCAACGACGCGAGGTGCCTCTGCACGCCACGGACACGGAGGCAACGTGCGTCACCTCGGCGGCCAAAGGTTTGGGGGGCGATGCGGTAGAGATCATGCAGACCTGCGGCCAGGGACTCACTGCCGGGAACCCGAGTGAGCGAAAACGGTGATTTTTCCCTAAGGGTCTCGACTGGTTTTGGGACTTCAAAATGCGAAAAGTCAATCCAACCTCGATTCGGTGACCTTCAAAAGTAATCTGCATGGCTGATTAAAGTTGCGAGAAGGATGTGGCAAGCTGCCGGAAATCCTTTCGAACAAGGTTCATTGAACACCAGTGCACATAGAACGATGTATTTGAAAAAGGTCAGGGCCCAGCCATTCCGCTTGCTGGGGGTTTTGAAGGCATTGCACAAGTAGTCGTTGGGCCGCTCAGGAAGGGGGTTGGAGACATGTTCGCAACCTGTATGAGCCTAAGCACCTTGCGCCCTCCCAAAGGTGCTTTTCCCGCGATCCAATGCCGCGAAGAAGGCCGAAAAGGGCAACACCCCTAGGGCTCCAATTGAAAAGGATGGCCTTTAGGAAGCGGCCTTGTTGTTGTGCACAAGGTTCTTTGTCAAGATGGGAAGATTTCTTGGGCTTATGGACCCTTCTACACCCCATGGGCCCTCAAATAGCTCTTTTTCGATTGCCCAGGCAGTAGTCGTGAGCCAAAAACATAAATTGCAAAGCCCGACAATAGGTAGAACCACGCCAGTGTTCTGGCTTCAGTGTGCCGAAATGGGGTTTGGGGTCAATCCGACGTCCGCGGGGCATCTCGGGCGCTTCTCCCGCGCCGAGCTCTGGAATTCCCGCAGCGAGAGTGGGCTGAGGCCTCAGGCGTGGGCTTCAGCTACGTGACGCGGTGGTCCCAGCCTTCCGACTGGCCGGAGGAGGAGCCCCCGATTTTGAGCGAGGAGCTGCTGATCCCGGCAGGCGGTCAAAGCCTAAGCCGCTGGTTCTAAGGCAACCCCGAACATGGTCCAATGCTTGTTTTTTTTTGGGGGGTTATGTGATATTTGCCGCCAGGAAGGTGTTTGCTTATTTGGGGCTTTCTTTGTTGTAGTTTCGGGAAGTGTAGTAATAACGTTACTCAGATGCATGTTTATGCTGCTTTGCTCCCAAATGAAATTCAACTGCTTGCACATTGCCATGGTCAACGTACCCTTTTACTCGCTGCAGGCATGGTCATGAGTGCCAAAGGGATTCAGGCTATGAGCAACCAAGTCCAACAATGCTGTTGAAGCAGTCGTTGAGGTCAGCAGATGTTGGTTTCATGGTCCTGCCGCCGCCACAGCTCTGCGCCCGACTCCCGCGCGCCTTCGTCGCGCCTGCGCCGCGAGCCGCGTCCCGTCGCGTCGCGCGCGGGAGGCAGCCACGTGATTCTGGACGTGCAGAGCGGAGCGCTGAGTTTGTTGCGGGTGGAGGGCCACCTGGAGGTGGACCTCTCGCGTCAGGACGCGTGCGGAGCCGCAGCCGTACGGGTCCTTAGACTTTTGGATGTGAGGTTAGAGTTGGATTATCACATATAATGCTACGAAGTACTTGGCAAGGGATGAATGAACCACCAAGAAGAATGGGAAGCCTCAAGATGTGCAGATCCTTTTGAATTCCCTTTCCAAAAGTTTGAGAGATCGGAAGGCTTTGTCGCCAAACATGGGAACCCTCAAATACTTGGGTTCCTTTTTGAAGTTGGCCTTGAAACCAATCAACAAGTAGCCCCCTGAAAAGGACACACCTACAAATGGGGGGGGGGTGTGCAACATATATGTTCCACGGCCACAAAGGCAGAGGGAGAAGGCCGTGGCATGCTTTTTCCCTTTCCGCTCTGTTTGTCGCTTCCCTAAACCCATCCGCAAAGAAGCAGATGATGGAGGACGAGAGAAAGAGAGCTCACCATCAGCAAGGACCCATTGGAAGGGTGTCAGGATTCTTATGGCATCCTTTGAAAGGGGGTGGTTCAACCGCTTTAACTGGATCCCCGTAATCTCCAAATACCATCACAATCTCTTGAAAGCATGATGTCCGCTCATTTGAAGCCAGCCGAACATATACCTTGGAAAGAATGTACAACCCGGACAAAAAGACACAATTGATGTGACACAGGGTGGTCCTTTAACGAGAATAGCTCACATTCTAGCCCTCGCTTATGAATGCATTCGACGAATGAGATTGGGGGGGCGTTGGGGATCATTGAGGGCTGGCAGTTTTTGAGCCTATGTTGGGTGTCCTGAGGCTGGCGTTGTTTGCTTTGCTGAGCGCTGATCCGTTTGCTTACCCTGCAATTGCATGCTGGGCTGGCACAAACGGTAGGAAAAATGGACGGACTTGCCCTAGCCCAGTTTTGGCCGTCACTGCAAAGAATAGTCAGTGTTGTTTGACCCACTTTGGCATCATCCACGATTCGGTCGCTTGCAACTCAACAACCAGCCGTTTAGCCTCCCATTGAAGGATCCGTCCATTGATACTCCAAATACCCGGTTGCTTTTAGGTATATCCAAGGCATTTGTACCTCACAGCTCTGGCTTGGATGGTTGCCTGGGCGGTCGTTTGTTTCTACCAAGGCTCCCGGATGCCCAGCTGAGTTTGACTTGCATCCAAAAAGGGTTCCAATTATTTTTTTCCAGGGTCACTCAACAACTGAGGATCATGTTGAGGAGATGGGGAGGGCCACTAGACCCAACTCGCAGGACCTGGTGCTGGAGAGCGAGCGCATTTGGCTCCGGGGCGGGCGCCTCACCGCGGAACCGGACAGGCGCGGTGAGTCGGTGAGTCGGCGAGTCGAGTCGGGCAGTTGCGGCCGTGACGTGAGAGGCAAAATTTGGAATCGGACATTGGTGGCTCCCATCCATCCGCTTCCTTAGCTTTTTAGCCTTTTAGTGTCTAGTGCGGATTTCCATTGAACCCACTAAAAGTTAAGCTTTTAGCAGGGGGATCTGAGGACAGCCCAGCTAAATTGTGTGTAGGTGAGCCTCAACAGACGGACAATTGTCTGGGTGTGTTTGCTCTTAGGGGATCCCGAAAATGGATGGTTAACCTTCGGGCTTCCGTTTGACCACAAAGAAAGGTACCCTTGAAACAGCAACACTCCGCATGTGATATTTTAGGGTACACCAACGTGGTGAACATCGAATGTCGGGCCAGGACAGACACGCAGTAGCCGTATCTCCAGAAACTCTTTTTGTTGTGCAGTGTGGCCGTGCTTTTTCCTGGTTTGAAGAGCAACGCAGGGAAAACACTCAAGCTACCCTAAATCCTTTTAGATACCCAATCTACCCTCCCGTCCAACATGGAACTGACCCGAGATTTGGTCGCTTTCAGTTCCAAACAGTCAGATTCCAGGTTAGAGGGGAATACAAGGACCTAACAGATAGAATGGGGTTAGTTGGAGGGATCTTCAACACCAAAACAAGTCATGATCACGCTTGGTTCTTGTTCTCCAAAACTATTTTACAGGCCAGCAGCATATCTTTAGTGCCCTTTAAGGAAGGGCGCTTGACGTGTTTTGAATCGAGGGCACTTGAGGCCATGTCGGTGCCGCAATTGACCCTTTGATTCGTTTGCTAAGTGCCCGGTTTGGCTTGATAGGGGTTGGGATCCTGTTGAAATCGAACAGCTACCCGTGTTGAAGTGTGACAACTGCGACATTTGATTGGGGCCGACTCGGAATGGCCCGAACAATGGCGTTTTGAGTGTCAAAGCGTTTCATTTCAGTGTCAGTGGGGAGTGCGAATCGAGGTCACTTACCCCTTGAACAGATCACTTACGCTAGTGTCGGTACCCCCTGCGTGAGTGTCATTTGCGTGTCGCTGTAGCTCGATTTGCCCAGCGTCGGGCCCCCGCGGTGTGAGTGTCATTGGCTTTCACGTGTCCCTGCGGCTCGATTTGCCCCAACTGGGGAGGGATCTGCTGGGGAGGGCAACCCTGAGGGTCTAAGTGCCCTTTAAATGGCTTAAGTGACCTCTTTGATTTTGGACTAAGTGACCTTATTCATTATTTTCAAAATGGATCATAGCACTCAAGAAATGAATCGAGGGCACTGAAAAGAAGCTGGGGGTTTTTATTTTAGTATAGATTAGACATGGAGCAAAGTCAGAACATATTAGCTTATATATCTATAATTACCCCGGATGCGGGCCAAGACAACAGATACATGTGTATGTGTGTGCGCGTGTGGGTGGGTATATCTAAATGATTCAGCTTCTGTATAACGCAATCTAAGCATCAAACAGGTGCTCAAGAAGGCACTTGATCCTTGCTGATCTGATGCTTTCATTGCAGGAACTCCAGCTTCTCCATCCACATGGCCGAGAGTGAGGCGCTTGCTGGGGGATTCGACTGGTGCTTGTGTTTCTTGAGGCTGGGCGGGCGGTACCCTTTCAAGAACTGCTCATGTGAGGTGCGGTCAAAGGATCTGCTCCACAGTTCTTATAGGGGAACTGGACCTGTGGTGGGGGGGGGGCATGCTCTAGGTAGTTCGCAACCCGATGTTTGTCATTGCTCTTGGAACTAAACGCATCATTGGACAGGCCATATGAATTTTGAATGACCGAGACCCAGCCTCCTCTCAGGGCCCCTCTCCTTGCTGTCCGCTGACGAATGAACGCTTTGGAGTCTCCGCACGAAGCTTTTTGATTCCGAGCATTCAGGAAGGGTTCCAGAGGGTTCCGTGGTTGGGCAGACCTCAACTGGTTCTGAAGTTTCCTGGGGAGCCACCTCGAAAGTGGTTGGTGCACAGGAATCCCCACCTAAATTTGATGTCCAAAGGATGCCGAAATCATTTTGTATGCCCAACTAGTTTGTCCCAAGGTCAGCAAACCCACTTGGGAGTTGTTGTTTGGCTTGCGGAACCCACTTAGGAGTTGTTCTTTGGCTTGCCCTTACACCAAAGAGGATACAAAGAAAACATACAAACCATAGCCTCAAGGGTCATGACCCCCTTTTGACCCAATGCAGACCCCATAGCCATATGGAACCCTCCAATGGAGAACCCATGCCGACCAGTTCCTTGGGTGCCCTTGAAAGCAAAAGCAACCCTCCATTGAAGGGTCGAGCCTCCTTTGGATCCGGCTTCTCAAGAAGGATGCCGTTTTCAATATCGCCCAGTGCTTCCAGGCAAGCCGCTATAGTAGGTAACCATGTACCCAGTGCTTCAAGTTAGCGCCATGCATGGCTACCTCTAGGTTTTACATCATGGTTTCCTCTGCTGAGCCATAGGGTTCGTATGGCTACCTCTAGGTTTTACATCATTTTTCCCATGGTTTCCCCTGGATAGCTATAGTGGCTCGCCTGGAAGCTCTGGGTGAGCTCTGGCTTGGCCATCCAAACGCTCGCGAGGTGGTTTCCCCGGAGGTTCCAGGCGAGCCGTGTCGATGGTGGGAGGGGAGTGTTGACCCCAGTGTGGCACAAAAGGAGTGTGCAAGAAAAAGGAGTCCTCGGAGCTTTCTGCGAGAAAATGGGTTCAGGTGCATTTTTGGTTTGAAAGGGTGGAGAAAATAAGCAGGGACAAGAAAAAAGGCGTCCGTTTGGACGCTAAGTGCGAGGAGAGACCGCAATTCTAGCGCTTCTTGTTTCCGTGTTTGGGGGGATCCCTTTGCTGCAAAGGGTATTGCAGGTTGGGCGTTTAAGGCAAACTTGTCACAAACCTCCGCCAGGCAACCTTCTGCTGCTTGCCAGTTTCATTTGGGTTGACCGCCAAAGTCGGGTCTCATGTCTCGTCAGGCGAGCACCTGGTTCAGTTGGGATAGCAAAGCCTAAAGGGGGAAAGGCAGTGGACCCTCCATAGGGGAAAGGGACCTCCTTTGGAAATTGTTGGTTGCCTCAAAACGGATGCCTGTGTGAGATGCTTAATGTGTTTTGCCTCCCAAATGTGCAGTCCAAATGGGTCAAATGTGTGTTTGCATATATATATATATATACACACCATATATATATATATACATATATATACATATATATATATATATATACATATATTGCCCACCTGTACCCACAAATTTGGAGCAACTGACGCCCATTTGAGGTCATGGAGAGTTTCTAGGGTGGTCGAAAGAAGACTTTTAAAGGCCAAAACTCCAGACCACACTGTACAGGCCCAATTGGGGAGCCCTGCTTTTGCTTGGTCCCTGGTCACAACCGTGGTTTAGACCAAGCCATAGTACACCATGGCTTCCAAGTACCAGTCTCCATGTCTCCCCCCCATTTCTTGCTTTTGGAGACAATTTCAGCGTAGACGTCTTGGGGCGCCCTGCCCGTGCCCGCGCGCCTTCCCGCGCGCCGAGTCGCGTCTTCTCGCGCCTCGCTTCGCGAGAGGTTTGGGGCATCTCCAGCTGTTGGTCACCGACCGCCAGACTGAGAACTCCGCCTGGCCGGAAGCGCAGGGCAGCGCCTGGGCTCCGATTCGATTCGACTCCATCCGGCCGAAGAAAAGAAGCGACCCCAGAGGTCCAAATCCCCAGGTTCCGGGCCCTGGTTTTCTTGGCACGGGCCTGCGACGCTGGAATCGCTGGGTTTTCAGCGCCCACTTGTTACTGCTTCCTTCGGGGGTTTGGACATGGGCACGAGCAGTGTTTGGGAGGTGCTGGGTGGAGAACCTTTGGAAGGAACTCCCAAAATGGTGGCGACAAGCTGCTGGCCAAGTGTCATATCCTTGCACAATTGTGGTTACAACGGTCATGAACCGTATGTCTGCGGCTTCATTTTCTTGGGTATCCTCCATAATTGTGTGTGTGTGTAGTGTGACCACTTAAGGGAACCCCAAAAGGGGTCTGGTGACCCTTAGGAGAACCCTAAAATAGAATTGTGCGCAAGTTGTTGTTTGTTTGTTGGTTCTCTTCATTTTTAGCAGGGGGCTGCAAACAAACAGCAACAAGTTCTTTGTTCTGCCAGGGTAAAGGTGTGGCTTGACCCAACCCGGGTGTCACTCTCTCCCAACCCAAGGCCTGCACCTGGGCGCGCCACTGCAGAGCCACCGCTCCTCGCTGCTCGCCCACCCGGTGAAGAGCGGCAGCCAGGCACTTCGGAGGGCGCCCGGTCCGAGCGAAGGAAACAAATCCGCGGCTGGGTGTGGTTGTGTTGGCCTTTGGCGAATTGGTGGATCAGTAAGGGTCATGAAACTTGTTGCTGTAAGGGTCATGGGTCGTGAAACTTGTTGCTCTAAGGGTCATGTATGTTTGATGTCCGTATCTTCGGACTTGCTTCCTTTAAAGCCCTTTTGAGATTCTTTAGTTTTCCCCAGATTGGACCTGAAGGTTTTTCTTCGACGTACCAATGGGCCAACGCGCAGGTGCTGGAGCTGCGAGAAGCTTTGGACCTAGATCTCGGGGACCAGGTGCTGGTCATGGGCGGCTCGCACTCGGCCACGGAGCTGCATGCGCCTTGACTACGTGCGTTAGTTTAAGCGGTTTTGGGAGTGGAACGGGGTCTCACCACAGGTGTCCTTTTTGGTTGTTTTGCTAGAAACATAGATGGCCCTGGTTTACCGGGTGGTTTAATCATCTACCAGGGCCATCTATTTCCCCTAGAAGGACACCTATGCATCTCACACCCCTTCCGCACCCCAAGCCCCCATGACACAAGTTGTGCGTGTTTTGTTTTTCGTTTTGTGGGAGGAGGACAAGTTTATCAGGCAACACTTCGTTGGTCGTTTGCATTTGGAGCTAAAGCCCTAGTTCTTGTTGAGGGTAAATGGGAAACCGCTAAGAACTCCTCCAAACCATCTCGAAGCCCTAAAGGGAAGCGGAGATATGGGGGCTATCAGCTTGTGTTTGTCTCAACAAATGGGAGAGGTGGATGGTTTCTTTCGTTCTTCCCTGTAAAGGGCAAGTGGTTTCCACTGCTCACTCCCTAAGTTCGTGGTTGTTTTGCTTTCTTACCATGTCAGCGGCGAACAAATGGTCTGGACATGACCCCCAACGCTGCATGGGGCCATATAAGAATGGCCCCTCACAGAATGTGTTTGAGGCCATGGTGTGCCCTTTTGTGGTTCTTCGTCAGACTTTTTGTTCGGGTTTCCGAAAGCCCTTTCCCTGAGGGAAATCTCAAGTGGCGATGGTTTTGAGGGACCAGTGACCAGTACATTGAAAATCCAGTGACCTTGGGGGGGCCCTGTTCGTTTGAGAAGTTCTTCGCAATGGGTTCATGTCATGCCAACTTGCCAGCCGATGGATTGTCTGGAACAGGAGGTCACCTGGCTGGAAGACGGCGGTCGCATTCTTCAGCTGCTCGGCTTTTCTCAGGTCCTTGTCCAAGTTCTCAGGTCCGTGTCCAAGAAGAGACCATAGGAAGCCCAAAGCCCAAGGCCGTTTTTGCTTCGCGGCTCTCAGTGACCCAGTCTTATAGCAGCGCTGTCCTTTTCATCTGGGGCAAGCTTCAGTGTAGGACCTAAAGCAAGGCGTTTTCCCCTGTTAGTTTCCGCATGGACGGTTTGCCCGTTTGCTTACGCTTCCATTAAGCATTGATTCGTTTTTTCAATCCGGAACCGTTCTGAGGGCCCAAGATGCTTAGCTAGGGTACTATACCATCCAAACCCACCTTCTCAACCAGCGGGTGAATTGTCTGCAAGGAAGCTTCGCGCATCACGCGAAGGGAACTGCTCTTGGTAGGTTCCATGTGAAACAACTCTGGGAGTCTGGGGTTTCCCCGCATCCAAAACATGGGGGCCCAACTGAAGAACCTACAAGTAAACCCAGGCGTTGAGGGTTCCCCTTAAGGATGCAGCTGAGGTGGAGCATCTCCGAATGGGACACTCCCCCTGATTCCAATCATTCGGTAGATTTGTTCTGTGATAAGGGAATCTGCTTAGTGATCAAGTGGCCGTCAAATTGAGAACCCTGTTTGGGTGTCACAGGGTCTACTCGGAGCTGGGTGTGCGTCGTGATCTGCGGAAGTTTCCTCCTGCTCACTAGCGGCCTTGCCCCACCACCCACCAGTTATGGGTGGTACCGACCCAAGCCTGTGGGCAGCATATTCATGGGTCAGTTTTTTCATCCTCCAGCTTGTTTGCTGCAGCCAACGTACCGTTATAAGGCCCAAACTGACTCATCCCAAAGCCAGTTGATTTCGACTGCAAGGTTGTGGCCGTTAAATAGCGAGCTCACCTCGAGGGAAAGCCAGTTCAGTATGTAATCCTGTGCTTGGGGATTCCTGGTTTCAGATTTGTGCATGATTGTAGAACTTGCCAACGTGTTTTTCTTGGAGACCCTCCCCCCCGCAAGTCCAGTGGTTGTCCTTTTGGTTGTCCTTTTGGTTTCCCTTTCAGCCCCCCCCAAAAAAATACCCCCAAAAACGACATTTCAACTGGCTGTGGGAACCTGGGTTTTTGGTTGCCACTTTGTAGAATCATAGCTCCTGGAATGGAACAACAAGCATCCAGGTTTGGAGCAACCTTCCTTCAAAGACCCCCAACAAGCTGGCCCAGGCTAATCTGCAGAGCATGTGATTCGATGCTATCCGACTAGTTGAGCTACCAAGTTGAACTCCCATTCCAACGAAGTCAGCTGGTATAAGCCTTCGGAGATTTTTGGCAAGGAGCTCAGCAAACGGTCAACTCCCCAAAAAAGAGAGACCCAAAACACATCTCCATCCCATGTTTCGGGGGAGTTTGGCTCGTTGCGGGGGTTGCTTCAAGTTTTCTGGTCCAAATCGCCTGCCCTCGAGTTTGGCCGCGCCGCTGGCCTTCGACCGGGAGGGCGGCACCAGAGGGCTGGACGCCATCATCGACGAGGTCTTCTTCAACTTTGGCCAGGCGAAGGGGGCATTGACTTTTTCTTATGTTGACCCCCTATTAATCAACCCAATTTATGAATAGGGAGGTGTTCCCCTCCAAAAGTGAACAATCCCCACAAAAACCAGGGACACCCCCATATTAACAAACAGGGTCTATTTTTTGGGGGTGTTCATTACTAGGTCCCCCAGCTAGGTGCCCTTCCCTTTTTTGGTTGGGAGGGTTCCCCCACTAAAATCGACTACAGAAAAATGGTGGTACCCTTGTTCTAACCTCTCTACTGGAGGACCTAGTCTACCTGAACCCTCAAAATCTCCTAAAAAATGGGTTATTCAGGACTGGTGAGACTTTGAGAACCATAGCTCCCCTTGCTACTGTTGACCCCGGGTTCAGAAACCCCAGTTTTGTTCCCTTCCAAAAGTGTTGATTCCCCACTAATCCCAGGGACACCCCCCTATATAGTAGTGAACTGGGGTTGACAATATAGGGTCAACAATACCAGTTTCGTCTACCTGGGTTCTCAAACTACCCTGAAGAATGGAACATCGCCCCAAATGATGGGGCGAATTCTTCTTTTTAAGTGTAGTTTGAGTGTTTAGGTACCTTCAGTATCAGTACGGTGTGTCTCTTTTTGAGGATAGGTCGATGTACCACTAAGTGTGGGACCTTGGTACCCTCCAACTTGCTGGCTCAGCAGGGAATCAGAGGGTTTTTCGGAATCCCAAACATCCCCCTTAACAGGAAACCACATCCCGGATGGTCGGGGTCATTCCCTGCTGAGAACCAGACCATTCACCATGAAAGGCCGTCCCCGTTTTTGTGGGCCACGTGTGAAAGGGAACCCCTCCCCAAAAGATCGTGCTTTTCCTTGAGTTTTCCTGTACCAGAAAAGGTGCCGTGTCCTAACTGGCGGGTTTTCGGATGATGAGCAAATGAAGACGGACTCACCAAGGACCAAACGAGCAAAATGGAGAACCCAATCACAAGCAGAGTGTTGTCCAACCAACTCTGCAAGCAGGGATAGAACCCTGGTTACCACCTACATAGTACCCTCTTTTCAACAATCATTGAAGTGGACGATCAGAGGCGTTGCCAAAGGAACATAGTCTGCCAGCTTTCATGATTGTTGGAGGGAGAGTAAGTTCATAGGAGCCAGCTACAGGAATTCAAGTGAGCAACCCCCCCAAAAAAAAACAAGATGAATTCATCTGTAAACTTGTTCTGCTTGGTTACCTAGAAAGGTACTCTTCTGCAGATTAACATGGAGACCGGCGCCCATTTGTCGAAGGAATCTCCGACTCGGGAACACCTTTTGGGTTCCATGTCCAATTTGTGATAGGGGATAAGTAGAAAGACACCTCTCGATTCTCTACTTCTAAGTCATTTTTCAATGTTTTTGTTAGCGGATTCCTCCAAAGGTCACACCTTTCGATGAATTCCTTCCAGTCAATCATTCCCCTTGGAATGTGTCCTATACTTCTGTTTCCCCCTTTTTCTGGTCGGATTCCTCCCCTTTGGTTGAGGTTTCGACCCTCCTTTGGTGCATCTTGCTTGGATGTGAGGGCTTCAACTTTTTGCCAACTCATGGGTTTTCCGTATGAAACCACCAAAAGTTAGTCACTTTCAGGGGCGCAGACAGCAACCGAGCCCTCCGTTTCGGGGCTTTTCGGTGGGGTCGACCCATCGAGAGGTGGACCTCAGCGCCACGGTGGCCTCCCTCCGCGGCAGCGCCTTCAGCGCAGCAGCCGGCGGCGGCAGCCTCCGCTGCGCCTCGGGGGGCAGCTGCGGCGACTCGACGGTAGAGTGGTCCAGGGTGGGGTCCAGCCATCCAGTGGGTCCAGTGGGTCCAGTGGGTCCAGTTATCTGAGTCCCCTGAGGTGTAAAACTTTTAGTTTAAGTTGGTTTTATTGGGATTTTTTACAGGTGGTTGTTAGGTGGTTTATGGTGGCAGAAGTGGTTTCTGTTTGTTGTTTAGGTGGTTTATGTAAACTACTGAGAGTTGAACTTTTTGCAGGGGATCTGAGAACGGTATATTTGTTTTGGCCACGCAGTATATTATGTATAGGCTTAACTCGCCCCGATTTCCTGGTTTCTGTGGGCATCTGGCGATCGTGACCCTTAGGTTAAAGTAGAGGAGCCCTTTGGGTCAGCTTTCAGTGGTTCACCCCAACGCGGAACAGTCAAACAGCAAATATTTACAGTGCTGACACACAACCGGCCACGGCAACACCGCGAACCTTCACTTCATCGCAGCTAGCTCTGGCTCCTGGAGTGCTCGACAATCGAGCTGCGCGCAAGGCACAATCAAAGCCGGGGTAGATGAAGGTTAGTAAGGGACGATCCCAACCAGAAATAGCTGCGGCCGCCTTGTAAATTCTTTACATGGTTCTGGGTAGACCATTTTAGTACCGGGTTTTGATTGTGACTCATTTCAACAAATTAATCCGCGAGGCGCGGTTGCGCGCAAGCGGCCTTCAGCATGCGCAGAGCGTCTCTGACGCGGGCAGCAAAACGTGACAAGTTTTCGCGGAAGGATGGAGCCTGCTTGCAGCCCCACCTAAAGGATGTGCGCAAAAGGGTCCCGAACTGAAATCAATGGCCATAAGTCACAAACAGTACGCCACCGCTGTGATTCTAATTTTTGCGTTGTAGCGAGATCCAAAACCATCGGTGGGATTCCGCAAGCGGTCTGAAGCTTGAGCCAGAACCAGCTGCCTTATGTCGCTTACCCTCGGGTTGTAAACGCTGGTCTTTTAGTGTGTCCTTAGCCTCTTAGGCCTATCCATTACACCTACAAAAGGGTAGCCCTTTTCTCAGTACCAGGGAGGGGGGATGTACAGCCACCTGAGACATCCTCCATGACAAGGATGGAGGTCCGCCGGACCTGCCAGACAACCTTTGGGGGAAGGTTTGGCGCAGATTCCTGCCAAGCATTTTGAATGACCAACCGGGTCACCAAGGTAACCCGTATAGGGAGGCGGGGTCCGCCCCCAGGAAGCTGGGGGTAATGTAGAACAAGGAAGGCCGAATGGTATTTGATGGTTTCCAGTTGCTCGGGTGCTTCCACCACGTGAGGTATGTTTTTTTTCATGGCAGGGGATTCACCGTTACACCCCAACCCCACCTTCCCGACGTCGCTTGGATTTGCCAAGTCGAGGCGTGCAGGGTATGGTCTTCAGCGGCTGCGGCCAGGTCTCGACAGGCTCGGAAGCTCCAAGCGGCTGGTTTCCCTTTTGGTTTGCTTTTAGAACCTCGCCCTTTAAAAGGAATGTATGTTACAAACAATTACGATTTTAAGTTTGGAATTGAAACAAAAAGCAGCTACCGTTTTTTTGGTGCCTTCAACAAACCGTGTTTTCTTCACGTGGCTTTAATAACCACCTCAACATGAGTCCACGCCTAAATGATGTCCACCAAAACGGTCCCAAATTGAGATGCATGCCCGTGTGCCACCGGAGGTATGGGACTAACAACTGGTTTCTAGACAACTAGTTTTAGCATGACATGTTCCATACAATATCCCCGTAGTCCAACGCCAAGTAGATGGCAAAGGCTCGAACATTGGTCTGAGTTCGGGGTGAAACCAACTGTGCCACTGTCTTTGGAGGCAAAAGTTGACAGACCTCGAGATCGTAGAAACCAGCGAATCATATTATCCTAGGGGAAGCTAGCTCGCCACACACAAGCCTTGGGTGACTCTTGGCTTCCCCGGCCGCAGCCGGGTACTGAGCCCTCCCACCGCGACAAGGTGGTCATCCGCGGGAGGGGAATCCAAAAATTACTTTTTTCTTCTTTGTGCGCGGCCACTTTGCTCTGCTGGTCTTAGCCAGTGCTCGGCGCCGCGCCCGGGTCGCCTGCCTCTTCGGGCGCCCCGGACCGGCTCCGAGCCAGGGCGGCCGCAAATTCTTGCTCGTTGGCCTCGAAGGTCCAACTCGTCCTGCGGAGGCGCGGGGGCGCGAGGCGCAAAAAGGAAAGGTTCCGAGCCTCGCTCGCCCCCCGCCAGTGAGATCCCGCGGAGCTCTCCGACCACTTGAGCCATTTCCTGGACTACCTGACAGAGGATGGGGAGAAAAAATGTAAACGGGCTCGGCGGCTGGCATTGTGTGCCGCCTGGGCCACATCGTTTCTGGCGCCATGTGCCTGCACCCGGAGCAGTGGGCTCCCAGGGTCGAGGCAAAGACCGACTGCGCGGCGGCCTTCAAAAAGAAGCCGTCGGCGAGGCGCCTGACCGCCTGGATGGAGGAAGCTGTGGCGGGCGCGGCGGAGGCCCTGTCCTTGGAGCGGAAGCGCACGCGCGCAACCGCAGATGATTCCTCGGAGAGGCCTGTGAGCTCCGCGGCCTCCGAAGAGTCCTCGTCGTCCTCCGACAAGAAGAAAAAGAAGGCTGACAAGTCAAAGAGGAGAAAAAGACAAAAGCCGCGAAAGCGAAGAAGAGCCAGAAGGGCAAGAAGGCGAGCAAGGAGGGTGGGCGACGTCTCCCAGCACCCGAACTGCCTCCTGGTTAAGAAAGAAGGCGGGGCGGTCGACGGGTCGGCGCGGCGTGTCGGTCGGCGCGACGCAAGCTGAGGAGATCCGCGGCCGCGCGCCAGGGGCCGAGGGCGAGTCAAGAAGCGATCGTCAGAAGCAAGGCGACAGGCAAGCGGCGACTCGCGCTGCAGCAAGCCCGAACAAAGGGCGCCCGCCTCAGCAGAAGGAAGACAGAGGGCGGCGGCTGCGTCCCGCGTCGAAAACACAACACGTTGTTCCGGCTAAGACTCTTGTCCTTTCGACGCGGGACGCGACGGCGAGCAAAGGAAAAGCGAACCTCTACCGCGCGTTGCTCAGCGCTTGGCCAAACAAGCAGGAGAGCCCGACTAAACTCTTTACGCTCATTCTTGGTCCCCCTTGGTTAGGAGGCGGGCGCAGAGCAACGCTGGTTCGAATAAGACCCCCAGCCCCAGCCCTTTTATTTCGGGGAACGAGTTTTGCAAGCCCCTCGGTTATGTGGGTTCTTCCGCGTAAAGCGGCTCGTGTCTGAGGCTTAGACGAACCCCCCAACATAAGAACACGCCCTGTCCCTTCTAAGCTTCGCGTGCCGCGCCCCGCGGAGTTCTCCCGCCGCAAGCCGTGCTGCCCGTTTGCCCAGGCTGCTTTCAGTAATTCAGAGCTGGTTGCCGTCGACGCGCCCTTTTTTTGGCGCCCAATGCCTTAGGGACCAGTCGGTCAGCGGTCATTGTTGACAGCGCAGCCATAAAGGCAATTAAAGAAAAAAGACCCCACAAGGGCTTTGAGGCTCGGGCAAAGTTCCTGAGTTCTTTGCTACAAGTTTTTGAATCAGAGGCTATGGACCGAAGTCGGCGGTGCCGCGAGCTGATCAAATGGGGACCCGTTTTTGGGGGAGGGTTCCCCTACTAAAATAGACTAGATAAAAGGGTACCCTTATTCTAACCTCTCTACTGGAGGACCTAGGGGATGTTGTAAAACAAGCTGAGTTCCCATAAAGCTGCTTTCCTCGGAAGGGGGGGGTGCTCACTGCCCGTTTGTGCAAGGAGGTCTTTGTCGATGGGGATCCGGACTTGCTTATGCGGGTGTCAAAAGGGCCTGTTTGGGGTGGGCCGTGGGAAAGGAGGGCAAGATGACGAGAACCATATTGTCCAAAACAATATCAGCATATTCAATATGACGAGATTATATTTTGACGAGCCAGCTTTCCTAGAATGAAAACCGATCCCTGTTAATTAGTCAGGGGCTGACATCATGTGACATCATAGTGGGGGGTACTTTCTGGTTGGCAAGGAACACATGGGACTCCACAGTTGAATGCTAAAATCCTAGTTCCAGCCTTTAACATAAGAAAGCTTCGGATTTGTCCACCTACCACCCCCACTTTTGGACATTGGAGGGTGGTGGTTGATGCATAGGAGGGTGTAACCCATCGTAGAGGGGAACCGCATCCCCAAAGGTTCATCCATCTACTCTGATGTGTCCAAAAGAAGATCCTAGCGTTTCAAAATGGGTTTTCCACTAGGGCTTGGCACATCAAACCCGAAAGCAAATGTGTATTAAGTATGTTAACGTTGTTGGTATTTGGAGCATAGAAAGGTTCCCGGATCGCATAAACACATTTCCTACTGTGGATGGTTGCGAAATCCACCTCGCACCACCTAAGAAACCCTGGGGCCCTGGTTTCTGATGCTTCCCCAACGTAAATACTAAGAAACTTAAACAACCATGGTTTCATTTAGTCCTGCATCAGCTGGTCCATCCACATGCTTGGCGGTTTGCTGATGTTTCCCATGGCTTCAAAGTGGCGCGAGAAGCGGATTTCGTCCCTCGCCAAAACTCGGCCCGCCAGGCACCGCGGGGCTTCCGTGCCTCACGATGCGGGCAGTGCAAGAGCCACACGCGGCGTATGCGGCTTGACCGTGTGAGAGCCATGTTTTTTTTTTTTTCTTCGTGGGCCCGGTGAAAAGACATGTCCCCGGGTGGGAGAAAATGGGAGAACACCAACTTTGTACTTATAGGGTCTATTCATGGGGCAACAATTTATCAGTACTTTGGAATAGCTGGGTTTTGAAGATGTAATTACCAGCCAGCAAGGTCAGGACTTTTTGGAGCTTGCGGGTAAAGTGACCTCTGAGGATGCTAAGCAACAAAGTTATTTGATTTGACACTATTTGATGTTTTGCATGGTTTTTTAAGCCATGAGGGCATCACGTGAAGGTCTCCGCTTTGCTTTGGAGAACATCCCCATATTCGTATCGGATTTCCGTCAGCGACAATTGTAGTGGCTTTGAGTTCCCATGTTGAAGAGGCCCACCAGAACCTTCCCAAGACTGAACTGGCCCACGCAAGAGCACAGGTTCGTGGACCACTCTTGGAAGGTGCGGTTCTCCTTTTGGTATAGGTTTTTTTGTCTTTTCTGCGGGGTAAAACGATGTAGGTCCTTTACTTCCTTGAGGATCCAATCATTCTGCCAGGTTTTGACATTATTGTAAACATGTTCAAACAAACGGTTTGCCCTCTTAGAGCTGTGCAACAAAACACGCTAGCTGGTCAATTGGTCAGACTCATGGCGGTACTTTGCGTGGCGGGCGCGGCACAGCCAATTTTGACCCTTTCTCAAAACACAATATAGTAGAGACTTGCAAGCGTAAACATTCAGTGCCCCGCTGTGCTCTTTCACTTGAAGAATTCTAGGGGGAAAGGGTGTGAACATTTGTTGTGGAGATTAGAGGGCAGACATTTGTCCTGGCGGTGTAAATGCGATGTGTTTTTTTTGGGCGGAGGGTGACAACACACCCAAAAGCGATGGTATTTGGCGTATTCCTCGAGAGAAGCTGAAACCCAACATGTTTGGTGGAGTTTATCATTCTGTAAAAAGGCCTGAAAAAGGTGTCAAGGTTTGGCCACACAACTTAGCAGGCCACAGGCAGTTTAATGACGAAAGTTGTGTTGGGTAAATCGCTTTGAATTCCTTGCTCTATCCCTCGCTTTGCGGGTTTCATGTTGAGTCTCTCTCTTGGGATGCTCTTTGTTCCCGGCCCTAAACACATAGACTTCAATTGAAGAACCTTCACATTCCCTGGTAGCACAAGTTGGGCCCCATGCATGTCTCTGAATTCCCCTCCCAAGGCCTCACATTCTTCTCAGGGCCTTCCTTGAAGCCAAGCAAACCACATATGGCCTTCCACCTGGAAGACCCAAACACACCTCCCCTTCCATTCACTTGTTTGTGGGAGTTCAACGCCTCCCAAAAACTGTCCAAATTTGTTTGTGGGGCTCCTGGCGGCTGCCTTGAAACTTACTGAATCCGTATTTCCCTGCGAATCCAGGGCATATTGGTTTTCCTTTCCCGTCCAACAAGAGTGCTGAAAACGCGGTTTCTCCCCACCCCCCACAAACCAACCCCCCCGCCCCCAAAAGAAAAGCGGTTTCCCATGGTTCCCCCCCCCCCCCCCGAAAAAGCAAACCCCCAAAGAACTTTGCTTTGGTTGTTTGGCGCAACTTGGCTTCCGAGGTGAAGCAGTCGGCGTTTCTGAACGCAGAAGGGCCGGCGGTGCTGGTTCAGGCTTGGAGCTCCAAGGGCTCACGTCTGCACAAATGCCCCGCTAACGACTCAGTTCTTCACATGGTTGTCGCTGGGTTTGGCCTCAATGCCGTGTTTGAGAACCCAAGAGGGAGGCTTAAACCATGGTTGTTGTTGGGACACATTTTTCCACATTTTTGCGCAAGTTGTGGTTTTGTGGTTGAAATCCAAGCACTGAACTGCTAAAGTTTAATTTGTTGCTCCCCTTCCAACGTCAAGCAAGTTCAGTGGCACCGATTCCACTAAAACGAATGGTGTTCCCCAAAAAGGGTTCCAGTTCTTTCTTTCTTTTCCAGGGTCACTGAACAACTGAGTTTACATACCCGCAAATGGGCGAGTCTTTTTCAGATGGTACCCTTTTTCGGGGTTGGTTTAAGAGGAACCAAAGGGAAACAAACCCTTTGTTTTTCTTGGGGGGGAGGTTTACCCAACCAAAGCCACGACACTTCGATCACCTACAACTCCATTCCTGTGCCTCAAAGACACACTATGACTGCATGGAATCCAGCCAGTTTCACATGAAACCAATATCCTAAGATCACATGGTGTAAATATCCAGTCAACGCAGGCACAGACCTGGATTTGCAATCCGAGATTCTCTGACCACAAACAGCACTCTCATCTTGTCCAATTGAAACTGTCAGCCATTGCCGTCTCACACGTCGATGGGCGCAGAAAGAACGCCAACAGATGACTTGAGAGCTGTGTGTGAATCGGGGCTTCGTCATTGGCCTCCCTTCGACTCCACACGGATGCTTGGTCCCATCACTGCGGGTGCAGATGTGATGGCCATCGACAGGCGGGTATGGGTCAAAATTAAACCACCACAAAACCGCAGGTTTTGGTCCATGTTTCCACTTGCCAGGGTCCCATTTGGGGTACCAGTTTTTGACCCACAGCCAGGTGGTGCTACCCGGCGTGGCTTGCGGCCAAGGGCCTCGAGCCGGCTGCTCCTGGTGCGGACAACGCCGCGGACGAGTTTGGCCGCAGACCCATCCTTGGCGCCACGCTGACTGGGCTGGGTCTGCCTGCGCCGGGAGCACCCAACTTGTATGACGATCCGGTGTGTTTGTCGATGCTGGATGCTGGCGCCGATCCATGTGTTGCGATGATCCTTCAGGGGAACGGCTCGGGCACGACTCCTCTGTCTTGTGCCGCTGGAGCCGGGAAGTCGAGAATGGTGGCGCGGTTGCTTGAAGATGTACGGGTGCGAACCAGGGCCCACTTGACCGCAACGTCGGTCAACAACTCCTTCACTGGGACGGCTGAGGAACTTGCCCGAAAGAATGGGTATCATGAGACGGCGGACTTGATTGCGGAAGCCATTGCAGCTTGTGACGCCTAATAATGACTCAAGAATATTTGTGTGTTTGCATGTATTTGGAGATTGGCCTGGGCAGCAGACAAGGGCCTTGCCATGGTCGCCATCAACGGGTGGAACAGGTGGTGAAACGGTCGCACATGATTTCGACGGACGACTCGCACATAAAGCACAACCGCGGCAGTTGGGGCAAGGCGAAGCAAGCACGGCCGTTTGTCAAAAGGCCGGTTGTATTGGAGACAAGTGCATGGACTGGAGCATGGGTGTTGAGTTCCTGGAACCCAAATAATCTACAACTGAAAAGTTCGACTCGACATTCAAACAGGATCCACGTAAAACCTGCAAGACTGAATTCGATGTTCATGCAGGTTGAGTGGATGGCTCCCTGTTTTGCTAGTGCTCAAGCAAGACTTGCTTTCTTCTCACCTGAAACCAGGTGACCGCTTTGAAACCAGGTGGCCTGGGGATGACAAGTCACACCTCTGGTTGCTGTTGAGAGCCGGGGTTTGAGTGGAAGTCCGTTCCCGCCACTCCCTCACCACCTCCCGCGCTTGAAATATCCTGTTTGCACGTCTGCAAAAACAACTATTATGGAAAACAATAAGGCCCACAGCCTACCCCTCTCAAGATGAAACAGCCCCAGATGGGTTGAGTTTGACATATTTCGTCCTGATCCGCTTCTCACAGCTTGGGCTACCAGGCTCCGCGTCCGCGCAACCGCGCAAAAGGGCCCCAGCGCCAGGCCAACTCGGGCACGGCGGAGTTCAGCGAGAACGTGGTGATGTCCCCCAAGGGCCCGGGAGTCACGGTGAGCACCTTGAGGCGCACCCAAAATTCTTCGACGGATCGTGTCTCTCTCAGTCGGAACCTAACTGGCTGTGGTTGTCAAAACCAACGGTACCATTTTGGGGTAGGTGCACCACCCATTTTAGTCCATTTTAGTTGGGATTGGGATGTTCACTAGGGGTGCGGGATTTTGACCCATGGCCAACCGTTTGCTCCCAAACTATGTTACCTGGTTGACCAATGGGGGGTGTCTTGGGAATTGGCCCTATTAATAGGACGAACCCCTCAGGAGAAGGAACCAATTGGGTGGTATAGATTGTCCTGGAAGGACTGGGACAATTTTTGAAACACATGTAGCCTGCAAAAGGGGGGGTCGCTCTTTTACCACGTCCGACTCTTATAATTGACACACTCCATCGTTTTCGCTTGAGTTCAGATAGGCGGGACCCCACCATGCTGGACGTAGATCATGCGCCCTTTATTCCGTTCACCCCTTGGACAACCCCACCCGTGCAAACAAGCCGTTTTGGAGGACCCAACACCAATCGGAGCCTCAGGGTACTTGGAATCTACCCGCATGCCTCCCGTTTTCCCCCGAGCCGTGCCCAAAACAAGCAGCTTGCAGGGGCGCGGTAGCGCCGAAAGCGGCGGTGACAGTGCATGGGAACCAGGTGGTGTCGCCCCGGACGCGCGGAGACTCAGTGTTTTGTTTTTGCCGTCAGGTGCCGTCGTTGGGTGCTGCGAGGTTGTTTAAACAATGTCCAGCGCATCGCGGTTACCACTCGGCATTGTCCTGCTAAAGGTGTTTACAGGCTGTTTTTTTGGTAGCAGCGAGATGCAGTCACTGTGATGGGTACATGTTGCAAGTGGTGGGACGAACCCCTGTGAGACACATTCATGTGATTCCTGACAGGTCATCCCCTCCAATGCAGCCCAAATAAGGGGGCCTCCAAATGGAGACCACCGACGAATTCCTGAAGGGAGGACCCCAAAGATAGTCGAGTCGGACCGTCAGGGTGAAGGGAGACCAAACTGCAACCGGTTTTGCGAGTTTGTTTTTGCACAAGCTCACGTGTTTTGTTTGCTAGAAGAACGCATGGGTTTTGTTCAGGCTCAAAACGCCGGGCGAGGTTTGGGCTCAAGGTTCCGCATTTGGGATACTTTGCGGGGCGTTGTGGTGTTTTTTTTCTTCCCGGACCAGATCCTGAGTCTTCGCAATCAAAGTCATGATAGAAAATTTGGTTGCGAAGACTCGGTCATAGCCAAGCTTCTCACAATCAACTTTTTGCGATAAGGCAACTTCTGTGATCAGGGAATCCATTATGTAAGTGAGTAGACTTCGCTAGAAGCATCAAAGAGGCTGGGTTATATCGGACCTGTTTTTTGTTGCTTGCCGCATTTCTGAAGGGAACCCGAACTGTCCCATGGAAGCTATTGATTTTCCTCTTTTCAGGGACCCAGAGCAGTTTACCTGAGGGGTTGATGTCCAGTCTTAGTTTTGGTCTACTTGGTTGTTCAATCCACTTAGTAAGCAGTTTGTCACCATGGTTATAAGGGGAGTAATTTTGGTTGCTCCACTTGTATCCATTACCACAACCTGGTCTACTATATCAGTTGAACATCCAAGTAGAGCAGCCGAACCAACCCGTCCATGTATTTTTTTGTTTTTTCGGAGGTCGGCTGTGGGTCTACCGTGGTTCCAACACCCCGTGGCCTTCGACATGAAAACCTCTGCATACTACACCGAGAACTTTGCCTCCGGCGCAGAGGCGTGCGGGCCATTGAGCAGAATTTGCTGTACCTGTTGGTTTTCCTTTAAAACCACCAAAAAGTTGTACCTTCAACAAAGACATCAACATTTGCCCTCCAATGGGTCAAATGTTGGTATAGTACCTACCTGGAGTCTCCATGACCCTTTAAAAAGCGGTGTATTACCCAACAGATAGGTGTCATGACCCCACTGTTCAAGGGTCATGGAGACTCTAGGTACATGGATTGTGTAGGCCGGTTGAGGAAAGCCTACTTTCGGTGAAACACTTTTAGGGCGTTTAGGGAATCCCCTTCAAAGTGAGAAACTCGAGGGGATGGGAATCCCACTTTATCATAAAACTGGTTATTTTCCACAACCAAGTTGAACCAAGACGCAAATTCTTGTGTCGATCTTCTCAGGACCTTAGGGCTCTTTGGAATCAAGCATAACAAGACAAGGGCACTTCAGGCAGAGGACCACCCCTTGGCGCTGGTTGACTCAGAAGGCCAGGAATTGCCGAGCTTTCAATTCCCTAAGCGTGTTGAGATGTATAGATGTTGGTTGACCTGTTCGGTTGTTTGCCACATGGACATACACTTAGAACCTATGGAAAAGAGGTAAAATGTTCTAGGATGTTCTACGTGTGGATGTGCGATTCCACACTTAGGACATCTCCGGCCTCGGAAGCTTAGAGCCGCCTTGTTGCGGAACATGAGCGCATGTGTGACACAAAAGTGGCAGCTTTGGCTCATCTCTCACAATGTGTTGCTATACGCCTATCATGCCTTCAACCAGCCGTTCCCACAATTCGGTCTCTTCCAAGGGGCTTTGCTTTAAGATCCAAGATCAAGAGGCTTCAACAGCTGAAATGATAATGGTTGACCCAACTTGGATGATTTTGGATGACATGAGACTCCTTGGGCAAACAATCGTGGTTATGTGAACCTGCATGGTTTGAAAGGTGATTCGAGTCCCAGAAAAGCAGCGTGAACAAACGGCTGAAGTAATCTGAAGTAGAACCCCTGATTCATCAATAGGGGGGGGTCCCCTTTTAGTAGAGGTTTAATACTTTTGGAGGCTCCGGGACCCCGCAATCAATAGGATTCGTGATCCAGGGTTGACATTAATTAGATCCTGTGCGTGTTGAACAATTCAGTTTTTTCCGGCCACTATCACAGGCAACGCGCATGGTCTCCGGTCTTCGCATTTTGAACAGAGCCCTGGGAATTGTGAGGCCGGGGTCCTAAACCAGTATTTGCCCTACTCGCTTGTGAAAAAAAAAAAAACGCAAAGAAACCCACTTGTCGGTCGGCAAAAGTTCAATGAGAACCACACCCAGTAGATCCACTTACCCATGGTAACCAGGAAAAACCACAAGAAACAACTATAGCTAGAGCTAGTAGTTTTCAGCTTCCTGCTAGAGTGGCTTGCTGGGATCCATCAGCAATTCCATGCTTTCCCTTGCTGGCACGGGGGGGGGCCTTGCATTGGGGCTGGAGATGTTTAACTTGGCCGTTTCCAGGCATTCCGACACTTGGATGATTTAGAGTTTACAGGATTTCTCATCACATATCCCGCTAGACGTGTTCATCTAGGAAGGGACCAACTCAATGACACCAGTTCATAAATCCCAACACTTGGGAGACATAGAACTGCCTGCCACATGGTCTACAGGCCTGCTTCCTCTTCGACCCTCGGGAAGACTCCACGGAGACAGGCGGAGACTCCGCGGCGACTCCTGAAAGTTGCATGGTGGAAAATGTGAATTTAGGACCAACCACTCCAAGTTCCGGCTTTGAAACCCTAAGGCTTCCGATTCGAGTGTTGATCCTCAAACATAGGACGGTGTTTGAGGGCTCGAAAGGGGAATTGATCGGGGTTCTGAGAGGGCCATCCTTTGTTGCTTGTGAGGATTCCGTTTAGGAAAACTGGGACATACCGGGACACCCTCATGAATTATCCAGTGGATGAATCATGGACACAGCAAGGCTTGGGTTTTCCCAAGCCTATGGAGAACCCCGAGCAGTTTTTCAGGGGCCCTTCAGGGTGGGGAATTTGATGGAATTTAAGGGACTTCCCGATTGGGAAGTTGAAGGCTTCTGGAGATTCAAGGAGCCGCCATGCCGGCGATGACCGGGACTGCAGCCCCTTTTGGTGTTGCAAGACCGAGTGCTTGGGGCAAGCTCCCTTCGTTTCATGGGCGTGTCTGCCTTTGGGGGTAGTCCCCTAAAACAGCTAATGTTAGCCCCGGATTTATCAACCCCTGGTTGATTTTAATCGGGGGGTGTCCCCTTTTAGTGGTTGAATTCAGACCACTTTTGGAGGGAACACCCCCCCCCCAATAGTATTCTAAAAAGTAGTATTCCCGGATTTTGGATTTTCAAAAATCGGTTTTAGTATTAGGGGACTGTTTAGCATTAGGAAGAAGGGATTAATGGGACGGGTTCTACTTAGATCCTGGGTCAACAAGCCAGGTGTTGCCGTCGGTCTGGCGCGGTTCCATGGCAACGTGGCCCACGCCTGTACCTACGGCCTGCTGGTGGTGGAACTGCGCGAGGGCGAGACCAAGGCGTTTTGCGAAGCCCAGAGAGTGTCTTTAGACCCGCAAAATGGTTTTCCTTTTGGGGGTCCTTTTGAAGCAATCCAAAAGCAGGGGCGCCCGGCAAAAAGACGATATGCATGGCAGCCTTTTATTCAGGCAGATGGGCAGTGCATGGAAATCGGCCCAGGCCAGACTTGCCCACCCTTCCAGAAGCTTCATTCAGCTCTGCCACAAACTTTCATCACTCTTTCTATCCCGGTCTAAGGCTTTTGAGGGGTCAATAAGGGGTCCAAGAACGTCCTTAGAAGGCACTTGGACCCTCCGGGCAATGTGCCTAGTTCTAAGCCAATTCCTGGCGAACCCGCTCGCCAGGTCTTCGACCAGTTCACGGTCTTTGCGAGCGACTACGGTGCCTATGTGCACCTCAGATCAAGCCGGATGTCCAACCAGCTCTTGGAAACCTTCAAAGGTTCACCTGTGTTTTAGTGGCCCAGAGGGTCCAAATACCTCATGAGAATGGCTTTTGGGGGGTAAGGGGTCGAAGTACCTCAGAATGTACTTGGACCCTCTGGGTGGGGTAGGACCAAACAGCCCTCTTTCAAGCCGTCGGCTTTTGGGACAGAACTTCGGTTGTTTGACAGAAAGTACGTGTTGCAGGGTGGCTGAACAGTTGCTCAGCAGGCGTCATCGCCTTCAAATGCCGGAGAGTTGATGACTCCAAAGGAGTCTTGGTTAGATTGTTTTTGTTGCTGACCTTTGTTTGGCGAGTCGTCCCACAAGATAAACCGAGCGGTTCCACTTACCCGCTCTAAATATTCCGTCTCTGAATCTAAGGGTCTCGATGTTTTTGGACCCCAACTCGGACTGTCTTCAATGACCAGGAATTGTCGCTCTGTGTTCTCCATTGGGCCGAGTGATTGAATTGGAGGGGTCATGACCCGGCGATTCCAAGCTTTTTCAACCGAAACAGGGCACAAGGCTAGCTTTTGGGAGACGTGGGCGCCATCGCATTGTGCTCCTGGTCCGAGAAGTCGATCTCGGAGGTTTCAGAGGTATGCATGCGCTGACATAGACATACGCCAAATATCAGATTGTAACTTGTAGGGCAGTATATACCCCTTACATAAGCGCCCCAAGGGTCATGACCCCTCCAGACCCGCGGGTGCAAGGGAGAACCCCGGCCTGTTACAACCTTTGCCAACAGCAAAAGCCAGGCAGCTCCCATAGTTAAGCCACAATTCGGGGGTTGATCACCCAGTAGCAGAGAAACCACTGGTATTGGCTGTATATGCCGTTGAAGCTGTATGTGTTTGTGTTGAAACAACTTGGGTTGGTGCAAAAGGAAACCCACCATTTTTTGGGGTCCCCGTATAGTGACATAGCCATATGAGAGCCCAAAATGAGTGGTTTCCAAATTTGGAGATTGTGGGGGCACCTTGTGCTGGTTCTCAGTAAATGTCATTTCTCTAAGCATCTCGCATTCTCAAAAAGGCCCTTTTTGAGGTCCAAAACCCCAATGCACGTCATGACAACTTCAATGGAGGGTCCAATGACGAGTTGGTTTGAAATGAACCGGAAGGGACGTCTTTAAATGAAACTACCAGTTGGACAGTTCGGTTCCAACTCATATATGTCTTAGAACAAGAGCCTTGTTTTATCTCGGCGGTGAGTCCAACCAAATTCATGTTGTGTTTTGGGTCTTTCTTTCAGCAGCCAAGAAAATGGACCGACGAGGCTTCAGGCCTAGGGTTCAACCCCTATTACATCCTATTACCAAGGCCGGAAGGGGTCTCCGGTTGAAATCCCCAGGCTCGGCCCCAGGTTTCTCCCACAAGCCTCTAGGGTTCAACCCTCGGCGAATGATGTTCACCCATGAAAATGGATTGGGCGAATTGATCGCCACTCTTTACCTGAGGTTTTGATTATAAAGTTTGGGTTTTCTTGGTTGCCCGATATCCGTTGAACCGCTTGAACCGCTTGAACCGCTTGAACCGCTTGAACCGTTGAACCCCACCTCGCTTAGCTTGCAACAAATCTTCCAGGCACGGCTGCGACCGGTGCCGCCTGGTGAATTGGGCCTGGGTGGAGTGCAACATGGGCATCTTCGACAAGGAGCGTTGTGGTGGCTCCAGTGCTTCCAACCCTCGTTGATTAGTCTCACTTGCCTAGAGAAATCGACTGTTTGACCTTTGGAGCCCAATCCTGGCTCCAGTGCTTCCCGCCTTTCGCTCCCCGGAGCCCTCGTTTAGGCTCACTTGCAACCAAAGATCGACTTGGACCGGATCTGACCATTTTTGTTTCCAACTTGTTTGGTCGATGTTTCGTAGCCCAAAAAGCTTAACCTTTATGGGTCCTTGGGCAACTGAGGTGATGCCCCTTAGGGAATCCTTCACATGCGTCCTATTTCTACTGGATGTATCAAAGAGTTCCCATTATACTTGTCTGTTATGTGGCTGAATCTTTAACTTGTGGGACATGAGTCGATTTTTCAAAATTCCCAAGCCCCTTCTTGCAATACCAACGTCTTTAGGGTATGTCAAACGATGTCAGCCCAGATGACATGGACCACCGGCCTGTCAATGATGTTGGGTTGGATCTTCAAACTTGAACTGAACAATGCTTCGGGCTGGGGGCAATGCACATGGAGGTTCGAGAGGTTTACCTTCCGTAGTTGGGAGGATGTCACTTTGGACCCAGATCCGAATGCTTTCGAGGACAACACCGTGGTTTTGGAATAAGGAAAGCTTCGCTCCCAGGTGTTGGCTCCGTAGCTGAAAAGATGGCTGAACAGAATGTGGGCATCAACATGCTCTATCTATGTTATTTCCCTAGGCATCAAACGGGTCGAGCCTCAAAAAGCCTTCCACCCTTTTTGAGAGGCAACCAACACCCAAGCGAATGGAGGTCCCCTTGCCCCCTTCAGCCTTTCAGCGAAGGGTCCTGTCGTTTCCACGGCCCTCTACTCCGAAGCTTATCTGGGCCAATCGACCCCAAGGCTTTCCCGAAATGATCTCCAAGTGCTATGTCTCGCGCACAGGCTCTGATGGGTCCACGTGGCTTTGTTTGCTGTGGCTCCAATTCACCAAACAATTGGCGGCATTGGAAGTTGGCGCCCCATTGGGGGGCGGTTTCAAAGAAGGACAAGCAAACACCTTGTCGCGAAACCAGCCCACGCCTCTGTTGAAAAAGTCCATTACGTTGCAAGGAACATGGCTCACAAGTTCAGCATCAAATGAAGGTGCCAATCCAAACCTACCAACAACGTCCAAGCCTAAGAAGTCTAAAGCGGACCTCAGGGCTGGGCTGAATCAACGTCTTTTCCTGGCAACCTGATTTTGACAACCAACATGGCCACGATCCATGTAGGTTTTGAGGTACTTCCGCAATCCGATCCCCTCCTCACTCAAATAGGTTGACCACCCCCCACCCCTGACTTTCTTCGGCAGGACTCTGCTCCCATAGTGACCGATGACCCTTGGATCGAGCGCCTTGGTTCAACTTAAACGTATCAGACTGCTGGTGAATATGCGCCAGAGGGAGACCGCAAACATTGTGGTTCTGTTGATTTCCTTTTGCACCCAAGGTGAAAAGGGAACCTGCACCAATCATGCTATGTCCAGAATGTGCTTTATAGTTTGTCTATTCTAAACATGTAGAATTATCCTGAAGACCCCACAGATGTGCACTGAATGATCTAAAGGTATTTCGGATGCGCGGACCACGCTCAGGGATGCTCTGAGTTTATGCCTAACCCCTGCGGGAACACCTGACCAACAAATGGTGGTATCTAATTTGAGGGGAGAAAATTGCGGTTGTGGTCAGATATACCCATGAACCAGTGGGTATTTCGAGTGGAGGCATTCACAAAGTTTGATGGAATCCCAATACCCTGCATTTTGTACCCAAGCACTGTCAACTACTTGCCGGGCTTCCAAAATGGAGATATTTGATGGCTTTGTCCTGGGTGTGCCGAACAGGAGTCGACCCTCCTTGGAAGGGTCCACGAGTGTCTGGGTAGGTTCACTCCTCTGGAAGCATGGGAGAAGCCGCCCCGCAAACCCAACATCTCCCACTGACCAAAAGAAGAACCAAAACCCTTCGGGTTGTGGTAGCTCTCATGGCAGACCCCCCTCAGAAAACCGGGGTTCCCTTTTATTCGGGGCTTGACATTTGTGCCAAGGATGATTTTTCAAGTCGAAGCCCCAACAGCCCGACCCAGGTGTTCAGCAGGGGTCTCCTCCATGGTAGGACTCGGACGAAAAAATGCCTCGGAATCAGAACATATTATTTTTCTTGGTGGCTCCCAGCCATCCGGTCCCTTAGCTTTTTAGACTTTTAGTGTTTCGTGGGGGTTTCCATTTGACCCACTAAAAGTCAACCTTTCAACAGGGGATCTGAGGGCAGCCCAGTGTTGAAGTACCCAGACGCTTAAGGCAGCTTGCAGTAGGCGTGAGGCTTTGGGACATGGGTATGGCCCCCAAACGGTTGCTTACACATTGACATGTACTTGTTGCCTCACTTGCCCAAAGCGCATCGACCTTTTGGCCTTTCGGTTTCCCCTTGGTCATGACCCTAAAAGGTGATTCGCAGAAGGCATGTGCGTAATATATGATATTATATACCAACATTTGGCCCATGAGGGTAATGTGGGTATATACTACCTATACATGGATTGTCTGGGATGAGTGTCCGAGAAGCAATCTCCCGGACATTCGCCCAAGAATTCACAAAATACCTGCTAACACAGAATCTTGAAGAATTCCTGGTTTTGAATTTCGTCCAGAATGCGTCAATATCCCCACAAAACATTTTGGAGGATTCCTTTGTGAATTTGAACTTCTCCAACGACTTCGCCAAATCCCACCAGAAATCCTGGAGAGATGGATTCTTACTGTGGATGGACGAAATCCATGTCGCACCACTTTGACACCATGGTTGAAATCAGTATTTGCGGTATTTTGTCGGGGAATCATCAGAACCAGGGTTTCTGAACGGTGGTGTGAAATGGATTTCGTCCATCCACAGTAGCCAAATCCCAATTTCCTTTGTGAATTTCAGCTTCTTCAAATAATTCGCCAAATCCCACCAGAAATCCTGGAGACATTTTCCCGGAGAGATGGATTCTTAGCTTTGCGCGTGCCCGAGAGAAACTCGTCCGAGGAACGCCACGGCGGTGGGCACTAGGCAGATGTTCGGGGCCTTCGAGGTGAACCTGGGGCCGCAGGTGATGCTCAGCGAGCGCGAAGGCGGTGTTGTCCGGGGAGCCGAGGGGAGGAGTTGGTGAGGTGTTCAGGTCACTGCTGTTTAGGTAATGTTGACCCCATATAAATCAACCCCGGTTTGTAAATAGGGGGGTCTTCCCCTCCAAAAGTGGTCTGATTCCCCACTAAGCCAAGGGACACCTAAGTAGTAATAAACTGGGTTGATCAATATGGGGTCAACATTAATCCCGAGTTTTCGTGGTTTGGATTGGTTGTACCCTGCTCCTTGTAGAGGATAGATGGGAAGCCGCCAATCCAAACCACGAAACCAGCACTCCAATCCACCAACTAAGAGGAAGCTGACCGGTGGTTTGGATTTTGGGGCTTCCCCTTCGCAACCAGAGAGCCAAGAGACCAAGAGAAGCTGAGCTGGTTCGTTTTGGTCACTCGTCCGTTTCTTTGCATCGACAAGTGCGCCAAGGACAAAACAAAACGGGTGTAGAGGTTCTGGGGCGGTGTTCACTAAGGGCCTCCGAACATTTTTGCGTTTTTGTGTAGAACAGAGTCGGGAAGTATTGATTGCGTGTACCCCAGATGTGGCCAAGGAAGATGCTGATTTTGTTTTGACAGACAGAAACCAAGAAAGAAATGAGGTCCGGTCAAATCAGTCAAATTAGTCAAACATGTCCTGATTTGTCTAATTATCCCCGTGATCCAAGCCACCATGAAAACATTCGGGGTGAATATGCAGCAACCGCAATCGCTTTCCCTTGCGGAGTCTCATCTATATTGGGTCAACCAGTCTTGGTGCCGAACCCCAGCGTCTATTCATTTTTGCTCAGTCCGAGTCGCCCATTTAAACCAGGGGGCACCTGATCCTACCTGATCGAATGCTTTGCCGCGGTTGAGCCCAAACCAGAGTGATGTCAACTTGCAGGTGTGATAGGGAATGACGGTTCCGAATGAAGCGGTTTTGGGGATCTCTTGGCTATTGTTAGTGTGTTCACCTTTCTTTTTTTGGGGATCTTAAAGAGAGCCATCGGGATGGTTTCCCTTATTCCCTGCTGAGAACCTGCAAGTCAAGCAGCGGTTACCCCAAGCTCTGGTCTGCGGATCCCCCAGGCCAATGTTGTGGAGCCCTTTGTTGACGCACGAAGGGACTGCACAAGCCTGGGCCCTCCCATGGAGAACCCCAGGCCAATTCCGCCAAAAAAGTCGCAAGGGCCTGAAACGCGGGCCTCTTTGTCCAAACACTTTCAAAGGGGAATCAGCAGTACCCTAATTCCAACTGAGCGTTGGCTGAATGTGAAAGGTGTATGAGGCGCTTAGATGAGGCTGGCTGCCTTGTCCATTCTGGGGTCATTCATAAGCAGAACTCTGGCCACTGTCCTGTATATATTATATATGTATAAATTGGCATGTTGTGATGAACAGAACCCCGATGTCCAAAAGCAGTCATTGGAGGATGCTGTCTAGGGGGTGGTTTCTTCTTTGTTTCACCTCAAAACAACTCCATTTTGGGGTACCAAGTACCAACTCCAAAAGAGCCACACGCCTCTACTCCAAATACCTGCGGATTGTCAGATTTTGCAGAACCAGGTTTTCCATAGTAAATACATCTCCCCTGCTTTTGCCAGGACCCTTTCATCATGTGCCATAATTTGACTTCATACCAACCCACAAAGCAGGCGAGTATCGCATTTGGGCATGGCATCGCGTGCCAGGCCGGCGTATCCGCAACATGACCTTCTTCCTCTTTGGGAATAGCCCCTGCGTGCAGCTTGGCGCGTTTTTCCATGCGCTGGGGCCAAAACCCTGGCCATCCGGCCATCCGGCCAAACCTGGAAGGTTGGAACCAACAGTCGTAGCTGTGCTCTCGAGTGCGCCTTGCAGTTGAATTGAGTGCCAATGCGAGGGGCTTATTTCTCCGAAACCCAAGTCCCGAGCCCCCGAAGGTCTAGTCAAGTCCCAAAAGTAGAACCAACTTCAGGTTTTTGAGGCCCGCCCTAGCCTCAGAGATGTGTCTGTTTGCACCGGGGATTCCTTCAGGTTTGGGGTACCTGTCGGTAGTACCTGTTGACTCTTTTCGGGTTAAGCAGTGAGCAAGTTCTGATGATTTCCGCAAGGTGTCGACAGCTATCAGTTGTAGCCCAAAGCATCAGACAGGACCCTCCCTTGAAGGGGGAGAGGGACGTCCATTGGAAGGCTTTGGTTGCCTCCAAAAGGATGAGGACCCAAGATGCTATCAGGCCAACACTTGCTGGGCTAGGTTGGTAGGTTTCCTCGCAGTAACTACCTACCTGGAGTCTCCATGACCTTAAAATAATGGGGTCATTACCCAAAGCGAAGAGGTCATGGACCCATATTTTCAGGGTCGTGGAGACTCTACCTATAGGCTTGACCATCAACTAGGTCCCACAGTAGTGCCCTTTTGCCCTTTTTTGGGGAGGGTTCCCCTACTAAAATAGACTACAGAAAAAAGGGTACCCGTATTCTAACCTCTGTAGTGGAGGACCTAGTCAACACTCCAGCTCCAGGCACGGGGGCTTCCGTCCGGTGACCGTGCGCACGGAAGCCATGCGCTTCATCCAGAGCTTCGCTGCTGCGGCCGCAGTTGGAGCGCGGGTCTTCTCCCAACAGCTCGGATGTTCAACCAACGTCAGGTGAGGCATGGTAGATGAAGCTAAGCAAAGGACGATCCCAACCATAAATAGCTGCAACCGCCTTCTGAATTCCTTACATGGTTCTGGGTAGACCATTTTAGTACCGAGCCGTTTTCAAGACGGGCACCCACGGACTCAGAAGCCACGGTGCCTCGTGTTTTGCATGCACCGGAGAAGCTCCGGACGTGGCTCGGGTGCCATGGGTCTCACTTCCGTTCCTGGACTTCGACCCTTGGGAAGAACATGTTGGTGGTAAAAATCAAGGCAGGACTTGTTTGCACCCATGGAACTCACCAACATGTTGAGAGGAATCTTCCGCTGGAGGAAGTCTGCTGTTTCAAAGATTTTGCCAGCCCAGCCTCCCTTTTCAGCTCAGGTAGAGATTTACACCTTAGCCCCGGCGGGGTATGCAATCTTCGCCGATCTGGATGGCAGTCTGTCGGGCCAAAGAGGAGGCGCGAGATTCGGGCTTTGTTGCTGTGTTTCTTTTCCCTTTGTTGGGGGTGGTTTAAAGGGAAGCCACAAGGAAACCACGCTTTTGGTGCTGAATTGAGAGGTTATGTCAAGAGACACATTTTTGGACAGGTGACAGGAGCGAGAGCGAGAGAGAGGGCCAGAGAGTGAGACATGGAGAGAGAGAGAGATGGAGACAGAGAAAGATGCTGTCCAGAATCAACTTACTCCCCGAATCAACAGAAGGAACCCGAACCATCGTGTTTGATCCTCCGAAAAGCATCAGTGTTGAGTTTCAACTCAAGCCTAAACCAATAAACAAGCCAATAAATGCATATGAATAAATACATAAACATGTTACGCACATACGAGTTTGTTTTTTGAGTGCATGTGTATGTGCTGCAGATGTCAAAGTACGTGACAACTGTCGGCAGAGCCACTGCCACGAGGCTTTGTCACCGGGGACAAGATTTACAACCGCCACTCCTCCTGTACGTCTGCGGGATCAGATGTCTCTTGGCCGGAGATGGGGTTCGCATTGGTGTTGTCCACAGAAAGTTACCCAGGCCCTAAGCATCAAACGGGCCCTCAAACGGCGAACCCGTTTTGAGGCTCAAAACCTGCCAATGGAGGTCGGGACCCCTGCAATGGAGTGCCCAATGATGCTTGGGGTTTCCTCCATTTCGACTGGAACCTCCCAATGGAAACCCCAAGCCAGTTGAAACTTTTGAAGGGGACATCCGGTGAACCCTGTAGGCCATGGGTATTGCTCCCGAACTTTCCTCTCATACTATTCACATATTACCTGAGTTGTTCAGTGGCACCTTTTTTTTACCTTTTTTTTTAGTGGCTGCCCCACTAAAAATGGTCTTCCCCAAAAAGGGATCCCTTTTTTTCGCAGGGTCACTGAACAACTGAGCATCCAGAAAACAGTGAGTCTGCATGCCTTTCTTAGATCACAAGGTCCACCAGAACCCAAGGGTCGTTGCTCACAAGGCCCCCCCCCTAGAGGACTCCACGGCTTTCTGGGTGCAAGCTTGCCTCAAAGGCATCCAACGGGTCAAGGCAAATCAGGTCCGACACCTTAGGTCCCGTTCGATCCAATTTCAATGGAGGGTCCTTGCTGATGCTTTAAGCGGATTTAATGCGAGTTGTTTGATCCTTGCATGAGGTTGGAGACTTGTCTGTGAGAGACAATGGTTGCATATCGGAACCATGTCGCCTGCCCCGAAGGTTCTTTGAGAACCTTTTTACCCCCAAGGGTGACACTGGGACATGCAGACACCCTATGGGTTCCAACCCGAAGTGATCGACCAATTTGTCAAGGCCCCTCCACAACGATATCGAGAACCGCCGGTTGGGGTCCAAAAACAGTCCAGACCCTTCGGCTAGCTGAGTTAGAGGATCCTCTTGTAAAGAGGGTGGTTTTTGAAGGCATCTTTCAGGAACCCTGAGCTGGCGTCTCGATTTTTTTTGGGGGGGTACCCGAACCACTGTTTTTGGGGTCCTCCAACATGGGACTGTTTTGAGGAATCCGTCCGGGCTCTTGATGATACTAGAATAGGTTACAGAGTCAGAAATACAAAAACTGATCTGTGCGCCTGGAGAGTCCCTGCCCCCATCTGAGTCATACGACCCCTCTCCTTCGATCCCTGGGCCAAGCGACCCGACACCTGTAGGCATCGCGCCGCTTGCTGTGCTCCTCGGACATTTTCGTGCGTGCCTTGAAGATCACAGGAGCCGCCCCCAAGGGCGCCAGGGTTGAGCAAAAGATGCGGCAAAACGAAGAACCAACAGGATTTGCTTACTTTGGTCGAAGGAGGGGAACCGAGCGGAGCTTTTTGAAGTGGGCCCCGGATCAATACACTCCTGGTTGATTCATAGGGGGTTGTCCCCTTGCAGTGGGGATCCAGAGACCACCCCCCGCAATAAAGGGACGGGTTTATTAATCCTGGGTCAACATTAAAGGGCTTAAAAGCTTTTGTCAACGTGAGTTGAAATAGAATCCAACCTCGAAGGTTCCACGGTCAGCCAATCCCATCGAGATTTGCACCTGTTGAAAGATCCAGACCCAAAGATGTTCTTTGTAAAGGAACCCCTCAAGGAGCCTGGTTGAAGCAACTTGTCGCGTTTTCGCAGATGTTTTAGCAACATATGTTTCTCCAAATGCCATTTGTCTAAAGGCTTTTCCGGCCAGACTGTTCTCCTACATGCTTTGATCACGCGGAACCCATGCTCTTGTTGGATTTTTTGGTATGTCCAAAATCCTTGGCTTTTTTCAACCTTTGCCGCCGTGTTTGGTCGGTTGACAAATGAAGTCGCTGGTTCGACTGGCCGCTGTGCAGGGTTTTTATTCGCCCCTTGCCTCAGGAGGGCTCAGAGGAAGCCTGGGACTGGCTTTTCGGGCCGAGCCAAAAGGAAAAGCGCGTGAAAACAGAAGACATGAGGTTTTTGGGGGTTGAACGACACATCTTGATTTGCAAGGGAGGCAATGGGTTTCTCGGTCATTGGTTCGGCTTTGTGGCCTTGAGCTGTTTGGACAGTTGTACAGTTTCCAACCACCCATGACCACGCTTCGGGACCCAATGGGGAACCCCAAAATTTGTTTGAGCCCGATTCCTTCCTCGGGCCGAGCCTCAAAAGCCGTCCCAGCGAAATTCGTCCACGCGCTTGCCACCTGTAGGTCACGGGTATTACTAGGTCCCCCAGTAGTGCCCTTGTACCCTTTTTTGGGGGAGGGTTCCCCTACTAGAATAGACTACAGGAAAAACAACCTTATTCTAACATCTCCACTGGAGGACCTAGATTACCTAGGTTTCACATCGGCTTCCCCTCGTTCCTACAATTCGATCTGGGCAAATTCTAGCAACGTCACGTTCCGGGGGAGGGGGTGGGCTTCCGCTTGCGACGCCCATGAAGACTTCTTTCAAGCTGATCCTTTGTTTGGTGACTCGGAAGCATTTGCCGGTACCCCAAGCATCAGCAGGAACCCTTCGCAGGGATCAGGACCTGGAGGGTATTGGGAACCCGGACGGATGAGGTGAATGATGGCTGGATGAGTGGATGGGTGGAGGATGGATGGGTGAGGGATGGAAGTGGTGGATGGCGGGGGGGGCTACTAGGAAAGTCAATTCTGGGAACTCAAGGGCTAGGCTTAGCCCCAAAGGAAGGGGGGAGGATTCAACCTTGCACCAGTTCGGACCTGCCAGGAGTGCAGCCGGCGGAGCTGGTGGGGACCCTTCACTGGATTCAGCCCTGGATGTGGGGGATGGGCCGGAGAAACACTTTTCCAGGCTTGGACCCAACAAAGAGCCGGCCCCCAAGCTGCGGTAAATTCAGGGTTTCCGAGCCCCTTGCGGCTTTTTTCGAGCCTCCAAAAGCGGCGTTCTCCATGGAACGCAACTGTTGAGCCCCTGCAATTCCCGGTGCGTTCCCCAGTCGTTGCATGCACGTCAGCCGCAATTCGCGATTACAAATTGCCTGCCGCTGATGCAAATTGGCCCCAGTGAGGATCTCCTAGTGATTGAAGAGAAGGGTGCCTCACACAAAAACACACCTACTTCTTGGGATAAGCGTTCCTCAACGCCCAACGCGGGCTTCCCAAGCACTTCGCCGAAGCTTAGAAGGGAAAAGAAGCCCTTTTCAGGCATCTTTCACGTGGAGAACTCCGCGCCTTAGTTTTTGTTGTGCGTGATGGGCACAACCCAATCGTTGTCTCCTGTTTGCTCGGCTTGCGATTTGATGGGTGGACAGCAGATCGTCGGCCCATCGGTTCTAAGTGGCCAAGACTCTTAGGGAAGCTAGCAAGCTACCCACGGAAACTAAACCCTGCTGGGTTTGGCCACACCAGAACAGTACCTTGCACAAGGGAAGCAAATATGCCTTCAAACACGGATCCTCAATACATGTATACAGACAAGTACATAAATACATGTACATACTATGTGTTTTTTTCTCGATGTGCAGACACATGAGGGACGCATAGAACAATGTTAAATCTATATATATATATATTGATATATATATATATACATATATGTGCACACATACATCTTCAAACCCGCATGTTTTCCAAACGGTGTCGCACACTACATAGCTTGTATGTTCTAAACAGTTGGGTCGCATGTGTTAGCCAAACAGATGGAAGCAACACTTAACAATTAAGCATGAATACTCAGATGTGGCCCATATACATATGACATATATATATATGTATATATATATATACACATATATATATATATACATATACATATACATATATATGTATATACATGTCTAAAGATACGATCCATGGCCTCATCCATCGCTTCCTAGTCGTACCCCGTTAGGACGGACCTGGTGGTGTGGTCCATCTTCGGCACCGGCAACGTGCCCTACACGGACGGCTGGCACTTCACAGCCGCGAAGCTTGTGAATTCGCCTCGATCGCGTCGGCGAAGCCTTCGGCTCCTAACCCAGATGGCTGTGGGTCAAAACCAAGGGTACCATTTTGGGGTAGGTGCACCACCCATGTTAGTCCATTTTAGTGGGGATTGGGATGTTTCACTCGGGATTGGGATGTTCACCAAAAGGCACTTGAGTCACTATCAAGGCCCGGGTAGGTGAAGCTTAGCAAACAATCCCAACCATAAGTAGCTGCGGATATCCGCCTTCTTAGTCCTTCTCATGGTTTTGGGTCGACCATGTTAATACCGGGTTTTGATTGTGACTCAAATGGCATTCTTTGAATTCCGAGGGCGAACTCGTCAGGCTGGTAGGATGCGTTTGGGTGCCCTTTTTGGGGGCCCTCTTTTTTTTGGGGGCTCCTGACAACCATGGGACTGGGGTTCTCATCCTTGACATCTTAGGGAGGATTCACGGGGGAATGCTATTAGGATGGATCTTCCACTTTTTTGCGAAAAGGAATAATTTACCACTCAGATACAAACATGTTTTTTTGGCCTAGGGGGCAATTGCCATTTCCGTGGTCTCCTTCGACACCCTGTTATATTTTGACAATTTAGTCTGAATATGAGACATCATCAATCGAATCTGATTACTCCAGATCTGGGCCAAGATAATTCTTATTCAAAGCCATAGAAAAGGGGCCATTGCCTATGACTATTAGCCACTAGTGTTGGCAGGATAGAACCGTGGATTTCAGTGACTGGGGTTTGTCCCTCTACAACCATGTTCACCTACTCGCTATGACGATTCATATTTAGCAAAAACAGCACAGGCCAACGAAAGTCCCTGACAGTGGTAAGTTCTTTGATGTCAAATGATGTCACCGCACTAGAGAAGGTGATGTATTTAGCATGGGAAACGGGGCCTTTCAATATATGCAGAGCCAAAATAACGTACTGTGAGTAGTTTATTTTTTCTGTTTGCCACTATATAAAATGGTATTGACCAAAAGTAAGTGTCCCGGAGCCCAGCGAATGTGGGGTTGGAGGAGGGGGTTCTTGGGTGCTCATACGAGGTGCGCGGTTCTCTAGACACTACAGAAGTTTTGGGAGCAAACCCGGTGGATTCCCTCAAAGGAAACCACGAGGGATAGTGCAGTTCCATCATTCCCTACCAATCGATCGCACCCATACGAATTTAACTATAAGCCCCAAAATGGGGATGCGACAAATGGGGGAAATGGTTTTCCTGTGGCTTGATATTAAACGTCCCAAGCGTGCCAAGCTCAAGAAGCACACGCAAATGGGCATCGAGCCTCAATACAATCACCCTGGGATCTAGTAACCACCTTTTACAGCAATGGTTGGGTTCATATATTCACTGTTTACCTAAACAGCGTGCATCATCCAATTTGGGTCCTGGCCATTTTGTGAATGGGAATCTGTTGAACCCTAGACCAGACAATCCACGTAGGTGAATGTGTGGAAACATGAATATTGACATTTGACCCATTTTGAGGGTGAATGTGTGGATCTGTGTTTTCTTTTCTTTATGCTCCCCCCCCCACCCCTAATAAATCCCTTTTGTACAAACAGTAGAAAGGTGGGGTGTGTGGGGGGGACCATATATATATATATAGATTTCCTCCATAGATTGTCCGCATAGGAAAGACAAATTCTTCACTCGAGTCGATGCGAGGTGGTGGGCGCGGTTCAGCGGGAGGACTTCGTTTGGCCTTTGCGGCGCTGGGCGGAGACAGGGCCCACGCCGGTGGAGTGGCGCATGCTGCCCTTCTGGTACACGCGGCCCGGCGATGTGGCTTTTGTTTCTTCTCTTTTTTGTTTTGTCCGGGCCCGTCTTTTGGGTTGGTTTAAAGGGAAGCCAAACAAGTTGTTTGGTTTTTGTTGTCGTTGTTTTTGTTTGTTTGTTTTTTTGGGGGGGGAGTCTTTTTGGAGGATACACTTTTTGGGGATGGATTAAGGGAAACCAACAGTACGCCAATCTGGCTTGAGATTTTGTTGTATTTGGCCAGAAAGGAGGGTGCGGAGGGGGTGGTGAGCCTAGGTCAGGTTGACCTCGAATATGGATCAAGGGACATATTTGGACAGCCAGCCACTTTTGGTCGCCTCGGCTTTGAGTCATATCAAACAAATACTCCTGACACGACCCTGCATGTCCCTCCTGCTGATGTTCGGTCGGTTGATCCCAAGGGCGCCAGCGCGAACTCGTGAGGGCAAAGGGCACGTGCAAAGCTCACCTCACCCGACGAAGCATCACGTTTTGATGTCTAAAGGGAAGACCTCCGCACCGAAAAAGAACAGATTCCAACTTGCGTGAGTTAGATGCGGTGTCAAAATAGGGAACCCCCAAACAAGATGATGGTTTCTCCGTTTGGTTTCTCTTCAACCTAAAAATGGTGCCCATGAAAGAACATAAACGATTCTTTGACCAACAAATCGTCTGGGGCCTCCAACTGAGGCTGAAAGCCGACAGCGCCGCGGTGGCAATCAGGCTCTGAACCCCGATTGCCAGAGTCGGGTCTCCCCTCAAAGAGGGGTCAATATGGGACTGTCTTTTCTGAGGGCATCCTTTTTGTGGCGGTTTCAAAGCGGAACAATGGCAACGCCAACATGTTGCGGGGTCCAGTTCAAACGGGGCATACGTAGGCCACTTGCTCAGTGTCCTTTTGAGCCCCTCCAACCTGCCTCATGCACGTTTGGGTTGACCAATGTATTTGGGGAGCCCACCTTCCAACAGCCACAACTGGCTGGTTCTCAGCAGGGAAACAATGGTTTAGGCAATGAGCCAGGGATCCTCTTAAGCAAGTACCCTCCCCTCCCTCGCTCCCTCCCTCCCTACTTACATCGGGAAATATGCCCCCGTTGGGACGGCAACATCCAATAAATCTATTCCACAGCTCAGATAAGATCGATGCTCAACAAAAGGGAGGTCCAACATCTGAGTGTCACTTTGAGCACAGATAGCGATCTGCGGACCATCTTGTAGCGCTTGGGAGTCCATGGAAGCACAATCCCGAGCTCGAGCATGTCTCTTGCGGAGTTTGGGCCCATCCTACACGTCAGACTCCCAAGTGAACCTAACAACTGCAGCTAGTTGGATTGGTCTGGTAGAACTATGGGAACCCCGCCGTGCTTTTGGTCTGCTTCATGTTTCAGCACCTACTGGGAGAAATGGTTAACCCTAAACCGCCGAGCTGTTGTTGTTGCTCTTATCTGGGGTCTCCAAGCATGATTTACATTTTAGGGTAGACTCTGGAACATAGTCGGAACATCCAGTCTTGTTTGACGGGTCAAGTCATGGGAACATCAAACGGTTCCCAAGCCTAACGATCCAGACTCCCTTCGATTCGGACCCATGGAGAACCCCAACCAGTTCAAGGTCCCTCCAAACCAGTACCATTTTGGAGGGTCTCACAACCAATCCATATTCTTTACAGGGTAGCTCTGATGATTCCAGTAAAAACACCTCGCTGAATTTGGCGACTTGACTCGGGGTGGAGTTTTTGAGGCCATTTGGACTGGCAGCGCCTGCGCGTGAGCTACGGCGCGCCTGGGGTGATGACCAAATCCGAGTGGGTCGGCTTCCACTTCACGCGGCCTCGGCGGCACAGCGCGCGGATCGACTCGGTTGTTTATTTACCACTGAATTGGTCCAACCCCAAAAAGCTTAAAGTTCATGAAGTTCATGAACTCAGCAAGTGAGAAGTCTACCCTGAACTCAGCTTCCCTCTAATTGGTGGTTTGGAGTGTGGAGGTGATCCGGGGCCTTTGTGAGGTTTTCCCGTCTTTGGCGTGCTGGTGCTCAGTAATTATGAAGCAACGATTCCCGAAAAAGGGAAGCATAGGGGATGGTTTAATCTATTTTCAGTGGCCCCAGAATAATAACCGTTCATGCCTGGGTTTCTATAACTGAGGGGTTAGTAGTTTTTTGAGGTTCCCAGTTTTAAATGATCTGTTTCTCTCTGGGTCCCTTAAAAGCAATGGGTTCGGGTTCCCTGACCAAACCAACTTCCAACTTCAAGCTTTCAAGGACCGTTTGGTGTTTTCGTTTGGTGTTTTTGTTTAGTGGTTGGATCTACAAGTTTCAACCTTCAAGAGCCTATGTTAAAACCGATTCCCATTGCACGGATGGCGAGGATCCAATTTGGATCAACTCTTTGGGTAGATGGTTGATATGAACCCAACCATTGTCTGGGGGAACTGAATCCCGCGAGAGGCGCTGGTTTTGCCACCTATGCCCCTCCACCCTGATTTCAGCTTCCCTGGGGGTTTGGATGGTTTGGAGGAAGGGGTGGTTTCCCATGTATCTCCAAATTCCGGACTTCAAATCTCCACCAATCAATCCACCAATTCAATTGAAGGGGGACTAAGAAAAGGACGCACGGGGCTAAGTTTACGGGTTGATGCCATGTTTAGCGGCAAATCCATCGACGAACCGGGGACGTTAAGGGCAACAGCTTGTTTTGCCACCATGGTTCTCCCCCGGGCAGAAGTCCCCAGAAACTCAGGGGGTTGAAACCCTCATGCCCTCAACTTTTAAAAGCTTGATGGGAAAAGATGTCCGCCAATGATCCGGTATTTACCGTGCAAAAAACTAGTTATACAAATATACCATCCTAAGAGTCCCGACTGTTTTTTTGGGGATCCCCCCTCTTTGTTTTTAATTCTGGGCCCTTCTAAGTTTTCTATTAAAACGACCCTTATAGTGTTTGCATCGGAGTGGACATGCTCGTTGCACTGGCGGGTTGGCTTCCCGCGTCCAAAGCAACCAACGCCGCAGACTTGTGCCCTCGGTTCGATTTGTTTTGAGGCGGATGGTTTTCCTCAGGCTTTGAGTGGATGTTTTGCGGGGAAACACCTCCTAACACTGCCATGAGGGGTTTTCACGTTAAGTTGAGCAAGCCAAACATTCGCCTGCAACCACCCCCTACGCCAAATACACGCCTTTGACCGAATTTGCATATATAGACATATGTATATATATATATATATATTACATGCCCTCCTGTGATCAGGTGGTCAACATCACCTTCCAAACATGGCATTTGGCGATTACACATTTGTAAAGCTTGCTTCTTTACATGGATTGGCCACCGGCGCTTTCGCAAGCGACAGTTAAACAACGGGTCCAAAACATGGCCAGATGTTGGATTCCTAAGCCTCTTGGTGTCCACCCCCGGCAGGATATGCAAGGAGTGCAAAGATGACTACAAAATAAATCCAACAGGGGGAAGAACAGGCAAAATCCGTTTTCTAGACCAGTATACCCTGAACACATGCCAGTATTTGGAGTAAGGGGTCCTAACTCGTCTGAGCTTTTGGACGTCCAGAGGCTCAAACTCGTCGCTTAGCGCACAGAGGTATCGTCAGACGCCAGTGAGGCAGTTCGAGGAGACCGGGAGACGGTTTTTTTCGTCATTTCGGAGCGTTGGGGCAGAAGAGTTCCACTTTCAGAAGTAGGGACCCTAAGGGTCATGACCCTCCAATGCAACCCCCCGACCCTATGAAACCACGAGAAGCTTCTGATTCCCACTTCCTGAGTTCATGGACTTTAGTCACTTATCGCAAAGCCCATTTTGGTGGTAAATAACAAGTTTTTGTGTTGGCCCACCCACTCAGGAAGTGAGTTAAACTTGGGCAGAACAACACAAGGTTTGGAACCCCTGAAACGGCGATGTCGGTCTAGGTGTCCCTTTGAACCCAGGCAAAAGGGGGGTTCCCTCCAAAAGAAGAGACGCCAATTGTAGTGAGAATCAACAAGTTACGCCTGTAAATGGGTAGGGTCCACTTGAACTCCATTCAACATGAATCAGCATGGCTGTATAGGGTCAGCTGCAACAGTCCACTATTTGCAGGAATCATGGTGAGCTCACCTTGGGGTAAAGCAAGCTCACCCCTCAACGCCTTTTACTCTACTGAGGGATCCTGGTTAAGACCAGGTTTGCCTAGTTTCGTAATTTGTGAAGACATGTTATATGGGTTTGTCTCAAAATCGGGGAACCCCTAGAACGGTGATGTTCCTTTCGGTTTGCCTTTAAATCCAACCAACAGGGGGGTTCCCGCAAAAAACAAGGACACGCATGTATGTGCAGGCGATTGGTGTCAGTGGCTCCTGCTTCGAGCCCTATTACGACTGGCTTGACCGAGGCTCCTGTGCAGCAAAATGTTCAGTTTCGTCAGTTTGCCCTTTTACTTCCATTTGCTTGAGGCCCTGTTATCCCTTTGCGATCCAAAAGAGATCCACCGTCCTTTTATGGTTTCCAGGGATGGTGTTTACTTTGGAGGGGACTTGCAGCAAAACGGCGGAAATCAAATGGGGACACCATTTTGGGGTCGCCTCATTTTGAGACATGTTCATCAATACATGCACGTTGCCCAACACAGATTCCGCGTCCGAATCTCTTTGCTGGTGCTACCTCTCACTAAAATCGTGTGAGAGGGAGGCAAGGCAGACTATCCTCTTGACAAGGCCCCGAAACGTCCACCTGAAAAGAGGGCACAGTGAAGCAGTGAGGTACCCTTAGGCGAACATGGACGCCCGAAGCTCGAAAGGGCAGGGAGTTTCCTCTTAAGGGGTCCCGGAAGCTTCCATGTTCTGATGAGGTAAATCCCACGCGCACCCTCAGCCACACGGAGGCTCCCTCTTTCAGGAAAACTTCGCGCCGCTTTTGTCAGACCTACTTGGGAGCATTTGAGAATATGCTCGGAATTGTGGGTTTGTGTGCACTTCTGTGATATCAAAGATCCCCCTTCAAGTGAAGCAAGAAATATCGGGAAGGCAAATTTCCCAGTTGTATCACAGTGCAAAATCCCCACAACCCTGTTATGTTCCATCCCAACCCCCCAAATGTATGGCAGGGGGTGGCATGCCGTTTACAAGTGGGCCTTGCTCCTTACAAGTGGGCCTTGCTCCATCATTGAGGTGTCGCCGCCCTTTGAGTTCTTTATACATATGGTAGTTAACTTGTCCAAAGCCGACTTTTTTACCTTAAGTTGTTCCCCATTTGGTATATTCGTTATCAAGGTTCCACAAGGTGAATCTATTCCCAGGCGGTGGGCAATGAGTTTTGGATGGACTCCCTGCGTAATTGCCAGGTTTTGATTGTGACTCAGGTGGCTATGCGCTTTGGGCGCCGGAAATACTTTTCACAACAACCCGGACCTTGACGTCCACTGTGACACTGACCTCATCCACAACCTTCACATCCACCTCGAGCATCACCAGCACTACCACGCAGAGTCGCTCGCTTGGTTGCTGAGTATTCATCGGTGTTGTTGTCTTGTGTTGTTTTCTTTGCGTGTGTGTGTGTGTTTGCTTGTTTGCTTGTTTGTTTGCTTGTTTGTTTGTTTGATTGATTGATTGATTGGTTGATTGTTTGATTGTTTGTTTGTTTGTTTGTTTGTTTGTTTGCATGACTTTTTCAGTCTTGCTTCAAGCCGCGCGGGACCACATTTCCCAAAACAGCGCCTTTCCAAAGCACCACAAAAAAGCCGAGGTGAGCTCCTGGATTTCTCAGTAGCAAGTAAAGTTGTGTTTTTGTTCCTTCCTTTTTTTCGGTCGAGGGTTCGGGGTTGATCGACCCCATTCTTTTCAACCATCGGTCTCTTCAAGCACCAGCCGTTTTCCCTGGGTTTCCGGAAGTTTGTATAAAGAAGGATCCCTGGAAAGAATGAGGAAGGTATCCCTAGATTTGTAAAAGGAACCAGCCAACCTCGTTTGCCAGGCCCTTTTTTGAGACAAGCGAGCCTTTTTGGGGCCTGTTTCTCATTAAGTTGGCTTTGCTGGCTGTGTTTGTTGGGCGCGCTGTGTGCCAAAAGGCAGAGACCCCATCCATTGTTGGTTTTCTTCCATTTGCTCATACATGCTTTTTCCCCTGTTGCCTGTTGGCTTTTCAGGGAATCTATTATGCGGAAACAACTGGAGGGCTTGATTTTGGCCCGCCATCCCGGATGGGGCCGGGACCCGTTTTGACTTCTTATGTTGAGCCCGGCTTTCCGCGGAAAGCAGCTCTCGAGCTCTTTTCAAGTTCCGGGTTGATCCTAGCAAACCTGACCAGCGCTGCCCTGAGCGCCCTAGTTTGAGGCAACCAAAACCTTCCATTGGAGAGGGTTCTTGCTGATGCTTGGGCTGGGGCATTGGGACTTCCAGGCTTGACGAGTTTTGCGTTGGGCGAAACGCACCCGCGAGCTCTTGCCGAGCCGTTTTGGGTCCTGGACCTGATTTTGATACCAGCTAGTTTCACCCTGTCCGCATTAAGCAGGAACCCATAGCAAGAACCCCCCCCCCACCACCTTTTTTGTTTGGATTCCTGAGAGATGAAGCGTTTCTTTCTTTTTTGTTCTCGGATGTCGCCAAGGTGTGTGTGTCTCTAAAATGGGCCCGTTTCGTGGGGGCTCCTTGCGCCGGGAGTCGGCATAGGGCCCCACAAGGGTGAGTCCGGGCATGTGTTGTGACCGCTGGCTACCTTCAAAGTGCCAAAGGATGTCAAACACTACATTGCTATATTATAAATATATATATATATATAACACCAACATTTGGCCTCCAGAATGGATCCAATGTTGATATGTACCATGGATCCCTAGTCATTTGATTTCGTTGGAGAAAGCATGGTCGACGAGGCACCACGTCGTCCACCACAACTTTCGAGTTGATGGACGACAATGACACCAACGACACCAACGAATCAGATCCGCGGCGAATCGATCCGGTCGCATGTTTGGCCCAGAGCCAATAGGGGAGCTGAAGCCCGCTTTTTGCTGAAAATGCAACCAGAGATCCAGCCGACTATAGCCATAGCACACCCGGTTTCCGTTTGGGTAAAGGCTGGTTCCCTCGGTCAGGGTTCTTTTTTTCTTCCCTTTTAGTGGTCACCTTCTGGGCCAGTTGGGCCAGTGAGTTTCATTCAGGGTGAGGTCGAAATGGGAAATGTCGGATTGTCGGATCGGAGGCTTTGGCTACCTCCAAATGAAATCAACAGTCATTAAATGAATCGAGGCGACCTCCGGTACCCGGGTGGGCCGTTTGCACCCCAAAGGTCCTTGTCTCCTCACCTGAGGTTTGGCAACCAAAAAGGGAGATCCACCCAAGTCCATCAACCCCACGAAATCGGCCGAGAACGAAACCAACATCACCACCACCACCAGCACAGTGACGACTTCCACCAGCACGACGGCCACAAACACCAGCAGACCCTTGGCCTGATGCGTCCGCGGGCTGGGGGCTCTCATGAACTGTTGTCAAGGGAATGAAATTGAACAACCTTGCTGTTTGGTTAGTTTAAGTTTTGGACATGAAGCAGCTGTCATTGGAGGGTGCTGGAAAATCAACTCTTGTTGGGGGACACAATGGGCGGCGACAATGAAGCCGCTGCAAAAGCAACCACAACAAGACAAAGTGGGTACGTCAAAGATACATAAAGCCATACGCAAGGATGCCAGGGGTATCAGGGGCACGTTCCGACAGAGTTGATCCAGACTTGGGAGTTTGCTATGCAGTTTGAAAAGAAATGCCAGATTCGAGTCTTGCTTTGCTGCCTTCAAGTCTTTGCTACCTCTTACCCTGAAAAGTGGGGTTCCAAGAATTGTCCATCAGCCGAATTTCGAAGGCTTGCAGGAAGATCCCACTATCGAACTTGGCTGAGTGGCACGTTCAACTCGTTACATCAAAATTCAGAAGTGGGCCTTGGGAGAAGCCCGAAAATATGCATCTTGGGACCTCGATCAAGGCCAAGTTTGAACGAAAGCCAGGGATCAAACGCTGAAACCGGAATGGGAGAACTCCTTCTTGAGGTGGGGTTTTCCGGCATCCAAACACCTCGACTCGGTTTGCAACTGAAGCACCCCGGGCTTCCAACTGAACTCTTCGAACCGTTTGGGTTGTGGGTCCGATCGGATCTCAAATGAGACCCCATTAGAAGGGGTGCAGCATGGTTTTGGATTTCTGCTTTTGCGACCCCGATCGGACCCTGAGAGTACACCACCGTATGCTGTCAAATGATGTCAGCCCCTGCATAGAGGATCTATTTACCATGGAACAAGTTGTTGTTGTTGTTGTTTTAGTAGGTGGTAGGCTTTGAGCTTTTGAATGCTTTGGTTCTATTCGATCTCCACATTTGCCACAAGTTCCCACGCATGGTTGTGGGACACTGGGCTGTAAAGCCAAGCAATCCGCTTCAAATCGACAAGTAGTTCTGGTTGGGCAGGAACCTACTACTTTAAAAGACAACATCCAACGTGGCTCTGGGATGTAAACATCTAGGGGAACTTCCCACGAAACAAGGCTCTGGGTTTTGGACATGAAAACGAGGTCGCTGTGCGTCAAAGAGAGATGTTGAACAGCTGCCTCGAGTCACTGAGGGCAGTTCATGTGGATTTGCGCATCGATTCGGATGTGGCCCTAAGGGTCCGATTATCTCCTGGAAAGTGGGACTGTTTTTGAGGGAGGGGTCGGGGTTCGGCACAGGGCCCCGAAGTTGTGCATTGGGTCAAAGTGGTGGACATGAATCCCCTGATGTCCACCGAAGGGTTCCCCATTAAAATCAGGGAAGCTTTCCCCGGCAAAGTACCTCAGGACGTTCCAAGGGCTGCAACATGGAAGGGCACTTCAGGTACAACCCGTGGATCATCTTGGAAGGTGACGGAAAAGGGGCTTCCCTAAAAAGCGGACAAGGGACACGCCCATGAGTTGTTATTGAAATTGGTTCCCCGTGTTTCCAACCAAAAGGGTTCCCCCATAGGTGTCCTTTTGGTTGATTTGGTTGAAAAATAGAGGGCCCTGGTTTACCTGGTGGTTCAATCAACTACCAGGGCCATCTATTTTCTCAAAAAGGAGTTCCCCTAAAAAGTATTGACCCTCCTTGCGATCCGAGCCACGACGATGACCACCACATCCTCATCCTCCACGGTGAGCAGTACCATCACGACCTCCAGCACCTCTCAGACCACCACATCGCGGAGTTCCACAACGACCACCACCTCCTACTTAGGCGGCTTTTGAGGGGCCTTTGGCACGTGGTTTGGAGCACGATCCTGAAACAAGTATTTGGAGCAATGTGCATCTGTGAAACAGGCATAGCGCCCTGCACAGGGCTTGGAAGTCATTCCTTTCAGAGGGCCTCTTTACAGGCAGTCGCACGAGTACCTCCACAGAGACGACCATCACCATGACCACAACCACCACCTCCACCTCCACGACTGTCCCGTTGGCCGCGCCGCTACGTACCTTGGAAAAGGTTGGGCCCGGGCACGAGCGTTTCCATCCGGAAGTCGAGCGCTTCGTTTTTGGCAAAGGGAAGGGGCTCCACCCTTTTACAACCCGAACGGCTTGGTTTGTGAGATCGATTCGGGGCTTTTGCAGATAATCCATGGGCTTGGGATAGAAATGTTCGATGGGTTGATGCCAACCTAATCGGAAACTCGAACCAATAACCCGGTTTCGTTCGCGGCAGAACAAGCGAACACCTCAGGTCCTTCGAACATTTTATGTCTTTCAGATTTTGGAGCTGCACAAATTGCAGCCTTCCAACATGTCCTTTTATGCAGTGCCCATAGCGGGTATCAGCCCTAAGTTGTCCGGGAGCCGATACGAATCTTCGGCTCGCCAAGGCGACGTCCTTCAAGTTGGTTCCTTGTTCGTCACCAGTCACGCGCCTCTCCGAACAAACTCTACAGGAGAACACCGTATTGTTTGGCTGGGTCTGGGTGCTTTGGCAATGGCCCGAAACAACTGTTCTGTGGCTGGTTTTTATGATACGATGGTATGCTTCTTGTTGTGTCTAAAGTTTGTTTTTTGTTAACAAAGTAGCTATATGCGTAAATTCAATTCAACCAGTGCAGACCCTGGGGTTCACGCCATTCAGAGTGGCAACCAAGTGTCGCAATTTTGAAACTTGCTAGGTAAACCATGGCGGTGACAAAACAAACACACACACCCACCCGCCCACCCACCCGCCCGCCCGCCCACCCACACACACACACACACGATTCCATGGTTTGAATGGTATGTTTCTGAGGGTGGCAACTGGAGCCCAGGGCACAGGCTACATTCGCGAACTGCAGGCACCTTGAGCGTCTTCCCCGAGCCCCGCTTTGGTGTGGGCCCCAGGAGCGATCGATTTCGATGGAGTCGGGCGGATGGGGACTGCGACGTTTTCGCAGCACCCAAAGGAGGTGAGGTCTGTCTTCTTCTTGTTGGGTGCGTGCCGGGTGCGTATTCTGGCCATTTGTGGTGGGTGCAGGGGGGAAACCCCTACCCAAAAGGGTTGGGTAGGTGTGAAGCCCCCTTCAGTTAAACCAAAAGGGAAAGCCACTTGTTTGTTCATTTGCTGGTTTTGGTTGGCTTTGAAGGGAAGCCAAACGGAGACCTTCCTTTGATGATTTCAGAGAACGGGTTGTCCACTTTTCCCTTGGGCTTCCCTTCAAGATGACCAGCAAAGGGGTTACCGGTTGCCTTGCGCCCCACACCAGAGGAAAACGATGAGACCTGCCAAGGCTGCGGAGCGCTCTCTTTCCAATTCGAGTTCTGCGAGAGGCTGGGGGGTCCATGCCATCTGCGATCGATGCCCCAATGCCCTGCACCATGGGGCCAACCAAACAGTCGCGTACGGTTGCCCGCTTTCAAGGTGCGTGTCTCATTTTTTTGCGGCAACTCGATGGTGCTTTGCTGAGGCTTGGTGTCATTTCGCCCTGGCAAGCAACAAATCCACAACTTGACTCACTAACATGAATAGGTTCAATGTTTGATTCCTCGTGTCCGACGCGTCCTTCCATCCAGAAAGGTTGGTTTAGATTCCCGACGTCCCTCTCCCCGCGGCCTTCTTGAGCCCAGAAGCAAATGTCTGCGAGCAAGTTTGGCTGGTTGCTCGCAACGGGGAGTTCTGGTGTGCGTGCTGGCACAAGCGTGTTTTGCTTGCCGGAGCCTGGTGTTCCCTCATTCCTACTAGTTGTTTGACATCGCAGCTGATTTTTAAGTGTTACTACTTTTCTCCAAATGCTGCGAAAGAAACACAGAGGATGGATTTTGCCCCCCAAAAAAGCACCAGAAAACACAATCCGGAGTTGGGGGTCCTGGTTAGCCCAAAGCCCATGTGCGCGCTTTGGTGGCAGGGTTCCCGTTTTATTGAGCCATCAAAAGTGGCTGATTGGCACATAGAAATGCAAAAGCCAAGAAGAGCTCAAAGGCATGTGCAACCCAATATTCAAATCCCAGGTTTACTCATTCCCTTAAGATAAATTGTACCATCTATGTTCACCCTGCAAGCCCAGGCTAGCCAGGCTCCCTGCGACGGTCTCAGCCATCCTTGACGGGTGCTGGCATGATCCCCCATGGCTCACATTTTCTGGCCGACTTGGTCGTGAAATTGGCCAAGGATCTCTGGAATTTCGGGCTTGTGGTCAACCTGGCTAGCTCTTTTGACTGAGCAAAGCAGTGAATCCAACCTTGAACCTTGAACACCTCCACAGGGCCAATTTCCGTATGGACCACCCTTTGAAGTGATGAAGCATAGGCATGGGGATGCCACACTTCCAGGACCTCATCCTTTCCCCCATCTTTTTGGAGCCTTGAGGGGCCTTCCATGCGCTTGGCCAGGGCCGGGGGGTTGCCTTATGGCCCCTGCCTGCCGGATGGCCCCGTGGTGGGCTGGACCAACTTCACGGAGATGGCCCTGGGGCTCGGATCGTGGGATCGGATCAGCTCATGGGTCACCCCTTTGACCTCCGGGTGCTATGGGAGAACCCGCATTCCTCCTCCAAACGCGGTCAAAACGGCCCGAAATGTCGAGGGTCCAACAGGTCCGGCTCCAATGATTGGTGCTTTTCCCCCTAGGCCTAAATTAATTTGAGGCCCTTCAATTGACTGGTTCTTGAGCCCCCCGGGCCGCATGGGTCGCGATTTTCGGGCTCTGCCCCTTGGGTCCTGGCGCTCTGCATGGGGTGGCGACCCGGGTCTGATCCATCGCGACTCGAGGTGAACTCCACGCTTTTTGCCAACGGCACCGTGGCGGTGATGCGGCTTGGCCGTGCGACCAGCTTCTGACATCGAAGGCTCTCTCCATGAGTTCCTGTTTGGTTTGACCATTTGGGTGGCAAGACAAACAGTCCAGACTTTTCTTAGGCCGTCTAATGTTAGCACTTGATTAATAAACGGCCCCCCCCCCTCCCCCCTGAACAATGGAGGCGCCAAAACAATGGGGGTGCACTTTTGGGACGTCCAAACAATGGAGAATTTTGGGGCCCAATTCTACTTTAGTTTTGCAGCCACTTCCTTTTTGCAATTCTACTTTAGTATTGCAGCCACTTCCTTTTTGCAATTCTACTTTAGTATTGCAGCCACTTCCTTTTGGCAATTCTACTTTAGTATTGCAGCCACTTCCTTTTTGCAATTCTACTTTAGTATTGCAGCCACTTCCTTTTTGCAATTCTACTTTAGTATTGCAGCCACTTCCTTTAGTATTGCAGCCACTTCTTTTTTGCAATTCTACTTTAGTATTGCAGCCACTTCCTTTTTGCAATTCTACTTTAGTATTGCAACCACTTCTTCCTGAGCAGACTTACCACTGGGGGTTTGGTTTTGGGTTCTGTGGTTGAGCAACCAATTGAAAGGGGAATGCTTTTAAGCAAGTGGGCCACCAATTGAAAGGAGATGCTTTTAAGCAAGTGGGCCACCAATTGAAAGGGGATGCTTTTAAGCAAGTGGGCCACCAATTGAAAGGGGAATGCTTTTGAGCAAAGCAAGTGATAGTTTATTTTCTGGGAGGGGGGGCTGGGGGCTTGCCACTATTGTGGTCCCCTAAAACAATCACATTATTGTGGTTCAGTGGGGTCTGTGAGGGGTACCCTTGTCCTGATTGTTTTTTGGCAATTTTTTAGCACGGTTTAATAAAGAGTTTGCAGTTTCAGGGCTGGGGATGGTTTTCAAATTTCAGAGTTTCAGCTGGCGTTGGGTTCCGTGGTGAATTTGTTTGCATTTGGTATGGGGTCAACATGGATTTTGGGTGATTGTTTGGGGGGGGGGGGAGGATTTTTTTGGAATTTCCCCCCCGGGCAAACAAACTTTCAATTATTCTGGTCCCCCTAAACAATGGGTGCGAACCAGAATAAGGAAAAAAACTTGACATTATTCAGCACCAGTTGATTAATCAAGTGTTAACATTACTCAAGAAGTGAGCTTCAGAGAGGGGTGAGAACTAAAGAAAAGCAGTGTTCCATCCAGCACCCACGAAACCTTAACCGCATACCAAGTCAACGCATACCAGCACCCTCCAACTTCTGCTGTTCAAGCCATGTTCAAGCCCCAAGTGTTGGCGGGGGGCCAGACATATGTTGGGCAAGGTTGAACGACCTCACCGATCCGGAGGTAAAACGAGCGAGAACGGCGAGAACCCACGATGTACGTAGGTCCTTTGGGGATCCATGGCAGATTGAGTGAAAGGATTCTTTAGAGGGCTTTCCGAATCAAAATAAGACGTACCATACCCATATCATGGGTATATCGTGATATTACATAGTAAAGCAAGCAAACTCGCGACCTCACAAACGCGACCAACACAATGGAAGTCCACTCCCGCCGAAGGCTGCTTCTCTTATGATGGGTTTGGGAATTTCTGAATTCCATATGAGCTTACCCAGGCTTGGTCGGCACAGGGACAACCTGTCTAACGTCGACATGGGGTTTGTCCGAGTTCGTCCTGGCTTTGGTTGTTTGAGGGGTTTCCGTTCAACAACTGCCCAAAGGTGGCCTTGCTTGCCCGTGGCCAATGGAGGTCTGGGTAGTAACCCTCTCCAGATTGATTTGTTGTTTGGAAGCTTCATTTGACAGGTACTTAAGGGAAATTCTCTGGTGGTTGCACGTTGGCCGTTTCAACAGTGCCTCACCTGTCCATTGAATGAGGGTTCATGAGGAACCAGGACGCCCAAAGGAGGTTGGCAAATCATGCTTCAACACTCAATTCAGCATTCCTCCAACGACTGCTTTGCAACCTCGTCCAAAGCCCCAAGAGTGCTGTCCAAAAGTCGGTGAGGTGCTAGATAGTGGTGTGCTGCAGCGTTTCAAAGTTGTAATACACCCCACTTGTTGCAATAGTTCCTGGAACACTGATCTCAACAGGTTGACACTAGGATGCAAGGAATTCCAGAATATTTTGACCAGATTCACAAACGACAATGGTGACAGGAACCCCTTTTCAGCAACCCGGTAGGACGCATGGGCCAAACATAGAAGTTGGCCTGGTGTTTGGTGACGGACCGCAAATTAGCAGGAATCGGTTTTCTAGTCAAACAATACAACGGATCGCTAAAGGATCACAAGCAGGCGGTTTCCATGCCAGTGAATGCCTTTCCCAGCCACATGGAAAAGCCGGTCGATGCCATGCCATTTTCGGCCTTCAGGATGGCCAACAGCGACCAGGGCGACTTTCAGAATCCTTTGGTAGCGGACTTGGCGCCCCGTCCGCAGATCCGAAGAGGGCCGCCGCGGTGAATTGGTTTCGCGATGTTTGTTTTTCCACCCAAAACCCGCCCGCCCGGGGCGAAATCCCCGGAGACTCGCGATGCCCGGTTCGAACTATCTCCCAAGAAGGCAAAGGGCGGGGAGTGTGAGTCTGTGGTTGTTCTTTCAAAAAAGACCCGTGATTTTTTGGATAGGTCACACCCCTGACCGGTTCGAACCATGTCGTTTGGCCTTTGTTCATACTCATCTTTAAATGTTTGCTTGACCCATCCCCAAAACATACTTCGAGCTGTGCCAACTCTACCCCTTTCACTCCCATTCAGACCCATTCAGACCCACTCAGACCCACTCAGACCCATTCAGACCCACTCAGACTTCAAAGCCGAACATGCACTGCCAAAACTCAGCGCCTGCAAACTCCCACAAAAGACCGCAAACTACCGCAAATCACAAAAACACAGAGACCGTTGCAGGATGTAAGTCACACTATTTGGTGAGCCTTGCGCTGCTGTCAAGAAAGTGACAAGCTTTTAGGAGACTGCAGGCTTGAAGAATTGATTCAAGGGTGCGTACATTGGCTTCATGAAAGGCGCTGCGGATGCTGACACTTTGTCAGAGATAGAGACGCCGTATGCAAAATATGTGATCCGTCAAATAGACGTTTCTCAACGCTCGCAATGGAAGCTGCTGAGACCAGTCTAGTTCAAGCATCTTAACCCAAACTACAGCCTGTGCCGAGGCCCTTGCTCTTGAGCCTAATGTTAGTTACCAGTTACCAGCCGCGCCCGATTTCACCACTCCTAGTGTTGAATGCTTTTCACGGCTGAATTTTGTTTGTTGAATTGGCTGCTTGAGCACTCCTGAAACTCAGTGTTTTTGCGATCCTCCTAGAAAAAACACGGAGAACAGACAAACACAGTGGAAGGTGAAACGGAGATGTAAGATCCAGGGTTAGAATTTGGGGGTGCCGAAGCTGTGAATCGGTGATCCGTCTCAGGTGAACACCGGCTGCGGAGAGGGGGGCTGTGCCTTTGTGGAGGAGGCGCATGCGCCACAACGCGCCGACGTGCACCCGGCAAGGCCCAAATTGGGTATTTTCGGCAGCCCAAAAAGGGTGGCAATCATACTCCCTGTACTCCAAACATCTATTTGCTTCCGGGTATAGTTTGAAGAACTAGGTTTCCATGATAAGCCCCTCCTGGTCTAGTCAGAGGCCAACATTATTTGACATCATACCAGCTACAAAAAGTGGGTATTGAGAGACTACGGGGGTAAGTACTGCACACGGAACATGATTCATGTCATTATGTTGGACACGTTCTGCCATTCAAATGTGAAACAGGGACTCAGGACGAGGGTTTCGCGAACTTCTTGTTCACACAATGCAGCCAGGCCTTATGTTTTTTCTGGTTTAGGCGATTGCCCCCTTAACTCCATGAGTCTCCTAGCCTTACAAACAAAGATTACAGTCCCCTTAGCTCCGTGAGTCTCCCGGTTCAAACTGATTTGAGCGCGGCAGGCTTCTCTTTGTTGCATTTTGCTTGGATGTTAGGACTTTAACTTGTTGCCAACCAGTGTGTTTTCCATTAAACCACTAAAAGTTAAACTTTTAGCAGGGGAGCAGAAAGCAACCGAGTTCTCCCTCCCGTGTTTGTTTGTTTTGCTTCTTTCTTCGCGAGGCTCGAGTGGTCATGGGCCCGCCGGGCAACTGGACACTGCCGGAGAGCTGGCCAGGCGGGCGGCGGGCGTGCGGAGCCATGCCAAAGGAGGCAAGAGGCGGCCGAAAGAAAACCCGACGCGTGAGTCTTCTAGGTCCCCCAGCTAGGTGCCCCTGTTACCGTTTCTTTTTTGGTTGGGAGGGTTCCCCCACTAAAATCGACTACCGAAAAAAGGGCACCCTTATTCTAACCTCTCTACTGGAGGACCTTGCCTTAGCGACGAATGTTGGATGGTTCATTCTTGGGGGTTCAACCAAGTTGGCAGGTTAGAACCATGGACTTCAGTGGGGGAAAACTGAGTTAGTCCCCCAACCAAGTTAGAGGTTCGAACCAAGGATGTACGCAATTCGTGAGAGCCAAGGAGCATGGGTCCGAATCTTTCCGGCCTCTTATGGCAGTTTGGGACTTGGGACACTGGGCACTGGGGTTCTTCAGTTCTTTAGACGCCAAGTGGTGATTAGGGTGCCTAGTCCAGTTAAGCATCTCTGAATTAGCTGAGTTAAATGATCCAAATCCTTGTACAGCAGGTGGCTTTTCGATGTTTGCTTTCCGGAACCCGGATCCTTTCATTGGAGAGGCGACCAGGTAAAGCCATGATGTAAAACCTAAAGGCAGCTTGCTTCAGCTTACTTGAAAGTTCAACCAACTCAATAGGCTGCGACCCTAAAGAACATAATATAGCTGGGGCATTTGGGGTCGTCCCCTTACGCCACCCTAAGCTAGTATCTGAGGAATTGGTCGATCTCTTCCGGGTCCCCATGTTTTGGGGCCCCTTCTGGAGGGGTCTGCAGTGGGTAAGAACCCCGTTGGGTCAACAGGGGGCCCCTTAGACCTGGTTGTTGCTGGGAAACATTTTACATTGTTGCTCATTGTGGTTTAGTGGAAAACCCCCCATTTAACTGCTAAAAACAAAAAATGCTCCCCTTCCAACGGTTTTCAACGTCAACCAAGTAGAGTGGACCACGGGGGAACCCCTCCCGGCGCTCTCAGCCTTCAGGGCGGCAGCTGCCCATCGGCATGGATCAGCTGGTGGCCGCGCGCACAGCAGGATGCTGCGTTTGTGCGGAGTTGCGCTGGGGTGGGTCTGTCTTTTTTATTTGGGGGGGGGGGGCGCGCCACAGACGGTTTGGTGGTCCTTTTGATAGTGGGGAGAGAAAAAACGATATGCGTGCAACTAGAAGAATGGGGCCCGAAAGAATATATAACATAGAGAGCGCGACTTATGATGTCAAATGCGTTCTTTGGTTCAGCGCACAATCTGAAGCTCGTCAAGGGTACTGTGTAATTATGCAAGTGTCCTCGCGCAAACTGCGCGCAAGTGTGGTCGTGGGAGTCTTCTCGTGCAAGTGTGCTTGTGCAAGAGTGCAAGTTGCTTCCTGCAATGTGCTGTTGGCTTGCGTACTTTCTTGATTGCTTGCTCGCCTGCGTGTTTTCTTGTTTGTTTGCTTGCTTGCTTGCTCGCGCGCCTGCTTGCGTGCGTGCATGCTTGCTTGCTCTCTTGCTTTCCTGTTCCCGTGCTCTCCTGCTCTTTTGCTCTTTTGGTCTCTTGCTTGCTGGCTCGCTGGCTCGCTTGTTTGTTTGGGTGCTTGTTTGTTTTGCTGCTTGTGTGTTTCGTGGTTGTTTGCTTCGGTGTTTGTTTGTTTGTTTGTTTGTTTGTTTGTTTGTTTGTTTGTTTGTTTGTTTGTTTGTTTGTTTGTTTGTGTGTTTGTGTGCTTGTTTGTGTGTTTGGTTGTTTGTTGTGTTTTTCTTAATTTTTGAATTGTTTGATTGATGGATTTCATTGATTGTTTGATTTGATTGATTGATTGATTTATTGTTTGATTGATTGATTGATTGATCGATTGATCGTTTGATTGATTGATTGATTGATTGATTGATTGATTGGTTGGTTGATTGATTGATTGATTGATTGATTGATTGATTGATTGATTGATTGATCGATCGATTGATTGATTGATTGATTAATTGATTGATTTATTGATATATTTGTTTTTTTGTTTGATTGATTGATTTGATTGATTGATGGATTGACTGATTGATTGATCGATTGATCGGTTGATCGGTTGATCGGTTGATGGATTGTTTGATTGATTGATTGATTGACTGACTGACTGACTGACTGTTTGATTTACTGATTGATTGCTTGCTTGCTTGCTTGCTTGCTTGATTGATTTGATTGATTGATTGATTGATTGATTGATTGATTGATTGATTGATTGATTGATTGATTGATTGATTTGATTGTTTGTTTGTTTGATTGTTTGTTTGATTGTTCGATTGCTCGATTGTTTGCTCGATTGTTTGTTTGATTGTTTGATTGATTGTTTGGGTGATTGATTGTTTGTTTGATTGTTCGAGTGTTTGATTATTTGATGTGTGTTGTTTGTTGTTTGATGTTGTTTGTTTTGGGTTTGTTTGGTTTTGTTTCGTTGGGTTTGGTTTGCTTGCTTGTGTGTATGACTGATTGTGTTGCTTGGTTCAGTGTGTTGGTTGGTTTTGTTCTGCGTGTATTTTTCCTTGTTGCTTGCTTGCCCTTGCTTGGTTTCTTGGCTGCTTGGCTGCTCGCGTGCTCACTTGATTAAGATTGGTTCTTCGACTTCATTGCTTGCCCTTTCTTTGCCGTGTATGCTCTTCTTGCTTACTTATTCTTGGTTGTGGTTGATTTTTCTTCTTGTGGATTCTGTAGTCCTTGCCATGGTCGTTATCGTCACCGGTCGCCCAGGTCATTCCACCGTACTACCACATTGTGTATAACAACTTCACTGCCATAGGTATGGCACCTTGGCTTTAAGTCTCCGGTGCCTTGGCTTCCGTTTTCACGCTTGTTCCCTTGAACATCTCCCGAGGAGTGCCCTCGAAAGGTTGCGGCTTGCTGAAATGGGGTTATGCGCCAGGGTTCATCAACTCCCCATCGAGCTCAAAATGTCCCGTTTCGGGAAAAGGCATCCACACAGTTTGATGAATCTGGGGTCTATCTCCAGTGTCGTTTTAGCGAACATTTTCGCCGGTAGCGCCGGCTTGGTTGAACGAGAAGTGGGACACTATATTATCCAACACCTATGTTCAAACCACTTAGTAAGTAGGTGAGAACCGTGGACAGAAGTGGGCTAGCTGGGGTTAGTCCCCCTTATATAGCCATGTACAACCATGTGGTTAACACCTACTTACTCAGTAGTTTGAACACCCAAGTACGTCTAATGGTTTAGCTATGTCCAAAATGTCCAACAAGCAGAGATTTGGGGGGGGGGGTGCTGGGTCAGGCTCATTTCTTACCGGCCCAAACAAACCCCAATGGGCTTGACCATGGCACACAACTCCAGATACCAAGTTTTATTTAGGATGGCTTCAACACACAGTTTCCCATCACAAATATATCCTTATTTAGTCAGAGGTTGACATCATACCTTGACAAAGTTGGTATTTGGAGAAGCGAGTGTGATGCTTTCCTGATAATTTATAAGCGGGGGCCAGCCATATGAGCAGGGCGTCCATGTTTGGCTTCTACTACCCAATTTATTGGGAGTTACAGCAAGTACACACCCCCAAACGCCTACTTCTTGGACAGCACCTGGGTTTTTGGACTTGGGAAGAAGCAGTAGGAGGGTGGGTCGCTCGTGCATGTGAAAAAAGAAATTGTCGGCAGCTCCCGATTTTTCGGTCTCAAGTGGTAAAGCATTGGATTCCGCCTAGCTTATTTGCTCGATTTCGCTTTGACGTCAGGCTCGAGCTCTTCTTGTCAGGTTCAACATCAGTCCTCGAATGCTCAATCCTTGCCTTTGGGCGGGGAGATGTTTGAAAGTATAGAGAGAGCCCTTTAAGAACCCGTGCTTCTCCCATCCCAAAAAATCAAATTGCCTTTACCTTCCAAATGAGCTCCAAATGTGTCACCCTTTAACCTGTGCTTCTCCCAAACACTCCAATGCCTGCTTCCACATGGGTCACAGTACATGGATCTGGGCATGGCGGAAAGCGCTTCAGATGTCTGCGCAAACGAAGCTTCAGGTCGGAGACCTGAAGGTCTACGGAAAGCTTTCCATGGCGGAGGAGGAAGGTGGGACCGGAGGTTTAAGACAAGTGCCGGCATCTCAAAACCGGTTTCTGGGATCTGCTTTTCTACTCGTTTCTACTTCAACTGCCTAAGTGTATATGCTTTACACTTTTTTCCCTGTTTGCGGGAATTTGTCACTGCTGGCAATCTTTTGTTTGTTTTGTTCTTCTGGTGTTTATGTTTGTCCAGCGGACTTAGGCAAATGGAAGTTTAACATAGTTGTACATGGTCAAGGCGTGGGTTGGCCAGATGGCGAGGTAATTCTGCGGCGCATGTGTCTTGCTTAAGGAAAACCAACCGGGTGGGAGAAGTTTGTTTTTGGTATTGGAACATCAGAAACAAAGAGAAAGCAGCATTTCAGCAACATTTGTCCCAAGATTCGTGGACACCCAAATAGGCCCTCAATTTCAATGTGACCCCAGGTGAGTGTGGCCTTGGCCCAGGTCCAAAAATTCAGCCCCGATTCGGGGGTCCAATTTTCGTGGGGCCCTCGAGGAATCAGTCGCTATGGGTTCTCCATTGGAGGGCCCAAGGGTCTGCATTGCAGGGGTCATGACCGTTAGGGTAACAGGTTTCCCATACTCCATAGCTGTCGTAATTCGTGCAAAAGAGGCCTGGAGTACGAGCCACCCAGCAAAATGGCCTAGGTTTTCCGGTTGCTATTCCTTTCAAACCCAAAAAAGGGGGTACCAACTCCAAAGAAAAATCGAGCCACACACACGGTGATGTTTCGGGATGGCGAGAAAGGCGTCTCATCCGTTGGCTTGCCCGCAACTTTCCGCAAAACGACCGGAAATGGGGGGTAATTGTATCAGAAGGTCCTTTGGTTGGGTCTACCGCTAGCAAAAATAATATTTCAGCCACTAAGTGGGACAAGTCAAGTACTCATGGCCAACAAAAAAAAATATTTCAGCCACAAGGTTATGAAGTGGGACAAGTTGCTCATGATCAAAACTGGAGGCCCTAAATGGAATATGGTTCTCACCCCCCCCCCCCTTTTCTTTTTTGAGCGCCAGGTCTGAAGCTGCTGGTGAAGTCCATCCAGGTCCACGCCGGAGGCCGCGTGGCGCGCAAGCGATGGTCCGGGTGCGAGACCTTCGGGGAGGGGATGACGATGAGTCCAGGTTTTCCACGAATGAACCGGTTTTGGGATTCGCGAAAGGAAGCCATAGGGAATGGATGGTTTATTTCTTCGGGTCATTCCAGTTATTCCATTTCTCATGCTGAGAACCAGCAAGGTAAGCTTCCTGCAGTGATAGGTGTCCTTAGGCTAGTTTGGTTAGACATAGGGGGGTTCTGCTGGTTTGGACAGGGTTTATAACAACCGTTTAGTGGCCAAAAAGGGGGTTGACTGAAAAAGGCGTCTGTACCGGGTCAAACTACTTTTGTTTGGTCCAAGGGTCATGACCCCTTTTGACCCAATGCAGAACCCTCCATAAGGGGCCCTCCAATGAAGAAACCGAATCGCGACCAATTCAAGGGCCCTCAAAGCATCCACTTATGGGCCAAACTTATGGGTGTAGCCCCCCACTCCAAATATGCTATTTGTGGCATGTCAGCCTTCCACTTATGGGGAGAGTGACAAAACCTAAATCCGTGAGTGGGTGTGTGTGTGTGTGTTAGTTTCGGATGTGGCTTGTGTTTTAAAGCAAATATTTCGGGGGGTCCCCTGAAACAACACGCCCAGATGGTCAACAGTAGGTACCCAAAATGGCACCCTGGTAAATGGAACCAATGACTAACACCTGTGGTCCCCTGGTGGTTTAATTTTGACCCATACCCAAATGGGACATGTGTGCCATCCTTTCAGTGGGTTTCCGTCCTCGTTAGGCGTGATGCAAGTGGGCACGTCCTATGCCCCGCATCGCACCACTGCCATCATCTCCTTTTGGGGCGCCGCTTGGCCGCAGCCGAAAGCCGAAAGCCAACCGGTTGAACGAGCCCTTGCTTGGTTTTTTGGGGTTCAACCCCCATTAAAGCAAAGGTTGACCCAAGTTAGATGATGACAATCCTGAGGGCAATAGTGGTGGTTATATGAACCCCCATTGTTTTAATGGTGGTTTGACCCTCAGGGTGGTGTCAAAGGGAAGCCAAAGGACCACCGAAATCCATTTTGGGTGGCGAATGTTGGGAGAACACGGAACCCAAAGGAGAACCCGAATGGTTGCACCGGGTTTTCAATGGAAATAGAGATAACCCGTACTCCACTAGGGTATGTTGTCAAATGATGTGAGTCCCTGACTTGAAAGGAATTTATTTACCATAAAGCCATCAAAATATACCAACTGCGTAACAGCGGGTAGTTAGATGGGGTACCTGTTCATGAAGCCCGAAAAGACACGCCTTGAGTCAGGCGCCAGCCTAACGAGCGATTCCCCCGATTTGGGGGGCGGGGAACGAGCTCATGGTAGGCAGTTGCTTGGACCTGGTTTTCTCGACAAGTTGCTATTTTATCAGGTGGTTGGGGCCAACAATTCCCGGCCCCTCTTCTTGGGCTAGAAGAATCTTGGGACCTCAAAACAGCAGCGAAGGAATTTGTTGGGCGTTCTTTTTCTGCGAGGTGACTCAGCCTAAGCATCTTGGGACCTCAAAGGGTTCATTTTGGGTATGGGTCAAAATTTGAAGCACCAGGGAACCGCTCAGTGTAATCCTTGTTTCCACTTGCCAGGGTTCAATTTGGGTATGCCGATTTTGACCACCACACCCATTGTGAGGCAAAGAAAAGCTTTTCAAAGGTTCGGCCCAGGTTCGGCTCGACTCAAAGCCAACGGGTCCGGTTTTATTTTTTGTTTGGATTACAGGTGTGGGTACCTATTTTCCTATTTTTGACCACCACGCCCATTTGGAGCCAAAGAAAAACCCTTTCAAAGGTCCGGTTCGACCCGAAGCCGTCGGGTCAGGTGACCTACGACTCGTTCCCGGCCTACATCTCCACGAACACCGAGTGGGGCCGCAAGGTCTTCGGGGTCTACGAGGCCGGACCGGGAAGCGATGCCTTTGCTTCCTTCTCCGCTTCTGTATTTACCCATTGAAAGCTGTGTTGGTGGTGATCCCCTCACTAAGAAGGAGGTAGTTTAGTAAGTTTAGTGTGTTTAGTAGTATGGACAACCTGGTTTGACACATTGCGCCCAAGAATGAAACTTGAAGTAGGCTCCCTCTCAGCTGCCGAGGGAACCTGACAGCGGGGTTGGGCCTGTCTGCAAAACGAGAACACCAACCACGACTGCCTGCCATTTGCTGAAGACTACGTTTAGTTTTCCCCTGTTGGAATGGAAAGGGAATCTATCAGTACTGTTTGTAAATATCTTTATTTTTGCCACGGGACATATCTCGCACATGGAGGCTGCTCGTTGATTCTTTGGGCCCAAAAGTGGGAATTGGGAGAGTCTACCTGCTCAAAATACCAACTGTTGCCGTACTTGGGATTTTGGACATGGGGAAAAGCAGTTGTTGCAGGGTGCTGGGTTCTTTCAATGTGTTTTGTTGAGGGTCGTCCAAGGTAAATGCTTTCAATGGTTGCAAAGTCCCACTTCAATCATTTAGGGGTGGTGTTTTTTTTTGGGGGGAGCCCTTGGTGGGTTGTTTTAAGGAAAGCCATAAAAGGACACCAATCTTTTTGGAGGGTCTTCTGCTGGAATATTTGTCTGTTTTTGGGGGTCAAAGTCAGAAACTGGGGGGGTTCCCCCGTAACCTCTCACTTCGGGGGTGACTTTGATGGTGGTAAATAATGGGGCCATGTTCTGCTCGGGTTGGATTCAAAGCAAAGGTGAAAAAACGAGCTGGTAAGCAGCCCCCAAGCAAGGACCTTCAGGGGTCGAACCTCCATTGGTTTTGGTTTTGGTTGCCTCAGGGAGAAACAGAAGGCGACAATTCTTTGCCGCCCCGGCTCACGTGCGTTCGACCGGGCCAGCGCCCTCAAATAGCTCGCCTGGTAGAATTTGGGGGTGTATTTTTCTAACACCCCCCAAACTGGTTTGCCTTTTTTGACTTCCCTTTGAAACAGCCAGAAAAGGGTCTAACAAGACACCCGTCTGGTTGTCCAAACATCGCCTGGGACCCAGGCAATTACTGGGGAGGGGACATACCAGGTAGGGAACCACACAAGTGCAGCAGCGAATGAGGGAATGACCCCCTATTAACCATCCCTTGTGGCTTCCTTTATTACACGGGAATTTTCTCCGGTTCATTCCCAAAACCCTGAACGATCATCCCCTACCAATCGCAGCAAGTACATGAAGCCCTCCGAATTTTGATGTCCAAAACGTCCCGAATTAAACTTCATGCCCCTTTTCAAAGGGTCATCACCCCTTCCATGCAGACCCCAGAAGCTGACAATGGAGAACCCTGGGCCCTACACGATCGAACCTCAAAAACCGGTGGCAGGCGTTTTGTCCTGCTCAACAGTTAGGCTTTTGGCAAACCTATAGGTCCCCCAGCTAGGTGCCCCTTTTTTGGTTGGGAGGGTTCCCCTACTAAAATAGACATCCTGAAAACAAATCGGGTACCATCTTATTCTAACATCTCTCTACTGGACCTAGAGACCCTCCAGAACGGTCCCACCTCGCGAGTGCCGAGCCGAGCGCAGGGCAACGTGAGCCTCCACGGCAAGGCTTATACCCACAGCTGGGGTGAGCTCTTTGTGACTGCAGAGCCAGGCTCCGGTCGGTTCGTTGCCTTTCATGGGGTCGGTCAATTCGGTGGAAAATCAATTTTCTGGTGCTCAGGGAATGAGAAATGGAGTGCCGAAATAAACCATCCATTTCTGATTTGGTTTCCTTTAAGGAAATCGCCAGCTTCATTCCCTCACTTCCTGAGGAGCACCAGGAAGCCAGGGACACCCCAGAGGGCCTCCTTTTTGAAAGGCAGTCGTGGGCCTTGTAAAGAAGGCGTCCATTCTGAGTTGCGAGGCCAAATCTTCAGGTGACAGGAGCTTTCACCTTTCCTCGGGTTCGTACCAGTTTTGGCGGTTTGGGCACAAGAGGGTGCCTTTCATAGTAGGTTCCCCGAAACAATGGGTTGGTGAATTGTTAATTCACTCAGATTTAGATAGGGATTCACATTTGGTGTTTCAGGGGAGGAGGGTTGAGTTTCAGGGGGGGTTCGGGTATGTTCGAGGTTGTCGGATTGTTTGGTAGGTTTTGAGTTGGTTTCTCTCGTGGGTTTTCCTTCTGCATTGCCAGCCGCGGCTAGGAGATGAGATGATTCGTGCCAGGGGCCCCAGATTTCAGGGTCCCCGACACACCGCCAAAAAGTGGGTGGTGTGCGGTGTGCGGTGTGCGGTGGTGTTTTTATTGTTGTTTCGGGGGCCGGGGGGCGAGTTCCGAGTTCATTTCCATGTGGGCTTTAGAGAGATCTTTGATTTTGTCAGCACTCGCCGGCTGCTTTTTGGAGCATGCAGAACAGCAACCATAAAAGAAAGAGTCGGGCTTGGGATCTGGGAGGAAGTCCCAATTTAGTGGCACTAATTCCTATTTCCTTGTGTTGAATGGCTTCACTAACTCACTTCCTTCCGTTTGGTTTCCCTTTAAGCCCACCAAAAAGTGGGCGTGGCTCAAAATCAAAGAGCCAGGGTTACAGGTGCCGGGTACCCACTCCAAAATCCGAGAAGGTGGGTCTTTCTAGGGGACACTTCCCCATTCTTTCCAGGGATGCTTCTTTCCAGACCATCAGAACCCCAGGGGAAGCAGCCGGTTTCTGAGAAAAGAAGGATGGTTGAAAAGAATGGAATCGGAATCAACCCCTGGAAGAATCTGAGCAGAGTCGGGCCAAGCTAAGACGCGTTAGTGGAACCTGGGGGAAGCAACCCCTGGCTGAGGTACGCGAAGATGTGGGTGACTGGCCCGTGGGCTCGGAGATCGCCCTGACCACCAACGAGTATCCCAGCCTCAACGAGACTTGGAAGATGCAAGTTGCCGAGCTTCGGAAGTGTCCTGTATAGAGTAAATTGGATGTCTAAGCCAACATAGACTTGTAAACCCAGTATAGATGGATTTAGCCATTTTACTTCTTTTTTGTTTTAGCTTTTCTAGATGGTAAAAAATGCACACCCAGAGGCTCCCGATTCATTTAAGGCCCTCAAACAGCCAGGTTTCGAGACCCCTAAACACCTCCGGGGTGTCCAACGGAGGGCTTTCGATATAGGGTGGACAAAATGTGGAACAGTGTCAGTCTGTGTAGCCCTTTGTGGACCAAGAGAGTGAACACGTGAAAGCTTTCTCCTTGAGAAATAGGCACTTGATCTGGTTGCTTGATCTATGGAACTTGTGAATCTGCGGAGCCCTGATTTCTTGAGTTGAGCCAAGCCCACTTGTTTTTTCATATCGTCAACATAATCCTGATTTGTTGATCAATCTGCATTACAGTTCAGACTTCAGACTACCCCATTTTTTTCTTCGGGAAGGCGCTTGTGTTCAATTCCCAAATAGGTACTTTGTGTAATTCCCTATGAGAAACAAAAAATAACACACACACACATTTTTGCATTTGTCGAAAAGTGAACGGTTTTCCGCTAACACAAAACAGATACCTCAAAAGGACAAACCCTGATCTTCACTGTTCTTGGCCTAGTTCTATTGTTAGTCGAATCTGTTTCATTTAAGTGGGTGTTTGCAGAAAGCTTTGACTTGTGCTCACACGGTTAGGATTGGAACACCCACCAAAACTGTTGGTGAACATACATCCCCATAGACATGATGCCCGCCTATCCCCCATGAATTTTCAGCCATTTGCTTCACCTGTTTTTATTATTGTTCATTTCCTCTGTTTCTTCGGGGTGTCCACCCATCCCAGATGATTGTTCATCCATTTGTTAGCTGTTAACACGTGTTTTGTGTTTATCCATTGTTATTGTTATCATGATTTTACTTGGTCAATTTAGAAGGGGATTTATCACTGGACATACTGTGGATGGACGACTTCTTGGTACCCTTGATTGTTTTGGGCCCACAACGCCCCGCCCCCCCTCCCTCTTTTTGGGCTGGTGAAGCCACGCCTTTTGTTCAGCTCCTTCGGCAAGAGGGAGGGAGTGCACCTCTGCATTACACGTATCTTGAAAAACAAGCGCATGCATTTGGCCACTCGAGTAAATAACATGACCCCCGAGAGAAGGGCTCCTTTTGGAACACAACAACCGGCTTTCTGTGGTTCAAATACTTGTTCAATATTTTTCGCATGATCACTTTTTTTGTTTGCAATGGTGTCTTGGGAAATGTAAGAATGGTTCCCATTGATTTTGGGCCCTCCAAGCTGGGACTGTTTCCAAGAGCCCCTAAGGAATTGGTCGGGGTTCTCCACTGGAGGGCCCAGAAGTCTGCATTGGAGGGCTCATTAGCCATGTCTTGGGCTCGAAGTCCTCTCGCTCAGGGCACCTTCACGGAACGGCGCTTCATCGTGAGCATCGTCTTCTACCCGCCCAGCACGGAGATCGTGCTGGACCGGCCCCTGCACCATCGCCACTTCGCGGGCAAGGCGCGGATGAATTCGTCGGATTCGAAGCCGACGACTCGCGCGGCGCGAATTCGAGTTCGAGGCGGAAGGAGGTACTGGGCGTGTCTTCTAGGGATTTTAGGGGAACCCCAACCGCCAGGTTTTGGTTGGAAGGAAAAACATGTTTTTTGCACGTAGTCAAAGGGAAGCCTTTGTTCTTGAGTGTTTCGGGTGCCGCTGGCGGTCCTTCATTTTCCCTGTTCAATCTCAAGAAGCGCAGCCTCAACGAACAACTGGTCCGATCGATTTGTTTTTTTGGCATGTGTGTTTTCTCAGCGGCTACCCATTGGAGGGTTGGCAAGGACAGCCCTCCCTTTGGAGGGTTGGCAAGGACAGCCCAGTGGCCAGCTTCCCCCTCCTTGGTTTGGTTTGGGGGCTTGGACGTGGCTACCTTCCCCATTTGATTTCAATCCAAATCCCCAATTCAGGGTTGGGGCCAGTTTCAGGTTGGTTTACAGGGAAACCAACAAGAACCCTCAGCATATTGGGGGTGCCGCTTCCTATTTTGAGACACCCCTGAGATAGTGAATGAGCGGTTCATTTGGAGAGGACTTGGGGGGGGAGCCTACCCAATAGCCTCTATCTTGTCACAACAAATTGGGGGCGTACCCGATTGGACCAACTCTTCTGTTGTCCGTTGTTGATGTCTTACCGAGAACCCAGGTTCACCTGTTGTTCCCCGAGCATGAGCGAATGGCTTCGGTCTTTGAGCGCATGTTGCAAAGGAAATCCAGCGACCGGATGTTTGCCAATCACAGAAAAAGATGGCTCCGACCCGGGTTCTCCATATGGGTATGGGTCAAAAAAAAGGATCAAAACCTGCGGTCCATATCCTGGTGCTTTATCTGCTGACCCATCACCCTATGGCTATCAATTTTAATGGAGGACCCCCTGCAAAGCGGTTGGTGGACATACATCCCCAAATGATGTCCACCAAAGGGTCCCGAATTCAAGCTTGATTCATACCCACATGAGTCAAATGCATGGCCTTTTTTTTGTCGTTTCCTCGTGGTCCCTCCCCAAAATCCGGTGGCACCTTCAATGCTTGCCCCACCTCTCGGGCGTTCGGCGTTCGGCGGGCGCGGGCGTTCGGCAGGCATTTGAGGACTCCAGCGGCACGCTGAACATCCACTCCAAGGCGCGGCGGGGAGTAACTCGCTCGATCCGTTGAGTTGGACTTTACTGGCGGCTTCCAATTGCTGCAACGAATACAACTCATTGGAAGTCCAGTTGGTGGATGGAGTTGACCTGATTTTTTTACTGGGACGTCCTCTTTATTTTCCCCTGGTTTTAAATGGAATCTAGCACTTTGAAATATGCATTTAAAAAACCATAAAACATATCAGGGTCTCCTCCAAAACAGATTCATATTTTGGGGTGAACGCATAAATGAAACAGGGTCAGAACATGCTTTATTCTGGCCCCAGTTGTGGGCCAAGTTTAGACACTTTTGGAGTTTGGAGATTGGAGAACAACCAAGATAAGGACTTGGTTGGCCAATCCAAGGAAGTGAGTCAATTATTTGGATAGCTTAGAGTAAATGCAGGTTGAGACTGGCATTCCCTGCGAGTGTTCTGGACTCTTTGGGGTCGCATAGCGACCCTTCAAAAAATCGAGACCCTGACGGTTAGACCCAAGCCAAACAGGGTACCTTGAAAAAGAGAAGACCCACAGAGGAAATCATCTTAGATCCATGCTTACCTAGTGCTTGCCTGATAGACGTTGGTTGAGCATCAAAGTGGTTGTTTGAGGGAACCCACATGGGTATTTTGCAACTTTAGTTTCCCAACCTAAGGGTAGCCTTTAAATCACGCCCCCCTCTTTTTCCAAGTAGGCAAACAAATCCGACCCCAAGTAGATTGCAAAGGACCCGGTCCCCCCCCCCCCCCACAAAAAAGAGAGAGAAAACAAACCAAAGTGTTCAGGGTACCCCCCAATCGATAGGGGACATTTTCACGGCAAACATTTTGGAAGATCCAAAAACCGAAGGTGGCGCTGCTGAGCCGCAGCATCTTAGTCACCACGGAGGAGGCCTTCACAGGGGCCGCGCCTCGGAGTGCGACGGCGGGGGCGATTTTTGGGGATCCGAGGGGGTACTCCGCTCCCGGCGGATTTGTTTAGGTGGTTTGTTAGGAGACTCTGCTGGTTTGTTGGTTAAGATAAATATGGTTTGAAGAAAAACACTGGTTTGCTAGGGAACATATACACATAAACATATATATATATATGGTGGACCATGCCGGGGGGGGAACACGGGACACGGTGCCATATATACATATATACACATGTGTGTTGGTAGGATTAGGTTTTTTTTTAATTAGTGAGGCCCACATGTCACACAAACAAGGGGTGTGGGTTCCCCAACCCCCATTGACATTCTCGGGTTCAGAACGGCCTTGTGAAACTCGGCGGTACGCAGTGGTGCTGATACGTGAACCCTAGGGTACAGGTCCCCGACTTGAATCCATCCAAAGCCCGAAGCCAGATACGGAAAACAGATTTACAAGGGATGCTTTTGGTCGCCAAAGCCGTTTCTTTTTCGCGAATCATTCTTCACTCCTTTGGGCCCATTACTGTTGAATGGAACTCCTTCCCTACACATCAAAACAAGCACATTCCAAACCCAAACCATCGAATAGCTCATACTGTATGGACTCATACCCTTTCACCAACCATGGAAGTGCTCCCCACCCAAGAACACAACAATATCCTTCAGCTTCCCCCCTTCCCCTATTGGGTCTCTCAGGTCTGTGCAACCTCCTGCAGGGCGGATCAGGTCGAACACCTAAGGACAATATCCCCCGAGGTTCCAATTAAACAGCTGTTCGAGTTTGCCCCCAAAGGGGGTCGACGCCTTGAATGTCCATGAGCGTCTGAGAAGATGATTTGTCAATCGACTCAAACAGGTGAAAGGAGGTATCCACGCATCGTGCGCAGCCAAGATTTCCTAACACAAAGACCCAAGCAAAAAGTAAAACCCAGGCCCATGCGCAAAGGGGTGCATACAAAAAGCACAGATGTCCCGACCCTGTCGCATACTTACCATACAATAATAACATATGTCCGGAGGAGAGATTAAACATGCTTAAACACCCATTGTCTATCTCACATGCTGTGGGGGTTGTAACACAAGCTCTGAAACTCGTAGTTTGCCAAGCACGGAATCCAAACAACCATTTGACCTTATAAGGTAAATAGTTCTTTCTCAAGAGCCAAGTCTCGTGTTCCTGACCAAACTCGCCCCAACAACCTGTTTTGGAGACGAGCGGCAAGCCTTGAGCCAGCACTCCTACCCCTACCCGTATGGAGAACCCGTGTTTGGGTTCCAAAACCCGAGTCTTGTGAGCGGGGGGCGGTTGCGTGGGATCCAGTGCTTCGCGACGAACGAGCGACTCGAAAACCTTGAACCAGGTCAAACAAAGACCCCAGCTGCAACCAGATCAAAAAAAGAGACCTTGGACAGGTCAGGGGGAAAAAAGAACATACCCCTCGAAAACCGACCCAGCGGCCGATCCGAGGAGCGGTTCCCGGACGCGGAGCGGGGGGTGCCCATCGCGGGGCACGGCGGGGAGTGGTTCGGCCAGCACATGGTGGTCTCCGGCGCCTCTTTCCTGTGCCTCGGACTCGCAGACTTTGAAACAAAAAATGGGAAAAGTTTCGTCCAAGCACGGACACCCAAACCGGGTGCTGCCTCTGCGTTTTTGTTGTTTCCAATATGTGTTTGTTTGTTTTTTTTGAGGGGGGGAGGGGCAAGGGAGGAGAGTTTTGTTTTTTTGGTGTTGTTGTTTTTTGGGGGGGTGGGGGGAGCGCGGGGGGAGGGGGTTCCCTTGCAGCTCAATTGATCAGGAGTGTCATCATCCAAGTTGGATTCTTGCCATTCTTTTCACGGGCAATGGGTGCAATGGGTGGGGTGCAAATCCTCTTTATTGTTTTTGTTTTAACGACCGCTCCCCCCCCACCCAACAAAAATCAATGCGCGTGCCCTTTTATTCCCCAATAGCCACTGGGGGTGTGGGATCCAACCTAATGGCGGACTCAAGATTCAACTTGTATTTCATTGAGCCTGCCCTTTTTGGCCATACCATAGAAGATGATATGTCGTCCCCTTACTAAAGAAGGAGGTAGCCAGGAAACGGGTTTTGAACAGATACCCAAACGAAAAGAGGGTATTGCAAGAAGGGGGATAGATGTTGAACTTTTTTGCAGAGGCAAGGGACCTCCATTGCGAGGATTTGGTTGCCCCAGAATGGATGCCGCTTTGAGTGCATAATTGATGCGTGCTTGCCACGCATGACGCCGCATGATCGAGACTGGAACCCGCACCATCCTTTGTCGTACCAGTGTCTAAGCCAGTACTGAAAGAGTCTTCTATCAACCAATTGCAGTGCAGCTTGTGAAGCATGTATGGCAGGATTCCGAATCAAGTTTGACTAAAGAACAACATGACTGAGTGCCACAAGCCGAGCATTGCCCAGAAGTGCGAAGAGCACAGGCGGGTTTGGCGTTTGCATGCTGAAGCTGTGTTGATGCGACCCTTGCGGCCCAGCGGTTCCTGACACCGAATGCGGCTTGGACAGTATGAAATGGAGTTTTCCGGGAAGCTTGACATGTGGCGCCGCCCTGGTCACCTGCCTGGCTCTGCATTCCTTGTACGCTTCCAGCTGCAGCAAGAAGCAAGCCGAGGCTTGGGGTGCGCCGGAGGCCTGGAGAGCTACCAGCTGCCAGGTCTTAGCAGCAGGCGTCAGCTGCTCGGGTGATCAGCAAGTCTGCACCAGCGGCGTGCAGCCAACCATCATGCCGTCGACGTGCCCAGGGATCTTTTGGTGTGCGGGAGAACAAGAGCTCTGCAGCTGCCGCGGAGAGATCACCTATGCAACAGAGCTATTCGATGGCTCAACATATGCAATACCCTCAGTTTCTCAGACGTACAAGGTATCTTCCAACGGATCCTGGCGGTGTGGCACGGATCAGCTTGGTCAGCCGTTTGTCGACCCTGCACCTGGAACAGCAAAACATTGCTGGTGCATGCCCACGGATGTCCAGCGGGTCATGCAGCCCTATGGTCAGAGTTCCTTGCAGAAAGAGCGCTGTGCCAAATCCGCCGCTGCCGCCTTTGCTTCGGCCCGGCGCCTGTCGCGCGCTCCGCGGCGACTCGGCCTGGAGGCTTTGAGTCGACGACGCCGGGTGGCGTACGAGCCCTGGGCGCTGGTGGCGGTGGAGTCTGAGGTGGGGCAACAGCTCGCCTGCGCCTATGAGTACGGGGTACCTGTGGCGGGGATAGACACAGACGCCGTGCAAAGCGGCAATTTGGCCCAGAGCTGGGGCACCGTGGCTTCCAAGCAGTGCTGGGTCCGCACCCACCAGTCTCACCTGCCTGGCTCTGACTTGGGGACGTGCGCGGTGGCACTGGTGATGCCGTCTTCCTTGAAAGATGCAGTTGGAGGTATGCAATGGTATTTCATTATGTGGGTTGTGTTGGGTTTCATCATTACGCTCCTGGGCGGAACTGCGATGGTCTTCTCGTGTTTGAAAGAGCGCGCGGCTCTTTCAAGTCTTGAAGAAAGTCAAACACTCGTGGGAACCTCGCTGCGTGTACCGTAGTTTGCAATGGAGCAGGAACTAGTCAAAGCACCTAGTCCTTGCAGCACATCAGTTTGAAAAGCAAATTGAAGCCGCTGCGAGAGGCATTTTGTCACCCTCGGCAGGTGTTCGCAAAGTCATGTTGACTCCGGATGAATCCGGAGGACAGTAGTAATCAGGGGTGGCTCCATCTTTAGTAAGACAATTATTTTTTTTAGCGGGTTCCTCTGACTAGCAGCGCCCTCCGGAATAGTCTGAGTTTAGCATTTCCCCAGGGTTCAACCCCCAACAGAAAGGTTGACCCAATTTGGATGAAGCTTGTTAGGTCAAAAAGGGTGGTTATCTGAACCTCGCTTGTTTTGATGGTGGTATCTGAATCCCAGCGTACCGGGATGCCCCCTATACCTGACTAAGGACTTGGTTGTTTCAGGGATGCACCTCTGGTTTGAGGCTTGCACCCACGTGTTTGGCTCAAAGTGGCCACGAGCAACGCGGCTTCGGCTTCGCGAATCAGCGAATCAGCGAATCAGCGCGTCAGCGTGCGTCAGGTCGATGTCCTGGGTGCAGCTGAACCGGGGGGGCCAAGATGGCCTGGGCTTGACGCGCTTCCCCGCGCTGCGGGTCTTCCAGCCGGAGATCTACACTCGACGCTCGGCGTGTAAGCCCGAAACCAATCGTCTGAGGGCACCGCACCAACCCTTTTGGGGAAACAAAACAGCCGGCGTTTGCGGGAAGGGCTGAACATGGGGGGAATTTGAAAGTATATGCATCACGTGAAGGGTTGTGCCTGGTTACCTGCAGCCGGAAGCACAGGGCACAACCAGGCTTTCATCACTCAAACTCATGGCACGTGCGCCGACCTCGCTGGCTCACTCGAGTTCAGTTCGGATTTGTTTTTTTTGGGGAGCCTAGAGTCTCCATGACCCTTTAAACATGGGGTTACCCCCTTCTTCCGGGCAATGGAGACTCTAGGATGTTCAAAATGTTTGGACTTGAGAGGGAGTTCATACATGCTTTTCTTTTTGGGAAGACGTGTTTTGGCCAAGCCACTGGGCGGAAGTGCGGTGGAAAGAGCGGTCTTCGCTCGGGCCTGGATTTCGACAAATCGAAAGTTTTTAAACTTAGATTCCAGTGAAGCAAAATGTCCACTTTAAGAGGTCCAAGCAAGTTGGAAGTGGTGCATGGGTCCCATGTCCTTTTTTCAGGAAAGCTAACACCAGGAAAGTCAATGTGCGGGAAGCACCATTCAGGGATCGAACCCTAAGTGGGTTCCAATGGACGGGTTCCAGCTTGGGCCAAAAAGGCAATCATGCGTATGTAGCACCCGAAAGGAACGCATGTGTTGGTTGAGGGACCCTGGTTTGCTACTCATGTTTTGCGCCAGCTGAATATTTTTTGAACATGTTGGAGTAAAGCTTCGGCCAACCCGAGCGTGGTTGTGGGAGCGCACCCGGTGCGTTTCCCAGGGCGCATCGAAAAACATGGGATCTCCCAATCCGATTTGCGGACTCGAATTGCTGGTTTCAAGGTTCGCGACTGCCTGGGTCAAAACGGAGCCTGGTTGGTCCGACAATTGATTCCAGAAGGCTCCATTCTCATTTGGCCCGGAGAACCCCACTGGCGTGAGCTGTCCGGAGCCTTTGTCGCAAGGAAACCTGCCCAGACCCTACCTGGAGGCCGTGTCTTTCACAGATAGCCTGGGCCTAAGTCTGCCGCTTGAGGTATGTTTGGGCGTGCTTTAGTGCCCCAATGTATTGGGCCCCCTCACTCCTCACCTCAGTTTTTGTTTGAGCTATATTAGAATCATTAGAAGACGTGTTAAAATGGGGACCCCCAACTTCCATGTCGTGTTCCAAGTGTAAGAAATGAAACAAGTCTGGCAGGGCTCAGTTTGACCAGGCGCCGTTTATCCAAGACTGGGGCCACAAGAGACGTTGGGGTTTTACAAGTGATTTCCCTAACAACACCACACATGCATGTGGGATTGCTGCAACAGATTCGGACACCCACTCGTCTCAAGATTTGCTTAGCGTCCAACAAACTCCCAAGTCTTCGGCGCTCGCCGGCTTTCACGTTGCGCCTAAAACGACCATGCAGTTGGAGGATACATCATGCAACTGTTCGGCCCTTGGCAAGAGGGTTTGTCGTTTGTCTCAAGATAGGGTAGCTGCGAAGCTGGCAAGTTCGGATTTTTGGAGGCGGGCCGGGTAACCCATGTTCAGAGCAAGGTAGACTTAACATCCAGGAATTGGTGCCTGAAGAGTGGCGAAAACTGTGTAGTCTTTGAATCAAAACCTGGAAGTCTCGCAGGATTTCATCCATCCCAGGAGCAGGAGCATCCAAATAGGTTTCTTTCTGAATAAAGCAAAGGGGAGAAGGCAACGTACAGTATGGCTTGTTGGAAACTGTTGGTGGGATGTCTCGTCAATCCATCTAGTCTCGGTAAGCCAAATGTTGGCCTTCAGCACCATCATCATCATCATCATCGTCATCATCGTCATCATCATCATCATCATCATCATCATCATCATCCAGCATCAGCCTCGTTATTGTCCTCATTATCCTCATCATCCTCATCATCCTCATCATCATCATCATCATCATTATCATCATCCTCATCCTCATCCTCATCCTCATCCTCATCATCATCATCATCGTCATCGTAATCTTAATATTCATCCTCATCCTCATCCTCATCCTCATCCTCATCATCATCTTCTGCATCATTTGCATCATCTTCATCCTCATCATCCTCATCATCCTCATCATCCTCATCATCCTCAATCGTCGTCATCATCCTCATACTCATAATCATCATCATCCTCGTCATCAGCATCATAGTCGTCGTCATCATCATCATCATCATCATCATCATCATCATCATCATCATCATCATCATCATCATCATCATCATCATCATCATCATCATCATCATCATCTTCATTTGTTTTTAATTATTATGATCATCATCATCAGCATCATGGTCATCGTCATCATCATCATGATCATCCTCACCGTCCTCATCACTAATTATCATCCTCCTCCTCCAAATCCTGATTGTCGTTATCGTCGTCATCATCATGCTCATCGGGGCCCTAAAAGTTTCGGCCTATGCACCCAGGTATGCCTGGTAAGCGCAGAACAAAGAAGGCATGGGATGTCAGAGCTCGCGAGCTGGTTTTCAGTTGGGCGCAAATGGCAACAGCTCTTGTTTTTGTTTCATGGAGTCCCGGTCAAATAATGAATTTTTCGCCCATTAAGGTGATAAAGTAGTCAGGGCACTGATCCATATCTCTGAACCCCCCCCCCCGCGCGGCGAGGTTACATCCGGGCGCTGGAGGTGGTGGGCTCTTGGGGCCTCGACCTGCTGGACAGCGTTTTCTGCTCGACAAGGCCCGAGAATTTGAGCTCTCGTCCCAGGTGCCCCTTGTGGATGTTCAGCCTAGCTGGTTGACCATGGCTGAAAAGTCAACCAACCTCCGTTGTCCCACATATACTCCTGGTTATGATCTTCCGGTCGAACATCTAGCTACTCCAAATTTCCGCTGTTGTTCTTTGAAGAAACCCGGAGTTCCACGATAAACGCAGTAGGGTCCCCTTTGCGAAGCTCCTCATATATCAAGACAAACATTGGGCGAGGGTTGTAGGGTGGCCTTTCGCGCATGGAAGAGCCCATACTCGGAGCTCAGGGATCCTTCCACCCCAAATATCCCAATTGTTTTTCGCCCTCAAAACTGGTTGTGTTCCAGGGCCCTGAAGAATCCCAATTGGTTCCATGGGACGAGCCACGTCCGATCGATAGGGGGCCAGCCTTGGAAGCGGGAGTTGACATGGGCTCCTTCTTCCTGCTGCGGAACTTGGCGCCCCGACTCACGAGTCCTTGACTACTATTGGGTTGGATCTTTAGACTTTAACTTTTTGGGAAATCAAGGGGTTTTCCACTAAACCCCCAAAAAGTTAAACTTTTTGCAGGGGGGTCAACAGCAACCAAGAGTCAAGCAAACAAAACGGATCTCAGGTGGACCGCAGTTTTTGGTTTGGGGATTTGAACCCCTGATTTTGGTGGCCGGTACTTGGGAAAACCACCCCACACCTCCAAGCCACCCATCCAAACCAGCAATTACAGGGAAGCCCACGGATCTAATTGATCTAATTGATCTGACCTTTTGGTTTCCCGGATTTGGCCCATTTCGAATCCCCCCGAAACACAAATCATCGGATCGAAATGTTGTGCGATGTTTGTTTTGTTTTCGAACGCGGTCCAACTTCCATCCCAATGCGCCTCTCTCACGCTCAAACATTCCTTTTCCTGGACCCTCAAATTACCTTCAAACATTGGTTATGGCCCAATTATGGTGGGATTTCCCTTGTTTAAGGATAGTGTTGAGGTTTTTGTTTTGGACGACAATACCCGGTTTGCCTCCAGACCTCAAGGCCTAGGTCTTATCCAGGGGGTTGGGAGGGGATCCTGCCATTTCCCTTTACATACCAACCCAAACTGGAGGTCTCCTCCAAGATTCTGTTGCGTTTTAGGGCAAAAAGTATGTCATTTTCTGTGCACCCCTGTCTTGTGGGCCAAGAGCACGTGTCAAAATAGGGAAGGAACCCCCCAACAAACATGGGTGGTTCCGCAAAAAATGCCCGAAGCCTATCCTCACTTCAAGCCGACCTGTTCCCTTGGTCCCAATGGGGATTGTGCCTACGCTCCAAACACCCAGTAGTGAATTGGGTTCATGTTGGCAAACCTGCCATAGTATATATCCTGTTTCCGTGAGGGGCTGGCATCAGTTGACATCGCACTCAAAAAACAGTGGGCATTTGGAGTATGGATTGGAGTTGGCAAACACATACATTTGAAGAGCCCAGCTTTTCATGAAACTGGACCCACACAGCTGTTTGAGTTCCTTTTGTGCGCAGGGTGGGGAAATGTTGGTTGCGAAATCCCGAATTTTGACGAGAACTCACGCTGTTGCCAGGTGTTGGGAAGTTCAAACAACATATGGGTGTGTTTGTGTCTTTTGTTAGCATATTCCAAAAAGGGTACCATGAAAAAAGGACACGTCGTATTCAGCTTCATCTGTAAAGAGATGGCCCTGTGGCAAACTTGTTCCAAATTACATGCATGTTTTGGGGTTCTGCGAAATCCAATGTTATTTTGGGGCGCCAATCAAAATGACCATGTCCTGGGGATTCCACTTCACCGATGGGATTCTATCCTTTTGCTGGTCTCTGCTCGCAGAACGTAAAAAACTCTCCACTCGTCCCGGGGGTTTTCTCGTTTCTTCCAGGGTTTGCAAACCCGGCCCCTTTTTGTCCCTATAGGTCATTCAGCTTCCTTTTGGTGATACGCGGAAACCTGGCCAGGAACTTTGGGGAACCTCAGTGAAAAAGGAATCCCCGATGGATGTCCAACGGGACGAACCCCTTTCTATGGCCTCGAAACGTGGTGAATTTCAGACCATTTTTTGTGATGCCCTTCAGCAGGCCATTCAGGTTTGAACCCACTTTTGGTCAAAACCCCCTTTCTGCAAGGTTTGTTCCCCTTGATTTCCCCTTTGTCGCGTTCTTTTTTCCCTTAACCACTCCACCAAAAACACACAGGCACAGACACAGAGACTGTTGAGCATCCAGGCTTGGCCACCTTCCCACCGCGCATCCCTGTAGTTACGATGGATGTCACAGAAGAACTGACCAGTTTGGCAGCGGGTGAACTCTTCGTTGGCGCAAAACCGACCCACTTGTGGCTTGGCACAGGCACGCAAGGACACACAGAGACACGCAGATATACACAGAGGCACAGAGAGAGACAGGAATACAGAGCAGACATAGAGCAAACACACGCTCACAGACATTCTGAATTGTTATAGGAAGCCACGTTAAAAGTGGTGAACGTGAATCCCGGATTTCTGTCCACCAAAGGCGCCCCCTCCAAACCAAACTTGGTGGCTTTTCCAGGTGTGTCATTTGAAAGAACATCCCTTAAAAGATTACAAAAAGGATACCCCCCCCCAAAGAAATGGTTGTCTGGTGGACGCCAACAAAAATGCATCGCGTCCCAAGGCCATCGATACGCGTCCTGAGCCGCCTGGGGCGGAGTTGGGCTTGACCTATGAAGCTCGAGCTTTCGATGGGTTCGGACCGTGGGTCTGTGGTCACCGTGGTTTTGGACGTGGGGGCACGCTGAAGGGTCAGGTCATCCCCACGCGTCAATTCGAAATTGACGAGACATTTGGAGCCCATTCGAAACCAGTGAGAAATTTTGGAGCCCAGTGATGGGTGTGTCTGGTCTTTTGGATAGACCAGTTTGCTAGTTTGGGTTTTAAAAGGGACACCTTTCAAACACCAAACATCCAGTTCGGTCCAAACTCTTTTTTTCTTAACAGTCAATTTTAGCGCGGGGTCGGCCAACCCCGCGACGCGACAGTTCCCTCGAGTTTTAAAGTGCCCTCTTCAAGTTGTGCTGGCATACTTTGGGAAAACCGGTTTCTCATTACCTCATTGTTGAGGACACCATCATACGAACACATTTGGCGTTTTGTTTGGGATCCCGTGTTGAATGCTTGAGTGTTTTATTCCGAGCATGGCACCCGCATGAAGAGATCCCCTATTTGAATCATTTGAAGCCCTCTTGGACTGGACGTGCTTAACTTTCTTGGACCAAAAGGCATTTGGTTACTTGGTGGCTCCCAGCCATCCCCTTAGCTTTTTAGCCTTTTAGTGTTTAGTGGTAGTTTCCATTCAACCCACTAAAAGTTAAACTTTTAGCGGGGGATCTGAGGGCAGCCCAGTTTACAGAGGCATGTTGTTCACTTTGTATTGGTTGGAGTGTCAAGAGTATGTGCCATCAAAAGCCACGGCAACTTGTGGAATTTGGTGTGGTCCTGGGCTCGGGGTTGTGGACATAGAAGGAAACTCCAATGTGGTCGTTCCTCAAAATGTGATTCGGACCCCCTGCTGGTAGTTGTTCAAAGGATTCCAAACAAACCTCCTTCGATGTTTAAGAACTGGATCCATATTTTCTGAAGCACCCGGATGATTGTGTAACCTGTCCATGGTTTCCCCTGACCTTTTTTTCAGGGCTGGCTTGCGCTGATCGGCCCGTTTCAGCATGGCTGTCCGAGGAACCCACCGCGGTGTTCCAGCTACAGGTGCCCTCGGGGATGGGCACTGGTCCAAGCAAAGGAGGGGCCGAGGCCTCATGTTAGCCCCGGATTAATCAGAACCCCTGGTTGATTTTGATAGGGGGGTGTCCAATTCCTGTTAGTGGTTGGATTCAGACCACTTTTGGAGGGAACATGTCCCCCTAAAAATGAGACGGGGCTATGAATCCTGGGTCAACAGTAACGGGAGGAAATGCCATCACCCCAAAGGTCTCGATTGCTTTTAGTTCCCTCAAAACTGGTTGATTAATTTCAAATGCCCCTGCATGGTCGGGGTTCTCCGTTGGAGAGCCCCTTACGCATTGGAGGGGTCATGACCCTCGGGGCAAATAGGATCCTTTCTCAAAAATCCTGGCCAATAGTCGTGAGCCTTTGAGTAATGAGCATCTTGAGGGACCTCTTATCAAAATGTATACTTGGGCCCGCCGGCTTCTTCATCGACAGTTGGTAGCCAGCCAGCGGTTCCCTTGGGTACCGCAGGGTGCTGATGGATGTTCGACCTTATTGGGCCCTGACCCCATTCGCGGAAGGAGTATGGCTTTTGAACCCTGAGTTCTGAAGCCTCGGACCACTAGGCACGGCTAGTTTTTTGTTGGGGTTTTGGTGATTTGGTCCGCCGTAGACCGTTCATGGAAACAAATGGCTTCTGCATAAAACCTACGAAAGGTCGTTGCGACCTGGTTGACCTTTCATGGAAACAAGTTTTGCTTTTTGCATAAAACCTACGAACGGTCGCTACGACCTTGTTTGCAACCCAGGGGTAGGTAACCAAACCTTCGAATGAAGCTCCTTGTCCTCCAATCTGGATGGCTCAATCCCCTGTGCAAAATCAGACAAGCATGTTTGCTGTTAGTGAGAAATACCCACTCATTTCAAGCGAGTTAAGTTCTAGCCCGTATCAGACAATCCCTCCATGGAAGGGGGACCGGGACCTCCCTAAACTTCTGGTTGCCTCAAAAAGGATCCCCGCCTTTTGGCTCGAGCCCTTTGCGGGAAAGACACCCCCAGCCGAGAGTCCCCGCAGTCCCCCTGTGCCGTGCGTGCCTCGCGAGGCGCGTCCCACGGTCTTCGCTGGGAACGTGGTGGCCGGAGGGCCGGACATCGGGGTGATGATGCGGCCCCACACCTGCGAGGAAGTGGCCGAGGCGAAGTCCGAAGCGGAGCGAAGCCCGTGGGGGTTGGACGTTGGACGTGGTTTTTGCATGTGTTTGCCGAGGAAACTCGGTGATTCACCAAGGGCCCCTCAAAAAGCAAGGAGCAGAAAGTGCCATTTTGGTGATCACAGAAAGGGTTCGTTCATAGTATGTCGGGCAACCATGAGCAAAGTCAAGCGAACCGAATGAAAGGCGAGATTTGAGGGTTCCAGGACGCCCCAATCACAACGGGCAAGAGTAAGGGACAAGCCCAACTATAAATGGATGCAGATATCCGCCCTGGTTCTTTGCAAGGACAGATTTTCTCAGGGGCCCTCAAAAACAGTCCCATTTTAGAGGATCCCAAAACTGCTAATATGGCTTCCCGATTTTGTTCCTTTGGGCAACTGGAAGCACCAACTGGATGGTCTTAAGCACTGGAAGCGCCGGGCAAGGCTCCCGAGCCGGAAATGAACGAGGTCTTCGGCACCTCGGATCTCGGATCTCAGTGGTGCAAATCTCCCTTTTTAGGGCCGTGCCCCAAGGGTCTCGATTCCTGTTATTGGGACTGTTTTGACCGGCCCACAGCCCACACCTATATGAATGTGGCTCAAAAACCCGGAATTCCAAAATGGGTTGCCCTGTGGAAACATGGACCGAAACCTGCGGTTTGCCCCCCTCTCGTTTCATTTTGAGCAGCCAAATGAAAGTTCCACCGAACACTAAGTTGAACCAACTCATTCATTCATTAATTCATTCATTCGTTCATTCATTCATTCATTCAATCAATCAGTCAATCAGTCAATCAGTCAATCAGTCAATCAGTCAATCAGTCAATCAGTCAAGCAGGTCATGAATTGCTCGCCCAGGCTGTGTGGTGGGCTTCTTCGTGCTCCGGTCCTGCGTGACGGAAGGGGGAGGCCCTGCAGCCTGCCCCCAGAGCTGGGACTGCGTCCACATCACAAAGCTGCAGGCAGGGCCTCGATAGGGGGCCGATCATAGGTGGTTTTGGGAGAGAAAAATCGATGACCCTGGTTTACCTGGTGGTTTGACAGGGCTCCTTACAAGATACATGTTGCTCATTTAAAACATGGCTTTTTCCACCAAAAAAGGGAAACCACCATCCACCAGGGAAACCCATCTATTTCCCCCAAAAGGACACCTGCCTCGATACCTCGGCACTCCGCACTCTTTGCACTCGGCTCCCTTCTCGCTTCTCGCGTTCCGATCGATGCGTTGGTGGAGCTTGGCGTGCGCTTTTTGGGGCTTCGCGAAGGCGACCAAATGATTGGCGCCTTAAGTTGGGTTGTCCATGTGGGAAGTTTGGGATTCAGTTTAATAGCTGTTGAAACAAGCCTTGAGGGGTGGGTTCATGAATAGAGCCACCATTGTTTAATTGCTTACCCTGTTGGAGTTTCATAAACCCCATTGGGTCCTGGCCATTTTCATTGGAATCGGTTGAACCCTAGGGGCTATATGTAAAGCGTGGAACAAAGATTTCCCAAAGGTGTACACAGTGTCCACAGGGTCCGAACCTTAACTTTCATGTTCCGTAAAGGTCATGACACGCCCGGGTCTCAAGGGAATGATTGAGGTCAAAACACCCGTTGGGGATGATTGGGTGTGGACTGCTATCGAAGGTCAGCATATTTTCGAGTTCGGGGCAAGGCAAGACCGTTGCACCACTAGTGTCCTCAAAGACTATGTATTTCAGGGTCAGATTAAATCAATTGTCTTTTGTTGACCCCTTTGTGGGCCAAGCCCAGATGCTCCCGACATCTCCCGACGGGTTCAGCCCAGGCTTGGAAGAATGCTCACGTCGGCATCCTTTTTGTGGAGCCTTGGCGGTTCTGAGAAAGAAATCGTTTGTCCGCAATCAAGTACCCTCCGTTGAACGGGGTAGGGACCTCCTCTGGTTTTGGTTTTGGGTGCAGGAAGATTCACCGTTGAGTACCCAAGATGCCCATTGCGTGCAAGGGCCCCGACAAGCGCGCCACCGAAGTTTGTGGCCGTGGTCCCGAAGCGTGGGATCCTTTTTCCGTGGAGGGAGTTTGAGACCCCCGCTGCCAGGTGTTGGTCATCGTTTGGCCTTTTTGAGGTGCCAGGATGTCTAAAGTTAACAGCCATAGGGCGCTGCTCGTGCTGGTTGGCGCAATAGGTCGTGGAGGCGTTTGGGAAGGCGTTATGTTCTTCGAAAACAACTGCCCTCCCCCCCCCCCAAAAAAAAACAAGCAGATACCTCACGCACAAACAAACGGAACACTGGAGGGTACCGTTTCTATAAATGCCAGGAGTGTTTTGAATCCCATGTTGCTTGCGTGCCAGCAGTCCAAACCCAGCTATTCTCTGCTGCTTAAGGACCAGCCCGCCAACATGATCATTTCCGATGTGTGCCTTCGCTGACTGGGTGGGGGCTTGAACCAAGCCGGGCTCCAAAAACTGTCCCCCTCACTTTGAAGAATCCGTTTGGACATGCCGAAGTTCCAGTCTGGTATCACAGACCCGCCAATGACAGTTTTTGAGCAGCACTAGGGGGGTGCATAGGGGGTTGCATGATGTTGCATGGCTGTTCTGTGTGACCAATCGGCCCCTTATAGCTTCTGGAGGCCAATGGCTTTTCCATCAAGCCTACAAGCGGTGATCGACCTTTTGCTCAGTGGGCAAAAGGAACTAACCAAGGCTGGGTGTGGATGCCATCCCGCGACGCTGCTTTTGCTTTCAAAACTGCCTTTGTGGTCCTGGAAAAGGTGACACCTGACGTCACCCCGCCGAAGAATGCCTACTTGATTTGTGGAATCCTTTGTCCCAGGACGGTCTTTGACAACCACATTGGCATCACGGGAATCTTTCATCGCCAGATGGGCGACATGCTGCATTCCTTCATCCTGCGTGATAGCAAGGCACGAATGTGCGTGGAGCCGAGCGACTCTTGGGTTGATAGGGATGGTAATGGACGCCTCCGAAGGATATGATACTTACATGATAAGGGATCCCAAGATGGTGGCGAGAGAGCTTCCGCTACATCCGGACTGTTTCATTTGTAAGGGGTTGACGGTGGAGCGAGCGGAGGCGTGGAGTTTGTGCAGCCTTTTTGCCTCAGACCGTGGAGTTGCGTCTTTCTCAGTGTCTTCGGATGGGCGTTCTTTTGCCACTTACGAAGTGATTGGTTATGAGGACAAATTTGGATACTCCAGATATCTCCAACTCCACATGAACCCACCTGGCTGCGTTTTGTCTTTGCATGTCCCCCTTTTTTGGGTGGTGCTTCAGGAAACGAACATCTCCGCCCAGACGCGAGCGGATGTGCCGCGAGGTCTACGGCTCCACGGAGCTCTCCTCGTGCCAGGCCTCGTTGCAGTGCCTGGCCGTGGGCCCCAACGATGCCACGGCCTCAGCCAGCGCTCGGGTCCGCTGAGTTGCGCGTCTGCGGTTGGAGGTTTTGGGGGTTGGGTTTTGGTAGTTGAAGAAAACGACCCAAAACCCGTACCAACCAAAACCCGTTGCTTGTGGTATGTCTTTCTGAAGCCGCCAGTTCCTTGTTTTGGCTCACTCCCCGAGTTCCGCTTCGGACTCGAGCCACTTTTTGGGAGATTCTCGACCTTTTTGGCGGGAAACAACCAGTTTGAAGCTTTCAAGTGACCTTATTCCCAACATGGATCATAGCACCCCCAAAATTAAGAATCGAGGTCACTGAAAAGGATCTGGTTTACCCTGCTTTTTTGCGTGCCGATCGACTCGGGCCCTGCGGCGCCCGAGGCGCGCCCGGAAAGGTGCCACTCCGTGCCGGGGCCAAGCTTTCGCAGGGCGGGGCGGCTCAGATGCCGCGCTCGGGGGGGGGGGGGGGAGGGGAGGCCGGGGATGGCGAGGGCGGGGGGGGCGGGTGGGGGGCAGGTGGTGGGGGTTGGTTCTTTTTGGTGTTTTGTGTGTGTTTGTTGTGTGCTTTTTTGGGGAACGGGGGGGGGTTGGGGGCCAAAAACCGAATTCTAGAGGACATGCTTTTAGTGGTTGTCTGTTTTTTTGGAGGGGGGACCCTGAAAACGAACTCTAGAGAACAATTTCTTGGGTGTGCATGTTGGACACTGTTTTGGTTCTGGAGGAACCCCAAGTGGTGGTGGGAACATGAATGTTCAAGAAGGAGGCCAGATTGGTGTTAATTAAGTCGGTTGAAAGGTGGAAAGGGAGATCTGGTTTGGGGTCCCCTCTCGAAAATGGTCCTTCAGGGTCTGCAGACACCAAAGGGGTCCAAAGGGATTCTATGGAGAACCCGAATCGCGACCAATTCCGAATCCATTTTCGGAAACAGTCCCAGCTAGGGCCCAGCAAATTGTCGATTGGATTTTTTGGCTAGGGATGTATCGAGTTTGAGGTCGGCATCCTGTTGCCAATCATCACCAACCGCGGGAAGACCTGCGAGGAGCGAGCCGCGGGCAGCGGTACCATGCGGTACCCGAGTCCGCTGCAACGGTTTTTGGGGTGAGAAATTGTGGATTTTTGGAGCGTCGGCTACCTTGCAAGGATCTATCACCTGAAGCGCCAACTTGTTGCCATTGGTATTGACAGCCTGGGGGAGGAAGAGGTCACTTTGAAACGCGCCCAAATCCCTTGCTGACTGGTTTTGGGGTCAAGTATGGATGGTCGCCACGACTTAGGGCTTAGGGCTGGCGAATTGACGCTGACGTGTCCAAGATCAAACCATGATCTTTGCGCAAATGCGGGCCTGCAGGCCTGCTGGATCCACGAAAAGCCAGGGAAAGAAAGGGAAGAACCTCTTTTGTTCTGCGTCCTAAGGCCAAGGTGGTTGCCTTGGCGGAACTTCTGCAGAGACTGGAACGTGGGAACTTGGCCCGAGAGTTATAGCAGCCGAAGGGTTGTGGAAATGAGTTGCTTCCATTACTTTTGTGACAACAAACAACTCCACTTTGAATGGATGTCTCGGAAAAGCTGAGACCCGCCCCTTCCAGGAGGTTTCCCCTCAGAAAGATTCAAACAGGGAAACGCCATTTCGAGAAGCATGGAGAATTCGTGACTTGGAAGGCCTCCAGGTATCACAGAGGATCATTTCCTTCCCAGACATCCCATCTCCAGGATGGACCTGTGTTGCGCGCCTGCCCCATGGCTGCTCGGCAGCAGTCAGCCAATCAGCCGGTCAGCCGGGCTGGAAGGCCAAAGGTGCAAACCTGACGCCCCATGCCAGAAGCCCAGCGATAGGTTAAGGTATACCTTTCTAATAGAATATCTGTAGACAAGCACAGGGGCTGCATGCGGGGTTGTTACACGAAAAAATGAGCGAACAAATGTGGGGCCCCGTACGGGCGAGTAGGACCAAATGTTGGAAGGGGGGGTTGACCACACAAAAACAGCCAAATGGGGTGCCAGGCTCCAAAAGTGGTTTCCCTGCAAATTCAACAGTGGTCCCTTGATTTGCTTGTTTGGGCTCAAAAGTGTCAGTTGTAGTTGGACCAACTCAGGTGAGCAAATATTTGAGTAGAAATGCTGGGGTGTTTTTCCCATGGGGACGTTCCTTTTGACCGCGCTGACCGAGGAAAGTCATGACATCAAACCACTTTCGCTCTCAGCCAATGCGATTATTTCAATCCCTGAGCAGCCTGCATCCTCACAGTGGATTTTGAAGGTGCTTCTCTCCCTGCAATGGCTATATGTTCCGACAGCGGACCACACAATTGCTGGGTTTACAATGTTGTCTTCCCGTAAACCAACCTGACAAGGTACCGAGCCTTCAAAACACACACCCAAATGATTGCTAGCATTCTTATATGAGCATTCCCTAGTCTGAACATGTCGAGTTCCCCCCCCCCCCAGAAAACACCCCATGGGCTCCTACTATGGATGGAGAAAACCCGCTTCGCACCAGTTGAGACGGATAGAACCATAGTACTGGTTGACCAATGCAGACTTCCGCCCCCTCCAACAAAGAACCCGCCAATTCCTCAAGGGCCCTCACAAACAGCCAGTTAGGGCCCATTTTTTTTGAATCGGACCCTTACTTTGTGGCATTTTGCTTGGATGTTAGGACTTTAGCTTCCTTTTTTTTGCTAACTAATGGGTTTTCCGTATTGAACCACTAAAAGTTGTTCACTTTTCGCAGGGGAGCAGAAAGCAACCGAGCTTGTTTAGGTGAAAATGAAAAAAAAACACTCGCATCGGACCCCGGCTCGTTTTCGTTGAACACCTGCAGGAAAAAAACGTGGGAGACGTTGGACTCCCCGAGATCCGATCCGATGCCCAGGCCATCCTGCCGGAGAGGGACTGCGCCATGCCCTGGGAGCTGCGCTATGGGAACCGGGGCTCCAGGCACGGCTTTGGCCGGACGCCTGCAATGGAGGGCCCTACGGATGGACGAAAACCATTTCGCACCACTTCGAAACCATGGTTGAAACCCTGGAATCATTTTTCCAGCTGGGCGGTGCGAAATGGATTTCGTCCATCCACAGTATGATGCTTGGGGTACCATGCAGTTTCAAATATTCTGGGAGAGAAGGATTCGTGTCTAGTGGGGGGTTGCTTGCGATAGGTTAACCCCCAGGTCATGTCTCAAAACGTGTATACCGGGTCCCAGACTCGGTCGGTTCCTTTTCGTGGCCATAGTCAGACATTTTGGTTGCAAAATCGGGCCGTCGCACCATTCTCGCAACTCGGGGTATGGGGAACTTTAGGTCTACGACTGCACGAAAACAGTGTTGGGTAGGGCTTTCTTTCCCGAACATTGAAATCAATGAAAGCGTCAAGCCCACTAAAGGTGCTTCAACTGATTCGGGACCGAAAGTGGGACCCTAAAGTCATCGTCCATCCGATCTTGCCTTTGGCTGATCCAAATAGGGCTGTAAGGGCAGGTGTGCCCCCCCCCCCCCATTTTTCCACACGAAACCTACACAAATTCGGTTTGTTACTTTATGGGTTCCAACCGATGGGTTCGATGTTGCACACGTTCTTCTTCGCTTGTGCGATGGGAGCATGTTTGTAGCGTCAGGGTCTCTAAACATTTTGAGAGCTGAGCTCTGTGGTGAAGATCCCTTTCATCGGGGATCAGGATCTCTCTTAGTTCAGTTGCTTCCCGCTCGCAAACAAATCCTTTCGCTCCAGGTTCCCTAAGGGTCTCGATTCTTTTTGGGCCCTCAATACGGGGGCCTCGGTGAGGAGTTGGTCGCTATGGGTTCTCCATCTGCATTGGAGGGGGCAGAAGCCTTACGCTTCTGAAAATATTGTACCCTAAGCATCTGGGGTCCTCAAGACAGCATCCATTTCGCAGTCCAAAACCGTCCAATGGCAGTCCAGACCCCTGCGAACCACATGATGCTTGGGGTTGTTAAAAAAAAAAAAAAAAAAAAAAAAAAAAACGCAGAATCCTTTCCTTGCCCCCAGGATGTCATCGCAGCGAATCGAGGACGTATACTTTGGTGGCTTCCAGCCAGAGGACCTCGGTTCACGGTTCTGCCGGCTGAAGGCTTTTGTTGCCGACAATTGTTGAGTTTCCTTTGCTGTTTTCCCACAAAAGCATGAGGCACCCTTACGACAAGACACGCCCATATATGATATACACATGTTTGTTCTTTTTTGCAGGGGAAGTTGTGGTGGAGGGAAGGGGGTTGGGTAAAATCAAAAATTATCGTGCCCTTTCTTAGGCTTCCATTTAGCCAGGCACTCCACACAATCCATGTGGGTTGCTCGTCCTTGTTTGGAGTTACTACCCTTGCTTTCAGCGGGTTTAAAGGAAAACCACAGAGGAAACCAAAGCCGGTCTGTGGGCCCCATGAAAAGACTCACCTCTGTCTGTACCAACATTTCGCCTGTGGCAAGTTTTAAATGTGACAATGCAGCGTTCCATGTCAAACATTCTTGTTTTACAAGGGTTAAGGTGAGGTAAACGTGACAATGTTCTGCCTGGGATTCAAACAACACTGGGTCAACTTTTTATTTGGGGGTGTGTTCCCCGCTGCTTATATGAAACGTCCTGGACCCTCAACTACCCATAGAATTCAACATTGTGCTTACATGGTTTAATGGGTTTGTTGTCCTTTCCGGGCTCTGCTTAATGGGAACCCACCCCCAGCTGATAAATCGGGGGGCGTCCGATTTTAGTGGGGATTCTCCACTTGTGAGGGTTGCCCCCCCGTATTCATCAACCAGATGGATTAATCCGGGGTTCCCATTGTTTATGAACGTTACCTTCTGACACGAATCCGCGAATTCCTCACGTCGAACTCGCGAATTCGACTCGCAGGACTGCGGGCTCCGGTCGGTGGCCATCGCTTACAACCCCAGCTCACGAGACTTCAACCCGCCGCTGGCGCTTCGGCGGATTTGCGTGTTGTTTGTCCTGGTCCTGGTCCTGCAGCTTTTCCTTAATGTTATAAACCCCGGATTAAGCAGAACCCCCGGTTGATTTTGATCGGGGGGTGTCCCCTTTTTGTGGGGATTCAGACCACTTTTGGAGGGAACCCCCCCTAAATTTTGGGACGTTGTTTTTCTTCTCCTGGGTCAACATTAGTTGGTGTGGATTGTGGTCAAGGAGTGGTTTCCCAATTACCCTCTACCAAAAATTCAGGGGCTCAGGGGTTCAAGAGTTTGGTGTGTGTGTGTGTTTTTTGTTTGTTTGTAGTTCTCTACAAGATCCAGGGGTTCAAGTTGGTGTGTGTGTGTGTTTTTTTGTTTTTAAATGGCTCTCTACAAGATCCAGGGGTTCAAGTCCCCAGACTTCCCCAGACCAATCCAAACCGCCAACTAGGGGTGGAACCTGGAAGGATTGTTTTGATATCAGCTTCAAACGACTAGAACAAGACACCCGCGGTTCGTTTAAGGGGGGTCCCGACTATGGGCCCTCAGAACTGGTTTCCATTCTTAATTGGAGTGGAGTCCTGTAGGATTCACATTTGATGTGGTACAGGAACCGTCTGCTCCAGCCAGTTGTCTGTTAGATATATTTGAGCAACTCTAAACACCCGCATTTACAGTTGCAAAAGTTGTGTCATAGGAGCCCTGCCCAAGCAAAGTCCTGAGCGGCGGAATGTGTTTTGCTTCACATGCGTAAGCTCTGCTTCGTGACCTTCTGGCACAAGTTGAGTGTCAGGGGCAGTACCGAAATAGGGCCGCAGGTGTAATCCTTTCCACGACAAAAGGGTTACCAGACAGCAGATTCGGCAAACTAAGTTAAAGTATCGAGAAGCGCGCAAGACACCAAGGTTTAAGCTTGTCATGCTTGCTGACCGCGTAAGCTAAAGCATGGGTTGAGTTAGCGAAGCGCCAGCTCACACATAAGCAGCCTTTCGCGACACTGCGATGTTTTTCTCGGAGTCACGCAATCAAAAATCAATACGTTTATAGGACATGCATACACATTGTTGCAGACAAGAGCTAGCATGATACCCAAACAAGCGGGTATTTGCCAGCGCCCTCCAACGACTGCTTTGCCCATGTCTAAAGCACCAGTGCTGCGCTGTCCAAGCAGCAGCCGTTTCATGCTGGCATAACGTAGGGGGCTATGGCTGCAGAAATGACCAGCTCTTCTCCGAGTAAAACAAGCTAGTAAGAAGCTTGGGCCCTCAAACAACTCAATGTTCAGATCCAAAACCTTCCAAATGATCCTCAAAGCCCCTTGCAATGGAGGGTCCTTGCTGAAAATGGGTGGCAACAAATCACTCGGACTTCCGATCTCTCGCTCCGAGGATGTCCGCGGACTCAAGTGGGTGCCAACCTCGGAATCCGCAGACATGGCTACAATACCTGCCCTTTAGTCCATGATGTTGATGTCAGCCTTTGAGTAAAAACAACAAGAGTCGTTTTTTTTTGTTTTGTTTTTTCTCTCTGAGGAGAACCAGGCTTTTCGAAACATGCCCTACCAAAAACGGGCATTCTGGGCCTCAAAAAGCCAATTTCCCACGACTGCATGGTTGACGATGCAGTCGTAGGGTGCTGGCCTTAGTACCTGTTGAGCTGGCAAAATTAGCACTGGTGGTTGGTGTCCTCTTGCGATTGACGTGCTAGTCGGTTCAGTTGAAGCCCATAATTGTGCACGGTTTTTCGTTCGACGTCGAGCCAACTCGGCAGGCTCTGGTTTGGTTATCTCACTCCCTGGAGTTTTTGGACTTTGTACTTTTGGGAAGACCATTTTGCATTTCCAAATCAACTCGTACAACAAGCTCACGTTTTGCTGCGGGTCTAAGTCAGGCCCAGTTTAGTGGTACCCTAAGGACCCCGACTATTGGGTCCTCAGTGGTTGTTTTCGAGGGCCCTGAGGAATTGGTCAGGGTTCTCCGTTGGAGGCTCCAGGGGGTCTGCATTGACGGGGTCATGATCCTTAAGATAAGGGGAAAGAACCTAAACATCTCAACAGGAAACTCCTCCTTCGAAAAGTTGGTGGGCACAACAAATTGAATTCCATGTAAGTCCACCCAAGGGGTATCAAATACAGCAAGTTCCATGTATCTGATGTCCACCTACTAGCCTCAGGGTTCCCTTTTTTGTAAACTCACCCCAAATAAATCACAATGAAAACACGGGTAAGTAAAGGTTAGTAAGGGAAAGACCCAGCCAGAATTAGTTGCGGCCGCCTTTCTAGTTCTTTACAAGGTTCTGGGTTAATCATTGGCCATGGGTCAAAATCCAAATCTTTCCCCCAGTGAACATCCCAATCCAAACTAAAGCAGGTTCTAAAACGGGTGGTGAATTCACCTACCAACCAAAATGGGATCCCATTGGTTTTGACAACCACGGCCACTTTTGTACCGGGTTTCGATTATGACTCAAATTTGGTTCCCGCTTCGCTCCTGCCCAGGCCGAGGCGCCGATCTTCAGCAAGACCGTCACCAACTACTCGCTGAAGATGGAGGGTCCCACCGCCAGGCAGATCCATCGCTTCCCGCGGTCGTCCCATTTTGCCGAAACCCCGAGAAACGAACGCGTGCGCGCGGTTGGGTTGGTTGGTTGGTTGGTTGGTTGGTTGGTTGGTTGGTTTTTAATATGTAACCTCCTGCTTGGTGTGTGTTGGCCGGAAAACGAGAGGAAACCGGCCAATTTTTGGGTACCCCTGGGTTGTTCGAGGAACAAGTTGTGGGTTCATGAGTGTTGTTGTTTTGCTTCAGGTTGCCGGTTTCTTTCGACAAAGCGTAATTTGGGTACAAATGGAATCGCGCAGAAACAAATATGGAACTTGAGTGTGACCGGCGCTTGCATCGTGGCATCGTGCTACTTGTGAAGGATCAGAATGATGGCCAAGCCCGACCCCTCAATAAGCTGCCATGCTTCAGAACCCCTCAACAAGTGCAGGAACTCAGGGCACTGGTTTCCTCAAAGGTCCCCATGAGCCACGCAGGGTTTATGCGGCCGCCTTTTGAATCACCGGACGTGGGTCAAAATATGGAGCCCGCCCTCCCCAATGTGTGGGTGTTTCTGTTCGGCTTCCCTGTCAACCAGCCTGAAAACAGTACCAACCCGAACAGACCGGCAAGTAACCTTTCTTTGTTTTGTGAACGGTTGGGCACAAGGCCTCAGGTTTAATGGGGAATTGGACGCAAAAACGTAGGCTGTTGACGAACACGGGGCGTGGTAACTGCCAGCGCAGTTTTGCAAGTAGTTAGAGAATAAGAGCAGTTTGCCCTTCCCTAAGCATCTTGGGCCCTCAAAAAGGCCCGTTTTGGGTCCGAACACGATCTCCAATGGTGGTCCTGACCCCCTGCAAATGAAGGGTGCTTGCTGATGCTTTGGGCTGGGTTTGCTGGTTGCACAAGGTTGGGAAGCCACTTGCAACATGTTTGGCATGTCGCAAGCGACACCTTCATTTGAGTCCAAAAAAACCAAGAAAGTGCGACACATCTCGCGTGTCTGTCTCCTGTTTGGGAACGCTTCGCAGGTCCCACCCGGACTATGTGAACAGCCGCATTCTGCTGGAGCCGTGGACCGGGTGCGGCCCTGGAGTTGAGAAGGACCATAGGTCACGTGGATGGACGAAATCCTTTCGCAGCACCCAAGCCGAAGCAACCCAACGGAATGACTCAATTCCCCTGCAAATACCAACAAACAATGGCTTCCCCTGGTTCCAATCTGGTGCGGGATTTCCCATCCACAGTCACAGTGTTAGAGGCCCCCAGAGAAAAAACCGTGGTGAACCTTTTAGTTTCCCTGCAAACCCAAATTAAAGAAGGAGTGCCGGCGGACCCAAGAGCAAGCACACACACCAGCCAGCTCCCAGAAGGGACGCTTCCATTTGCTTAAGACTTTGCGGTTTTTCTCTGCTGTTGGTTTACAGCGGATCTGCTACTGGAAATATTGGGACTTGAGCAAATGCCTGGGAGCAATCTCTGGACCCGGCAAGGCAACGCAACATGTAAAACCCAGTTCGGGATAAGGGAATCACGACCTTCAGAGGATTCCCCCACCTTCCCACCGAAAACCCATGAAGATTCCTTTCTGTTTTAGGGAAACCAGTTCCTGGGTTTTAGTTATTGGGGATACCTATGCAAAGCGTCGAACGACATGGCAATTGAGAACGTGTCAACTAAATTGACCAAACTTGCCCTGCAACTGGTGGTTGAAGGGGAAGCCATAGCAAGTCTAGCCTGGACGCTGCTCGTTGAACTCGATTTGCTGAAAGCTTCACCTAAATGGGAAGCCACCTCCAAGAATAAGTTTGAGAAGCGCAAGTCTTCGATTTGGACGGCTGACTTCTCTTGCCACCTTACCTTCAAAAACCGGATTTTCCAAGTTTTGGTGTTTGGAGTGGCCCGACCTCCCAGAAGTCTTCCTCAAGCTTCCTTGGATTATAGGAAACCCAATTGCTCAATTGTCCAAAGGAATTTTGAAGACTGAAGATGGACAGGTGGACTCGTTGGGGGCAGTGGGAGGGATCCCGGATCCCATTGATCAACTGTTGCAAGTGGCAACTTACTTTCAGAGACCCCTAAAAACGCATCCACCCTCATTACATGATTAAGCCCGCTTATGTGGGAAGTTTGAGTAGACATGCCATCGGAGTGTGTTGGAATGTGCTGTTTTGGGACGTCCGTTTCAACAGAGAGCTAGTTTGGGATTTTGTTGAAGGGGTGTTGTCACAGTCCCTTTCCACCGGTGGCGCTCAATTGCTTTGTTTGTTTGGAATTGGGATCAGATTGAGGGTTTTCTTGGGAGGTTTTGAAGGTCCTCGTAACCAAAAACATTGGCAAATTGGCTAATCTGATTTGTATATCAAAACAGGCGCAACTCAAGCTTGGTGGGCTTCCTTTTTGTTCCCCTTTGTTCCACCCCCAAAAAGGGTAGGGTCCCGACTGTTTTAGGTGACATCAAAAAATCGTTGTTTCCAGGGCCCTTGAGGAATTGGCCGTTCTTCTCTTTTGGAGGGCCCATCAGAGGGCCAAGGGGTCTGCATGGGACAGGTCGTGCCTCGGAAAAATACGAAGTCGTCTTTGGAGTGCCCTCGCCTGGTCGACGCCGCTTCCTTGGTGCGGGTCCAGGTACCAGGGGGAAGGCAGCTGTGGGGAGCCCACCCTCTCGGAGACTCGCCTTCATGAGCCCCAGGCAGTGATCTGAATCCGGAGGTCCAGAGGAAGATTCCAAAGACAGGGAACTAAACAAGGGGAACGCAGATTCTACTTCATATGTCCATTTACCAAGGTTGAATGTTGGGTACCCCTTTTTGACCCGCAGCCAAATCACCCATATTTTTTAGCCTGGTGTATTTGGAAAGCCGTGTTTTCGCATGGTTTTGAGACCTCCGTGTGTGGTCAGCTGACAGCATTTGGAGGGTGTCGGGCAAAAATTAGAAGACGCCCTCTCCGGGCTGCTTGGTTGGATCTTTAGACTTCAGCTTGCCGAAAAACCCACACCACAAACCAGTAATCTTGTTAAAACGACTGAGCCATCCAGGCATTATGATCCATGACATAGTCTAAGCATCAGCTCAGCCCCCTTCAACTTATTGAGGCCCTTCCAATGGCTTCTCTTTTCCTCACTCCCGATAGAGTTCCTGAACTTTGGACTTTTCAGGTGGGCTTTGGCAGGGTCGTCTCCTTCACCTCTTTGAAAGTGGTCGAGTTGAAAGCCTCCTGACCCCGCACCCCTTATGCTCGTTCCACACATTAGCCGTATACTCAAGAATTGACAACCACCAGTTCTTTCGTTTTTTTCTCCAAAAAAAAGAGGTTGCGGCACGGACCATATATAATATATCCTCCGCGGTTGCGAGGGTGTTTCCCTTGAGGAAACACATGGGAGTCGCCCGTGTTTTGTGGGTCTTATCTGTTGAATGGGACTAGCCCATACGCCCGATCGGAGGGTGAGCTACAGAACGGATTCGGGGAGAGAGCTGCTCTTACATTCTTTAGACTCTGAGCATGCATTTGTGGAACAGGTGGTTAGGTCACCAAACTAAAAGTCTCAAAAGGTGCCAAATACTTTCGCCCGAAACTACTATGACTTTCCCTCCTTCGCTTTAACGACTGCTTTTTCGACAGCAACGTGTGGGGTTTTGGACACGCGACAAAGCAGCCGTTGGGGGGTTCTGTCATGGTTCTTAAGAAAACTACCCCCATAATCTACACACATATGACTTGTCAACCCCCGACTCAAGCAGGCTGATGGCTAGACGTATGCGTTGCAACCCAGAACCAAAAAGTACACCCTACACGGGCGGACAACACCCTGTCATATATTTTTGCGTGGTTAAGTTGGAAAACTCGGCTGGGTATCCGCCCGCTTCAAGCGCTTGGCAGCCCAGGAGGCCGTTCGGCGCAAGCTGGGAGTGGAAGGCCGGAGAACTGGTCCTGAAGCTCACTCCCCGAGTTCTGTTTTGGGAGGACCGGTGTAGTAAAGTAGGGGTACCTTCCCCATTCTTTCCAGGGATCCTTTTTTGCAGAAAATCAGGGAAAACGGCAGGTGTTTGAAAAAGCACGATGATTGAACAGAATGGGGAATCAACCCCTGAAAGTTTGGACTTTTTCACTCAGGAAGTGAGAAGGAATACCTGCTAGCTGGCCAGTAGCTCAGGCATTGGGAAACCTCCCTGGCTAAACCAAGGTCCAAAGCTCCTTACTGGAGAGTGCAGTGATTCTTAGGAACTTCAGCAGCTTGCAAAACAGCCAGGTTTTGAAGTTTTTTGAAGCCTCCTGCCTCACAATTTCTAGCTCGACGTGATGGTCACAGAGATCGGCGGGATGCTCACTGGTGCGGCCCATCCTGGAACTTGTTTTGTTGTTTTTTGTTTGGGGAGGGGTGGTCCGCTACTTTTTGCAGGGTTGAATACATCATTTATTTTTCCATCCCTCTAGTTGGTGGTTCGGATTGGTGGTTTGGTGGGCAAGGGGTGGTTTGCCATGTACCCTCTGCAAGAACCAGGGAGAACCGGTTTTTCACAATAGACCCTTAACTCAGTTGTTCAGTGGCACCTTTTTTCCTTTTTTTGGTGGCTGCCCCACTAAAAATTGTCTTCCCAAAAAAGGGTTCCCTTTTTTCCCAGGGTCGCTGAACAACTGAGTTAAACAATGCACTTGGAGCAGGGGTGATATCTCTGAGAGGAACCCCTTTGGGCGGTTCCTTTGGGTACAAACCATGGATGGGGTCACCCGAAAACCCAAGCGCCGGAGCCCTTGGGTCTCACTCGCGTAAACTCGATACTTTCAGGTAAGCTTTAGTTGGTGTTTTGGATTTTGGGATTTGAACCCCTGGAGGAGGCAAAATGGGAAACCACCGGGGTTCCAACCCATCCTGGCAGAGGGCTAGAAGAGAAACCACCTTCTCGGCTCCAATCCACCCTTTTCGGAAGCTGATGGGCGGGAAACCCACCACGTTTGGACCTCCAATCTGGGCGGTTCAAAGGTAATCCTTAGTCCTTTCCTTCGGTTGCAAGGTACTCCGAAATCCTTTCCTTCGGTTACTCAAAGGAAAACCCATAGTCTTCCGGCCCTCCCATTTTGAGGGAGCAGCCCAGCCACCAGGTGAGCTGCCCTTCTGCCCTGGGATGCAGCAGACCTGGCGCCTCGACAGCAAGTGGGGGGCGTGGTTTCTAGGGCGAGAAGGGGAGCCGCAAACTGCCCCAGTTATACAGGCCAAGCGCTGGATGGCTGTGGTTGTCAAAACCGTTTTGGGATCCCATTTTGGTTGGTAGGTGAATTCACCACCCGTTTTAGAACCTATTTTAGTGGTTGGATTGGGATGTTCACTGGGGGAACGATTTGGATTTTGACCAATGGCCGGACAAACATCCGCGCTCTTTTCAGACTCAGGGACCGTCAATTTCTGAACTTCAAATTCCGCGCGAAAGCCGATGTTTGTGTTCCAGGATCCCTCACATTCTTAGCCATTTCTTAAGTTCGTCACGACTCCACAGCCATTGTTGGCTGCAAGGCTTGGGTCCAGAAGAGGATGGACCTTACAATCAGAAACATGACTCTTGCTCTAGCAGGCAAGCCTCTTCCAAGCAACACACAAGTTTTTAAGAACCCTCAAATCTTTCAGCAAGCTTCAAATTCTTAGGAACCCTCAATTTTTCAGCAAGCTTCAAATTCTTAGGAACCCTCAAACTCTTAGCAAGCCTCAATTTCTTAGGAACCCTCAAACTCTTAGCAAGCCTCAAATTCTTAGGAACTTTCAAATTCTTAGGAAACCTCAGATTCTTGCAAACCCTCAAATGCTTTGGAATCCTCAAATTCTTAGGAACCCTCAATTGTTTAGGAACCCTCAAATTGTTACAAACCCTCAAACTCTTAGCAAGTCTCAAATTCTTAGGAACCCTCAAACTCTTAGCAACCCTCAAATGAATAGCAACCCTCAAACTCTTAGGAACCTTCAAGTTTTAACAAGCCTTAAAATTCTTAGGAATCTGTGCAACCCTGAAACTCTTAGGAACCCTCAAATTCTTGGGATCCCTCAAATTTTTAGGACCCCCTGACGCAAGCAACCGTGAAACTCTTAGGAACCCTCAAATTCTTTGGATCCCTCAAGGTTTTAGGATCCCTCAAGCAAGGCTCAATTTTTTAGGAACCCTCAAACTCTTATTCCTTCCCACCCTCTTCGAGTCCCTTGGCCCGCCTCTTCACGGCGTCTTGCCGTCCTCTTGGCTCAAGCCGACGGCTTCCTTGTCGCGAGCTCAGTGGAAACAGCGTTGGCCTCGAGCTTGCGTGCGCCCTGGCCAGGGCAAGGCGCCACCCTCACTGCCGTGTGCGCCTGGGCCCATCACGCCGTAGAAGCCGACCAGTGCTTCGTTGTGGTGGGCTGTAGTAGAGCTCGCGCGAGAGTCTCTGCCTTGTTATGGCGACATCCTTGCCACTCGCCGGAGGACATGTGCGTCCTCCGCGCTGAAAAGCTTGCGTTTGCCACAAGCTGTGAGCCTGGCATGGGCATGATTGACCTCCGCCGCGCTGTGCTCAATGAGTCTATGCTCTGGATACCCATGTCAGATGTCCAGGAAACGCTTTCAATGTTTGAAGCGCAGTTCAGCACATCAGCACGCACGCACAAGCGCCCGGCGTTGTCCCGCAGGACCCTTAAGCCATGGACCCTGAAGCACTGAGCTTGCGCATACATCAGCACGCAGACATGCGCCCGACGCGGCCCGCGCCATTGCTGGGGAAGCGTCTCGTCCTTGCCAACGAGTGCGTAGCCGCCACCGCCAACGGCCAAGCCCTTTCCCTGCCCGCAGCCCCCTTTACCCCGCCACCGCCTTCACCATCCTCGGCCTCCGCCCCTTCCACCACCGCCCCTGCCACCCCGGCCAAGCAGCAGCAGCAGCAGCAGCAGCTCCCAATCCAGCTCGCGCCCCGTCCGCAGCCCCAGCGCTGCCACCCCTTCCAGCTCCCTTTATCGTGTTGCCAGCCATCGACTTCGCGGAGCTGGCCTTGCGTGCTTGTCACTGATCGCCGTGCGTTTTTTGAGCTGAGGGTGGTGCAAGAACGACCCGGAGATGGCCCGGCAGCAGCGGCCCTTCTTGTTGGAAGGCCTGGCTTGGTCCACACATCTGCTCGCGCCACTGCCCAGGAGCCGCGGAGCTGGCTCGCAACGCCAGCGTCAAGCTCATGGCGACATGGATGGCTGGTCGAGTTCCTCAAGCTCACCCAGCCGGACGTGGGACGCCGCGCCGAAACTGAAGGGGGGCCTGGCCGAAACTCAAGGCAGGACTGGCCGAAGCTGAAGGAGGTGGCCGAAACTGAAGGGGGGACTGGCCGAAACTGAAGGGGGCCTGGCCGAAACTGAAGGGGGGACTGGCCGAAACTGAAGGGGGGACTGGCCGGCCAGCCGCCCGCAAAGGCTTCGGCCAGGGCGCACTTTCGGGCCGCCTCAGATGCTGCAGCCTTTCGGGCAGCATGTGGGGCGGGCCTAAATGTCGGTCGGGACAAGCCCTTGGCCCACCAGTCCGTGGCCTCCCAGCAGCCGGATGCAGCTGCCTCCCAGGAGCGCCATCAATGGAAGTGAAGAGCATTGCTTTGCGTTGTGAGGAGACGTGGTGGTGGAGCTGCAGTCGGCTCTTCAGGAGATGACCGTGCGTGTCAGGGACACAGAAAGCACGTGCTGTGCCTGTGTGCTTGCGACCTGGTGCTTAGGAGCGAGGGCTGCAAGCCAAGGCCATATGCTTCGAAATCATGGCTTGAGATTGAGATTGTGTTTGCTGCCCTGAACGAGATCGCAGCTCTAATCGCGCACCGAGCCAGGCGCGACTTTCGCCCGGCAGACTGGTTTGGCTCGGCCTTGCTTTGCCAGTTCGCGGGTTTGCTTTTCGTCGTGTCGCAGGGCCGTGTGCGATCTCGTCAAGGCTGGGGGAGTAGCGGCGGCGACGCGTTTCGCCAGGTCTTGAAGAGCAACCGGCGGTAGACCGAAGTCAAAACGTTGTCCTCGCGGGAGGACTGACGCGCTCGCGCCCGATCTGTCGCAGCGAGGAGTCGACTGTGTTGAGGGCGGCGCCGCCGGCTGGCGCAAGCTCGAGCACGAGAGGCAGGTGAAAAATGAACAAGAGTACACATGTTTTGAGAATGTTTAAGGCGCGTTGGGTCTTGGGCGATTTCGAACACCCGCGCCAACCCAAAGTTGCTTTTGCCAAATAGTTGAACTGCTCTACACGACATGATGTCGAACACAAGTGCAAAGAGGCAAGCAAACCAAGGCGAAACACATTCTAAGAAAAATGTGCCGAAGACGCGGATGAAGATTTCGACAGTTTAAGGGCGGCGAGTGGTCGAAGTATATGACGAAAAAAGAAGAACATTCACGCGCGTCGAACTTTGCAAAGCTGGGCGAAATGAGTTCCGTTTGTTTCAAAAATGAATTTGTCAAGCAAATCAACGCGCGCGTGTTTGAGTTTGGAAGGATAGGTTGTTTTCGCGAAGAAATACAACTTGGGCGAACAGAACTTGATGTTTGTGATTTTCCCCGCCGCAAAAGCGCTGCGCCTACCGACGTCTGCGCCCGGCCTCGCGAAGCTTTCGCGACGCCGCGATGAGTTAATGATGTTGTTTGATGTCGATTTTGCCCAGAGACCTTCAATCCTTCAAATTGTTCTAAGACATGAACATATCCGATGATTGTACTATATGATGATTGAACTCTTCTAACGCGTGACTAATGCATGTGGTCTGTAAAAGCGTCTCTTTTCACAAGCTAGGTTTTCAACAAACTCAAAATGGCAACGTAGAGCCGGCAAAGCCGGTCGGAAATTTCCAGAAACGCGAAAACAATAATTGCCCTTCCTTTCTCTTTTCTCTTTCTCTTTCTCAATATCTTTCTTTTCTCTTGTTTTTTTCTTTGTTCTCTTTCTCTTTCTCTTTCTCGGTCTCTTTTTTTTCTCTTTTTTCTCTTCTTCTTGATCTTTCTCTTTCTCTTTCTCTTTCTCTTTCTCTTTCTCGGTCTCTTTCATTCTCTTTCTGTTTCTCTCTTTCTTTCTGTCTCTCTCTCTCTCTCTCGCTTTTTCTTTCCCTTGAGTTATTTTTCTCTTTATTTTTGTCTTTGTGTCTCTCTTTCTCTCTCTTTCTCTTTTTCTCTTGCTTTTTCTTTCTTTCTTTCTCTTTTTCTTTCTCTGTCTCCCTCTTTCTTTCACTTTCTTTTTCCCTTTCTCTGTTTCTTTGGGTCTTTGTTTTTCTGTCTTTTTCCCTTTCTCTTTCCATTATGTTTGCTTTCTCTGCTTTTCATTTGTCTCTGTTTTGTTTTCTCTCTCTCTCTATTTTCCTATGTTTATTTGTCTTGTTTTGTCCACTTAGTTGTTCTCTCTCTCTCTCTCTCCCTCTCTCTTCTTTTTATCTTTCTTTTCCCGTTTCTCTCTTTTCCTTTTTCGTTCTTTCTCTCTTTCTCTCCTTCTCTCTTTCTCTCTTTGTCTCTTTGTCTCTTTCTCTCTTTCTTTCTTTCTTTCTTTCTCTCTTTCTCTCTTTCTCTCTTTTTTTATTTGTCTCGTTCTCTGTTTCTCTCTGTCTCTCTCTCTCTCTCTGTCTCTCTCTCTCTCTCTATCTATATATCTCTGTCTCTCTCTCTCTCTCCCTTTGTGTCTCTCTTTTTTTTCTCTCCTTAAACCCCAAAAAATCCTAAGTGTGGGGGGGGCAAACAGGAACGAGGCCGGGAAGACGCCAGGAATTGAGGGTTGCTAAGAGTTTGAGGGTTTCTACGAGTTTGAGGGTTGCTAAGAATTTGCGAATTTCTATCATTTTGAGGAGAAACCGAGGACGCAGCTTCTAGCCACACAAAGACTGGAGAGAGTTAAGAATTTGGCGCCTGGAGTCGAAGGACCCCAAATGCTTAAGGTAGTCACGGTCCGTGTAACTCAACATAATGGCTTTAACTCCGGCTCCAGCCTCTCAATTTCTTATACAGTGTTTTCTTAAACTGTATATCCATGGTTCTAACCTGGGTACAAAGTTGAAGCATCCAAGGACGGGATGCTTCACCCTTGGATGCTCCGGGACGTATGGCTAAGTAATTGCAGGAGCATGGCTGATGTTCCGGTTAGGGGAAGCTGGAAACGGAAGTTCGTTCATCTTTCCAGGGCACCGATTTGGTGGAGATTACTCATCAACTTCCCATGGCAGTTTGTGGCACAATGGACATGGACCCAAGAAAGCTGCTCCTGAGTTGGAAGATTACCCCCCCGTTCCCCCAGTTTAGTTGGTCGCCAAAGGCAAGCCTCACACAAACTGCCAATACTGGAGGTGCCCTTTTCCAGGCAATATTGGGTTTTCCCGTAAAACATCGAGAGGGCCCCGGGCAAGTAACAACCGTGCACACACACAATCACACACACATGCAGACAGACTGCAAATCAACATGGAGCACCTAATGCCTTTGCAAAAGGTAGGGATTCCTCTTAACATGATGGTTTCTGAAGGCCCCTTCTTCACCTGCAAATGAGTAGCATCAACAAACAAGGCAAAGGCGCAGTCCACAAAGCATGAGGTAGATGAAATGGAATATACCGCACAAACCGCAAAACCAAGCGCGCACGCACAACACATAGCAGGCAACAAACACATATTACCAAAGCACAAGACACAAAATAAATGCCAAGCGCGCATAGAACATAAAGCCGAATAAACATGAAGACGCAACAATACACATGGATAATAAGGAAAAGACAAGCCACACTTCATAAACCACAAACGCCGCAAAACATTGCTTCAACTCCTCAAAGCCGATCTTGTGACCTTTTGATACTGATCAATGTTTTGATTAATCTTTGTCTACTCCGTCTTTGTGCAATTTCATGGGTCCTAACACGTTCATTCCCACAAGCCCTCACCTGTTTTGAGATTGGGGGGAAGGGTGTCCAAGTGCTCAAGGTGCTTTTGAGATGCAGAAGCCCCAAAAGAGCGGAGTGGGCGCAAGGCTCCGGGACGTGGACGCATCTCTGCTGAACGCTGGGCCGGTGGTGCTGCTGCCCACGCAGAGCCTGCTGCCGGCGCAGTGCGACGTGACCAGCAGTGACTTTGCCTGGGCAGCCCAGAAGTCAGAGCCGGCATGGGGGCTTTTTGTTTGTGCGGTATTGTTTTTTTGTTTGGTGAAATACCAAAGCCCTGGTTGAATCTTTGCTTCACTGTTCTTGGCAATTCTGTGCAAGTTGTTTGTTTTTTGGTATTTTGGCTACATTTAGGAGGGGGGCTGCAACAAACGGTATTGTTTTGCAACCAAGGGTTGTGAAGTTTGGGCTTGAACTTTTTTGGGCAATGATGTGTTCCACACTAAACTGGAAAAAGGGTAAGCTTTCTTGCACGTGTTTTTCCCTGAGTGCTAAATAGACCATGATGAATGTACCCAAAGGGAAACCAACATAATCCACCCTATGTTTTTTTGCTAGAGCCCCTGTTTAGCACCCAGAGGGGCCAACCGTGTACCTGTGGATAGGTGCCTTTTGGTGGGGGATTTGAGTTAAGCACCCCATTAATTCACCAGGACCGGAAGGAGAGACTTTAGCTTGGGATATGATGAGCGTTCCCTTTCCCACGTTCGTGGCAAAACCAAAACAGTGTTTGCACACGGGGCTTGCGCCACTAATATATGTTTCAAAGGTTTTTGATAGGTCATCAATTGGTGCAGGTGGCGGTCCGACAGCGGAACCGAAACTCAGCACGCAGACCTGCGTAGATCAATCTTGGATGCTTTTTCACTACCTCCAAACCAGTGCGGGTCCTCAGGGATTTATAGAGACTCTGTAGCCGATACATAAAGGCTGGGTGTGTGTTTTTTTGGCATTGAGGGTACTCCACTTTTGTTTCAAGGCGTTTCCCTTAGTGGTTTGACGCTGGAAATCCTTTTGGAATGAAGGCAAGAAAAGGACACTCACCAGAAGTTTGCATAGCTTCTTTGCATGTGGGAGGACCACTGGAATACCAGGGTCTTTTGGCGAGGGCCAGAAACCAAATCCTATTGGCCAGCTTTGGTTTGGTTCGCTTGGTTTGTCAGGAGTCCCGAGGTATTTCCCTTTTTGCTGGTTTGAAGCATCACCTTTTTGACCCAAAGGCGAGCGGATGTTCTAAGGGGAAATATAGGGAGCCGGTTCCAGTGAAGGCTAAACTATAGCCATTGCGAATCAAGCCGCTGGGTTTTACCGCTCAAGGGTCTGTAAACCCTTGTTTCTCACATTCAACGGGCACCTTAAGTAAGGGTCCCTTGAAACGGTACCCGAAAAGCCTTTTGAGAAATGCTACCCCCGTGTTTGGAAGAACTTAACAGAACCCGTGGAAATGGCAATGACACGAGGACTTCAAAGTTCTCCACATGAGCTTGCTGGTTCTTGAGTGTTCAACAAACGTGAGGCTAGAATCATGAATGTATCTGGGGCAACCGAGCCGCCTTAGCCCGGTTACCTACCTGTCTGACGTGACGTCTGAATACTCAAACATCTCTGAAGTATCGCAGAAGGAGCTTGCCCTTCAGTCCCCAATCGACGCATTTTCACGAATGGTCCAGGACGAATCGCGTGGTTCCTAGCTTCAATGCCCTCAGAGCCTCAAGGTCATGGCCCCAATGCAGACCTCCTGGCCCTTAAATGGAGAACCCCCGAGCCCCAAGTGGGCAAAACACACACCTTTCCGTGCGTTTCCAGTGCTACACGCCATTTCGTAGGGTCTCAAGAAGCTATTTGCACACCTCACTGGGTTTGAAGTACTCCAGAACCCCATTCTGATGACGTATTGCTCACCACGGAGGAATCAACCCGCCATATTGATAGGGGGTGTTCTCCTGCAAAAGTGATGATTCCCTACCGACCCAGGGTCACCCCCCTGTGAATACACTGGGGTTGACTCATCCGGGGTTAACTTGGGTTTCCTCCATTTCCCTATATGGATCCTTTAAACGTGGCAGTTTCAATGAAAACCAGAAGTAAATTGATCAACTGAAGGGAACACTTCTCGACAGGTTGGTACTACCCTGGTGCCCAGCGCATTGCCCCCGCCCTGTGAGCAGTGTGGAGGCGCTGGGGGTGCAAAATGCGCACTGCTTCTTCTTGTGAAGTACGTGGGCTCTAATGGTGTTGTTGTTGATGTTCAACAACTTGTCCTGTAAGATTGCATCCTTGCTCATAGGAGTATCCTGGTCATGGAAGCCAAAAGGCGTTCAACATCATCTCAAGATTCGAAAGTGGAAATACAGTGCCCGTCCTCCGGCCTTTTGAAAAATAGGGGACCCCCCTTTCCAAAAAATGGAAAATGTGAGAAGGGGCACTGGAGGTTGAGGGATTTGGATAGGGCGGATCAGCTGTCAAAGCCCAATAGCCAGACTCGTATCCTTGAAGGACCCTTTTGAGAACCCGAATCCCGACCACTTCCTCGGACCCAGCCACCCTAAGGGTCCTGACTGTGTTTGGGGTCCTCAAAAATGTTTCTGTCTTTTCGGGCCGCTGAGGGACTGCTATGGGTTCCCCATTGGAGGGCCCCATTCGGGGTTTTGCGTTGGATCCCTGGGACGTCACAGCGTGACCTCAAGTGAAGTGGATTTCCGTGCAAGGAAAGACTACGCCTTTCTCGGTAGTGTTGGTCGGGAAAAAAGAAAGCAGAGCACAACAGCCGCAGATCTGGGTAGCATCCGGATTTCACCAGGAAGAGTTTTTCCTCCAAGCAATTTGTGACGGGTTCCCTTTTCATGGCTGGTCTCGACCGAACGCTCCTTAAACCTTTTGCTCTTGGGGAAGAGCAACCCAGTTTCTGGTTGATTCCCATCCCCCAAAAGTTGCCAAGGGGGATCAATCCTTAGCAACTCACAGCTTCTTGCCACCCCACTGTGCCCCCCCATCTTCCAGGTCCTTTCGATTGGTTCAACCCCATCATCGCATGGGACCACCCAGCTAAGGGACTGCAAGGCTTTGCCCTGCACAACCACTTTTGGCAAGCCTCCTTATGGGTGTATCATTTTTTGGGGAACCTCCTGTTGGTCGGTTTTAATAAGGATCAAAGGCCATTTTAGGAGTCTCCTATTTTCAGACATGCCCATAGCTTATGACAAGGGCCACCTAGTGTCGCTAAATTTCCTAAGAGACCTTCTTGTTGGAACATGTTCCTTTTTGGAGGTGTCCTACAGAAGAGCCTCAATTCCTCAAAAGGTGCATGCTGCTTCGTTCATCCACATTGCAAGGTTTCTGCACAAAATAAGTATTTTTTTGAGAGAGCCCTTTGTTGTGATTTTGCCAGGAAACGAAAGGGAAACCCCAACGCCAGGTTTTGGGACCCCCCCCATCAGACATGGAGCCTGACAAGAGGGGCTCTTCGCACACCAGGCACATGGGCACACACCTTGGATGGTGGCCTGACCGCCGCCCTGCTGCATTTAGTCTTTTAGGGCAATCTCATGTTTTCAGTGGTTCTCCCCCAAATTCATCCCATGCATTTCAGACCTTTTGATCAACCTCCAGTTTTTTTTGTTTTTCTAGCGGTCAATTCCCCATTGTCTTTTCAACCATCGTTCGTTTCAAGCACCAGCCCCTGGATCTTCGATGGTTTTCTGAAAAGAAGGATCCCTGGAAAGAATGGGGAAGGTACCCGAACAATAACAACCTGCTATTGAAGGATTCTACCCAAGACGCTGCAAGGAGCAAAGCAGGGCCGCAACTGTTTATAGTTGGGCTGCCCCCCGCTAAAGCGGTCGAGACACTCGTTGGCTCTGTAAGGGCATCTATTGTCTCGATAAACTGAACATTCAGCAAAGCCTAGAAACTACTTTTGGAACAATGTTGGTAGAACGTAAAGCCAATGCTCGTTTAACTGCTCGCAGAAAGACTTCGACATTGTTGTTTTTTGGACATGGGGTGTGGAAATGGGAGGTACAGTCGTCTTGTTTTTTTTAGGGTGTGTGTTTGATTCAATCTTAATCTGCCGGAATTGTCCACTGTCATGGCGTTGTTGGCATCCCTGAACCGGAAACGGGTTTTATGCCTTGTGGCAAATGGGCATGAGGCTACCTGAATTTCCCACAAGCCCCGTGCGCCTCGCCGCGGGGAAAAAAACAGCAATCCCACGGCTTGAGGCGTGTGCCGACCGCATGCGGATGCTGAATTGGGAAAGCCTGGATCCGGATTGCTGCGGCGGCCTGGCGAGGATATGAGTATGGGTCCAAATTCTACCACCAGGGGACCGCAGGTTTTAGTGCTTGTTTTCTTTTCCAGGGTTCCGTTTTGGGTACCTATTTTTGACCCACACCCATATTGAGCTGAACCGGAGTTGGTTCAGCTCCCATTTGAGTCACTTGCTCAAAACCCAGATAATTGAAGGGTAGTAAGGGACAATCCCAGCCATAAATGGGTTCGGCCGCGTTTTCCATTCTTTACATGGTTCTCAGCACCGTAGAAGACACAACATACTATATGTCTTTTCTTGTGGCTCGTCTTTGGCACACAACACGTTAGAGCTTTTGCTGACGGGCGAAGAACAAGAGTTCCCAAGGGTGACATATGGTTCGATCGAATTTACCAGTATCCGTTTGGGAAGGACACGCACCAAGTTTTCCTGCAACCAAGGGAGTTAGAGTTGGATGGGGTGGGCAAGGTTGTGCAATCAGTTGGAAGATATCCAATTGGATACCAGTATTCGGGCACCTTACTCCAACCCCGCTTGAGAGTTCTTTTTCCCCACGCCGAATGCTTCTTTGTTCCGGAGTGATGTTAACTGCTGACAAAACAAGTAAGCGCATTTGCCATGGAAAGCCAGGTTGTTCAGACATGCCCTCAAAGAAAATGGGGCATTTCAGGGGCTTGTTCCTAGGATTTCTTCAAGATGAAGCCATTTGGAAGCTGAATTTGAATCAGGTTCCTTTTCAACCACTGATTTAGGGTTGTGCCAACCTAGTCCTGAGACTGTCAAAGGTAACAATAAATATAACCGGGGCAACTGGGTTTGATCCCCTTACCCGAGTTACAACCTTCTAAGTTGGCTGAGCATGAAAGTTGGGGAGGCTTAAGAAACCAGCAGGCCATTCCACAGGGAGTCAACTGCTTGCTTCACGCAGTCCAAACTTCTAGTATGACATTGCTAGGGCAACGCTCACTGGGAATCAACAAGTTGTTCGTTGGTTGGACATCCAATTTCCTGTCAGAATTTCCTGGCTCTCTGGTTTCTAGGATGCAGGACATTTCAGCAGCCCTGTAGCTTCTTTCCTTGCAGCCGACCGACTCTCAACCAAAACAACAAGTCCCCCAAAAAAAAACTGCTTGTAGCTGAACTAGGCCCCCAGTAGTGCCCTTTCTCTCCCTTTTTTTGGTTGGGAGGGTTCCCCTACTAAAATTGAGACTACAAAAAAAAAAACGGGTACCAACTTATTCTAACCTCTCCACTGGAGGACCTAGTTCAGTGGTGTTGCCACCGGTTGAGAACTCAGGCTTCTACCGCCGCGAGCTCGGGATGCTACGGGCTACCCGCCCGGATGGCGCCTATGAGGAGCCCCTTCGGGCCGAGAGGCTCGATGCCCAGGTTCGTCCCGGAAACTTCAGGGAAGCCACAGGGATACAGGGGGAACCAGTTGGATACGGTTGAGGATTCCCCCGTTTGATGTTGACTAAATTTTATCTGGGAAATGGCGCCAAGGGAATCCCCCCATATGCCCGCTCCCTCCGTATCCCGCTTGTTCGTTTGTGCAAACCAGCTGGTTTCCCTCCATTCTTTGAAAAAATGGGGGGGGGGGGGTCTAATGTCTAACTGTCTAACCCAATGAGTTGTTGAGTTGTTGGGTTCATTCTTTGCAAACATTGGGGGGGGTCTAGCTGTACCACCTGATAGTGTGGAATTCCCTTTCTCCCCTTGGTTCAACGGGTTTGCTTGCTCCCACATCCGGGGTCTCCTCCCAAAGTTGTGACTCTATGACTAGTTGGCATACTTGGACAATTGCGTTTTTTTCATGGTAGCTACATGGTTGCAAAGACAAAGGGGAGAGCTCGGTGAGTTTCTGTGAGCCCGAAGACGTGCCAAATGGGTTGATGCCCAACTGAAAAAAAGCTGGAAATCCCATCGTTTTGGTGCATGGTTATTTTTCTCTGCCTTTTCCGGGTTCACCTCTGACCTCTCATGCTTCGGATTTCTCGGTTGAAATTACTTATGCGGTGAACTTTAGGCTTCAACTTTTGGGGAAAGGATGTTTTGTCTCAGAGGAACGGAACTGTTTGCACAGGGAATGAACCATCCAGGTTGTGGTCTCATGTTTTAAGATTAATTCGAGTTTCGAACCCATCGGTCTCCTTTACCCGGACACTTGGATTTTGCCCGTTATTCCCTACGTCAGGCTCCCTTATCTTTACCTAAAGATGTGGGTCAAAAGGTTAACACCTCAAAGGGACACCTCCAGTTCAAATGAAATTTGCCCCCCAATCTTTTGACACATGTTTCATGTGCATTTTGACCAGTGCTTTTGTTGCAAAGTCGCCGCCCGCAAAGGGACAAGGTCTCTGTTTTTGTGTTGTGTGTGTCTTAGTGGCACTTCAAGCACATGGCATGATCAATGGGCAATATGGGCCATAAACAAGAAAGAGACAGCTACCACGTTTTTTGCCTTCTCTTCTTCTTCTTCTTCTTCTTCTTCTTCTTCTTCTTGTTCTTCTTTTTTCGTTCATCAGGAACCATGCTGAAAGCAAGTTGAACTAACCAACACAGCACGACACAACGCAACGCAACACAGCACAACACAAGACAGTACGGCACAACACGCCCACCCGACCCCAGCAGCGCACGCACGGTTCAGTTCCCAAGTTTGCAAATCCGTTCTCAAGATAAGATGCCCCATGCCACAACTAGGTCCCCAAGTAGTGCCCTTTTATCCTTTTTTGGGGGGAGGGTTCCCCTACTAAAATAGACTACAGAAAAAAGGGTACGCTTGTTCTAACCTCTCTGCTGGAGGACCTAGCCAAGGATTGTGACCCCCCAGGCCAACGAAGAACCCCGGCCAATTCCTCAAGATCCCTCAGCAGAAAGCAAATTCTTTGAGCAACGGGCGAATTTGGAGCCGGGCAAACTGATTTATCTCATAATTGGATCCGGGCGACTTCCCGGGAAGCCGAAGCAGAGGTCAGAGAGGACGGAAACTGCATGATGGGAACTTTTCGCGAGAGGGGACCCTAGTCATGGCCCCTTTGCAAGGATGACACGCACAAATCCGACGTGCTCCTTTTGATACAGAGAAGATTGCAAGGCATGTGAAGCCGTTTTGACATCAAGGTGCGAAGGAAAAGCACCGCATGAGCTGGCTGCTCACACGTAGGTTATGAGCCCAACGCCACATTAGGTGGCTGCGACAGCGCCGCAATGTCTGATGGCTCTGGCCCCGGGAGAACCAGAAGGGCCAGATCATTGGAGGAGATGGGCGAGGGCAACGGCAAGGGATCGAGCAGCAGCAGATCGGGGCCGTTGATCGTTGAGGTGGTGGAGCCAGAGCCCACCATGGTTGTCAGGCCAGATGGGGTGGTGGAGGCGGAGGCTTCGACCCAGTGGCCTGGAGGGCCTGAGGGGGAGCCATCGGCTTTGGTGCCCTCGCGAGGTGCGCTGTTCACGCCGGAGCAGATGAAGCGGCTCGACGAATGGACAGAGGAGGCACCGCTGATTAGCCAGGGGCCAGGAGGTGGGAATCAGCGAGGGTTCGAGAACTACCTCGAGAGGGCCAACGAGGGCATGATCGTGGCACGTGAAGGAGCGCAAGGCGATCCACGACACGAGCTACGGAGGCCTGGAGAACACCAAGGAGGTGCGGGAGTTGATCAAGGGAACGGTCGGCCTGATGGACATCATGGAGGTGCGGGACAAGCCCAATGGCCTGATCCCTTGAAGGACATCAAGTACTTCATGATGCAGCTGATGGCGGACAATCAGTCCCTTCGCAAGGAGATGCAGCGGTGTGTGAGAAGGGTGGATGAGATCCAACGAGAAGCACCGGCTGCGGGAAGAACGTCAGCTGACCAGAGCGACAAGTTCGCAACCCCGGAGGAGAAAGGCACGCCAGTCGGAGGAGGTGATCAGCTTCGATTGCAGAATGCGGTCTTGGATGGAGAGCCCTCGGAGGAGCTTGTGGCGGATCAGGAGGACGCAGTGGCGCAGAACCAGCCGCTGGGCGTGATGTTGAAGATCGTCCAGAACATGCAGGAGATGCAGCAGCAGCTGATGAAGCAGCAGAAGAACCCGGCCGAGGACACCAGCGAAGTGGTCAAGGCCGGAAATGTGGAATTGCCGAAGCTGCCGGAGTACAAACCGGAGAGTGCCCCGATTGATCTGGGCGATTGGTTGTGCCTTCTGGAGCCCATCATGGCGGACCTGAGTGACTCGTCCCAGACGTGGTGGGGGAAGGTCATGGAATCGGCGAAGGGCTGGTACCTGAAGTACCAGAACACGGCGCCTTTGGAGCGGCTGAAGATGCTCCTGAGAGATCCGGAGGAGCTTCGTGAACCTCGATGGCGGCGTCTAGAGCGGAGGGCGGTTGGCCTTTTGCTCACGGCACTACCGGAGGGGGCGAAGGAGGAGATCGTGGCCACGAAGAGCATGACGTGCTACGCCATTGTGTGCAAGCTCATGGCGACCTATCAGCCGGGTGGGTTGGTGGAGAAGAGCGTCATCCTCCAGAGCCTGGAAAGCCCGCAGGAGGCGACCAATCTGGCCATGGCGGTGATCTACTTGAGGCGGTGGATGAGGTGGAGGCTTCGGGCGGTCGAGCTCGGAGTGACCATACCCGATGCTTCGGTGATGGCTCGGGCGCTGCACAAGATGGTGAGCCGTGTGGTGGAGAAGAACCCAGAGTTGACGTTCAAGATGGCGTTGGCTCGGAACACGCTACAGTTGGATACGGTTCCATCCCAGGAGGCGGTGCTACGGTATGCGGAACATCTGCTGTCGGAGGTGGAAGCGGTGGCACATTTGGAGAAGAAGACCTCTGCGGTGGTGAAGCAGACGTGGCCGAGTGAGGTTAAGGCGAAGAAGGTGGAAACCCAGGAGGCGGGGGAGTCCAAGAACAAGACGGATGAACCTCGACCATGCCGGTTTTTCCTCACGGAGAAGGGCTGCAGAAGGGGCCGGGCTTGCAAGTGGAGCCATGATCAGAAGGACCAACGGATGAGATGCTGGTCTTGCGGAGCATCAGAGCACCTTCGAAAGGATTGCCCCATAGCCAGCAAGGTGGCCGAGAAGCCCAAACTGGCGAAGACCAACGCGGAGGGAATCAAGACGGAGAACGCCGAGCAGGGCAGCCTAGAAGCTACCCCCAGGACAGGAACTTCATCGTCCTCGGTGGGTGCAGGGTCGCCAGACGCGGCGAGCGTCACCTCGGAGGGAGATGGGAATGTGATGATCGGAGGCCCTGTTGGAGGCCACGAAGATGATCAAGAGCCTGAATGTGCAGGCGCCGGCGGAAAGCCACAAGATGGAAAGCGAACAGACGTTGAGAAGCTTGCAGCGGCAGCTGGACAGCATGCGAGAAAAGATGAGGATGAGGCAAATCACCCTCAAGCTGTCCAAGGTAGAGCTCAGCAGCACGAGGGGCCTGGTGGACTCAGGGGCTACGAATCCTTTGAGGCCGATGCAGGATGGCGAGGACGTGACGGCCTACGAAGACCGGGTGGTGGAGCTGGCAGCCGGTGAGTCCTACACTTTGCGGGTCACACCTGGAGGAACGTTGGTCGCGGCTTCGGGCACACAGCCAATTGTGCCGATGGGAGCCTTGGTGCAGAGCTTGGGATGCAGGCTGAGTTGGACGGGCGGACATTGCAAGATTCGTCACCCATGTCGAGGGGATCTACCCGTGGCGATGAACCAGGGGTGCCCGGAGTTGCCGATGAACACGGCGTTGGAGCTCATCAAGGAGCTCGAGGAGAAGCAGATGGCCAAGCTCAGAAGGCTCAGTGTCAATGAAGAGCTGGAGTATGTGAAAAAGGTGGTAGATGAGCATCCCGTGTTTCGGGATGTTCCATGGCGTGTGAAAAAGGAGCTGCTGGTGCAACCGGCGGAGAGCTGGAAGGCCTTGGGGCTGAATCGGTCTCGGAGGAGGAGGCTGGAGAGGAACGGTGGGGCGGCGATCCATCTATTTGCGGGACCGCGTGATGGGCATGATCTTTCGCGGGCATATCGGGAACTCGGAGGAGACCCCAGGGACATCCTCGAGTATGACATTGTCCGAAGCGAGAATCACGACCTCCTGTCGGGCGAGCTGATGGGCGGACTGATGCGGTTGGCGATGGATGGAAAGATCAAGGCGCTACTCGGTGGCCCGAACTGCCGGACGAGGTCGGTGCTGAGGTTTTACCCGCTGGAGCACAAGGAGAAGCCGAGACCGGTAAGGACGGTGGAGGAGCGGTGGGGCATGAAGAACCTGGAGAAGGAGGAGGAGAGAATCGTCTTTGAGGACGACGTGCTGCTCTTTCGGTTCATCCTGCTCTACGTGCTGGCAGATCTGAAGGCCAAGTCGGAGGACGAGAAGGAAAAGGGGAGAGTCGGGTTCCTGATCGAGCAACCGGCTGAACCCAGGAATGAGCCAAGGTGCCCGTCATTCTGGAGAACGGAGGAATGGCAACGGCTGAAGCAGACCCACGGGCTCCGCGAGGTGACCTTCAAACAGGGAGACTGGGGTGGAAGGGCATCGAAGCCTACGACGGTGGGGACCACAATGACCCTACGACTACCTCAGGAACGGCCCGGAGGAGAAGCTCGGGGAGTTGGCGGCGGGAAGCCGCGGTGGGAGATGAGCGATGAGGAGAAGCTCAGGACATCCAAGGAGCTTTCGAGATGGGCGCCGGGGATGATGAGAGAAATATCTCGATGCCTGAAATGGGAGATGATGAGAGAGCTGCCGAAGATGAAGAAGCTCTCGTGGGAGGAGCACATCAAGCTGGGACATTTGCCCTATCGGCGTGACTGCCGAGTTTGTCAGGAGGCGTCAGCGAGGGACCGACCCCATAGGCGTCTCAGGCATCCGGAAGGGAATGTGCTCTCGGTGGATCTGACGGGGCCGTTCCGTTATGGCAGGGACACGGACGATGTGGAGGACAAGTGCTACTTGCTGGCAGCAACGTAAGGTGAATGTGGAGGAAGCGGAGGCGCTGCCAGAGGGACATCGAGAAGAAGACGATTCGGGACATCTTCCTGAACCGGTGGAGGAAATTCCGGAGGAGGAAGAGGCCGAGGAGTCGCTGGAAGTGGAAGAAGGAGCGAGCCCTGAGGCGGAAGAGCCGATCATCCCGGAAAGGGAGGAGCCTGGCCCGCTGAAGACGCTCTACTTCACGGTCCCTCTCCGGTCGAAGGAGAAGAAGGAGGTGCTGGGGGGATCCAGGAGATCTACATCAGGCTCCGGAGAGAGGGCATGCTGGTGAACCGGCTCCATTCGGACCAAGGGGGCGAATTTATGTCTCGAGAGCTGGCCGCGTGGTGCAGGGTGAGGGACATCAAGAAGACGCTTCGGTCCCCGGACCAGAAGCCGGAGAACGGGAGAGCTGAAGCAGCGGTGGGAGTGCTCAAGTCGGTCATGAGGAGGATTTTCCTCATGACGGGTTGGTCTACATCGTGGTGGCCGTGCGTGGCAAGGTTCGCTTCGGAAGCACGGCTGGCCTACGACTTGCACGCGGAGAGGCCGAAGTTCACAATCGGCCAGGAGGTGCTGGTTCCGAAGAGGGCTTGGAAACAACGAGCCTTTGAGGGAACGCATCAGAAGGCGATCTACCTCACGCCCATGTATGACGTGTCCAACGGGCATGCCGTCCAGGTCATTGAGGGGGGCAAGGTGATTTGCGTCTCCAAGGTGGTCAGTGGGATACCAGGAGACTTTGCTGGAGGAAGAGGAGCAAGCATGTCAGGAGTCTATGAAGAGGGTGCGGAAGCTACGTCAAGAAGAGGAGGCGCTGAAGCACCAGGTCCCGGAGAATGAGGACACGGAGAAGGTGTTGCACACCAAGATGATCTCGCCGACTGAGGTCATCAGAGACAAGGAGAAGTGGGGGGACTCCATCAAGGCGGAAATCGATGCGTTGATGGTGGAGAAGAAGGCCTTGAGAAGGCTTTCCCCGAAGGAGGCTCAGAAGCTTCTGGAGAGCAAGGGGAGCAAGGTGACCGTCGTCCCCGGCAAGGCGATCTTCAGTGTCAAGGCTGGATCGGCGAGGAAGAAGACGAGACTGGTGGTGTGCGGCAATCATGTCAGTGCCGATGCGACCATCGAGGGGGACACCTACGCTGGTGGAACGGACACCACTGCTATTCGGTTGCAGCTCAAAGTCGGAGCGGAACGCTCGTGGACTACATCAGCCTTAGACATCAAGGCAGCGTTCTTGAACGCGGATCTCCACACGGAGGAGGAGCCGGAGCAGCTGGTTGCGATGAGGCCGCCGGCGGTGATGATCAAGATGGGCTGGGCTCAGCCGGGAGAATTGTGGTTGATCGACAAGGCGATGTACGGATTGCGGCAAAGCCCGAGGAGGTGGTCGGACCATCGAGATCGGGAACTACAAGCGCTGGTCTGGGAGACGGAGGGGAGGAGATGTCACCTGGAGCAATGCGTGGCGGAGCCGAACCTTTGGCGGATGATCCAGATCACGCAAGAGGGAGAGAGACTGATGGGTTTGGTCTCGATCTATGTGGATGACGTCTTGACGACGGCCGAGACGGAAGTCAGGAAGGCGTTCGAGAAGGTGATTGCTCAGAAATGGGAGACGAACGTTCCGGACGAGCTCACCGAGGAGAACGAGGTCCGGTTCTTGGGGATGAACATCAAGAAGGAGGGCACGGATGTCTTCATTCACCAGAAGGACTATGTCGAGGAGGTGTTGGAGAGACATCAGGAAGAGGTCGTCAAGGGCGAAGTCGCCAATGACCAAAGAGATGTCAGACGAGGCGGAGCTACCGCCAGGAGACTACGACCAGGCAGATGTGACCCGGGCCCAGCGGATAGCTGGGGAGCTGCTCTGGTTGATGACGAGGACACGGCCGGACCTGCTCTTCAGCATGAGCCGACTATGCAGCTTTGCAGCAAAGAACCCCAAGTGGGTGGTGCGTGCATCTGGCTACTTGCTCGGCTATCTGCGGGAAACGAAGGGCTGGGGCATCCGGATCTCTAAGGATGCCGGACAACACTGGTCGGGACATGGACCGGCGGGGCTGCAGGCTTTCTCGGACGCGTCCTTTGCGCCATCGGGAGCGAGGAGTCAGGGATGCTCGGTGGTGTGTTGGAACGGAACGGTGGTGGCATGGAAGGCGGGTAAGCAGGCCTTCCCGGCGCTCTCCACGGCGGAGTGCGAACTCATTGAGGCGATCGATGGCATCGTTTTGGGGGACTCGGTGGAGGCGCTGGTCGCAAATGCCCTTGGAATTGATGACTTCCAGAAGATGCTACTGTCGGACAACGCGGCAGCGGTGTCTATCGCTACGGACACAGGAGGTGCATGGCGAACCCGGCATCTGAGGCTCCGAGCATTTCACTTGAGGTGGCGAGTGCGAGAAGGGGAATGGCTGATGAGACATTGCCCTGGACAGCAGATGCTGGCGGATCTTGGCACTAAGCCTCTGGGTCCGTCTCGGGTGAAGGAGCTGTGTCAACTGTGGAACCTCGAGCCGGAAAAGGAGGAGAGAGTTGTGAAGGTGGCGGCCATTCAGCTCACCGGGGACAAGGAGAAGGCAATCAAGTTGCTGGTGGCCTTGATGCAGATTTTGGCATGCCGGGCGGAAGATGAATCCACGCCAGTGGAGGGGTCCATGGACATGACTGTCCTGGTGTGTATCATTGCCGTGGTGTCGGTGGTGCTGTACCGGCTGGTGACCGAGATTGGAGGTCGAGTGGGAGATGGCCTGCAAGAGTGGCTGAGGGGCCCTTGTTCCAAGGTGAGGAGGCTCGTGGTGAAGCACGACGAACGGGCTACTCAGACGGATGAGCAGGAGGACGAGTCATCGAGAATGGCGTCTTCGAGTATGAGTGAGACCCCGCCAAGATTCAGCTCGGCGAGGCGCAGGCATGGTGGTGGGGGTTCCTATGTGGACGTGCCCCCCCCTTTTGAGAGAGTGGATGATGCGGAGGATGAGATCCTCAACCAGCGGTGGAGACAGGTCATGCAGATCCGGGAGCAGGTGCTGCAGGCAATCCCGGCGGCGGAACCAGAGGCGACGGAGGTGTACCATCTCACGCAGCTCGGGGACAAGTTGCATTGGAGGAGGAACTGCTTTGGCCTGAGGAATGCGACGGTCCGTGGAATGAGAGCGGCTACTCCCTGCAGTCGCTGCTGGACTGGTGAAATGCAACGGAGGAGGGGAGCGAGAACGTGGTGCGGTGCAGATGGGCGTCTTCATGCTATTCCCACTTGCCCCGGCATTCAGGGGGAAGCTCGCATTTACCAACCGTGCCGTTTCTGTGAGAATGAAATCACGCAGGAGAACCATGCGGAGGCTATGGCCAACGGAAGATGGCCACGTGGGATGAGGTGACGGCTTGAGCTGATCATGTCCTTCGGTGGCTTCGGAGGATGTGAGTGCACGGGGGGAACCCGAAGCGGTCAAAGACTGCGCTTTTGGCAGGCACTCCCCTACCAAAAGGGAGGAGTGCATGATGGGAACTTTTCGCGAGAGGGGACCCTAGTCATGGCCCCTTTGCAAGGATGACACGCACAAATCCGACGTGCTCCTTTTGATACAGAGAAGATTGCAAGGCATGTGAAGCCGTTTTGACATCAAGGTGCGAAGGAAAAGCACCGCATGAGCTGGCTGCTCACACGTAGAAACAACCGAAACAAGAAGCATATGGCTCGTCCAAAAGTGGGAAAATTGGACCCAACGGATGGGAATTTCAGGGGTGTTCGTGTTAACTTTCAGTTTAAGGGTTTAGGTATTTTAAGGGACCGGGGGTCACTGCGCGTGTTCCCCCAACCACTCCCAATACTCCAGCTTTTTCAGGGTGTCAACACATTTTTCAGTTGGTTTCCTTTTGGTTCTCTAACCAGCGGGGTCCGCGATTCCCTGGCATTCATCGCCTCAGGAGACCTGGCCAATGTTCGACGAGTCTTGCCCGCGAGGCTACTGCCCGAATGACCGATTTCTCCGAAAATCTCCAACTGGGGGTGTCCTTTCTGAAGGCGCCTTGTTCTTTGTGGTTTTAAAGGGAAACCAAGAGGGGCAAACCACGATTTGTTGGGGCCCCCTAAAAAAGACACACCCAAGTACGGCCGTTTTTCAGTGGCCCCTAAGGGTCCAATTCGATTGTTTAACATGTTGTGTTTGAGAGGATCCGGAGCTCTGCATCGGAGGGGTCATGCATGATCTTTAGGCGTTGTTTTTATTAGAATATATATATATATATATATAATATATATATATATATATGTATGCATTATATATATATATATATGTATTTAAACTCTGTGTTTCATTGAAATTAACGTGTCCTTGTTTAGTCATCCGACGTCATTTGACATTGACAAAGGTGGGTGTTGGTGGATCCCAGGCCCTGTCCTGTCACGCTGGACAATGCAGGTATTTGGAGGGGCAAGGACAGCCCAGCGGTTCTCAATCCCACCCAAGTTGTCTGGAAAGGTTCTATTTGCAGGTGCCTTGGACGTTCAGACTCTTGCCAATTCACGGGGTTCAAGCACTAGGCCTCTTTCAGGCCCAAGTGACCTAGTTGAGGCTCAACACAATCCGGGCTGCTCGATTGGATCTGCATGCTTGGGGAGGTGGTTTTAGGACCACTTGATACCAAAGGAGGGCCCCTTTAAAGTGACAAAGTCAGCATGGTCCGCTTTGGACACCGGTCGGGGTGGTTCCCCTTGTATGGCAAGATAGTGATTTTAGGGGCTGGTGTGACCGTGTGTGCTCCAGTGCTTTTCGTCTAACTCCGAAGTTCACATCAAAGACAGGCTTATGGAAAATTATGTCCCACCAACTTACTGGTGCTCAGGTAATGAGAAATGGAATGACCCCTATAAACCATCCACCATATTTTCCTTTAAGCGAACCAGGTTCATTCCCACCACCCGGAACGGGCAACCCCTACCTGCCGCACGAAGCCAACGGGTCCTGAGATCATAGCCAGGCTTGGAGTACGGCCGAAGCTCCTACATCATCCGCGTGGATCCATGGCACGCATCTCTTTTGGGGTGCTTCCTTTCAGGGTTCCACATGACAACCCTAAGATAGACTTCAACGGGATTCGCCTTTTGGGAATGAACCACCGCTGAGTTTAAGTCTTCCCTAAAATGGTGAAACAGGGAACCCTACCAACCTCGGCCACAGACAAGTTCTGCACATCTGTCTGTTTTAGGGGCACCCCCAAAATCATTGTTTTCCTCTTGGCCTTCCTTTGCAACCACCAAACATGGAGTCCCAAAAACAACAGCAACCCCAAAGTTTAGCGTGGGTAAATATCAGCATGGCCATTTGGGTACTTCCATTGGATTTGGATTTGGGACTCATCGCCTGGCCTTTGTGAGGAAAGATTATCAGGGAACCACCAATCAACAAACGATCAATCGATCGATCGATCGATCGATCAATCAATCAATCAATCAATCAATCAATCAATCAATCAATCAACCAGAGAATAAAACAATGAAACACGCAAACAAACAGGCAAACAAACAAGCAAACAAACATTCAAACAGCAAATGCAAACAAACGAGCAGACAAACAAACAAACAAGCAGACAAGCAAACAAAGAAACAAACAATGATTCACAACAAATGAACAAACAAACAAGCAAATAATTAAACAATCACTCAATCAAGCAAACAAGCAAGCAAGCAAACAAACAAGGAAACAAGCAAACAATCAAGGAACCAATCAATCAATCAATCAGTCAGCCAATCCAATCCAATCCAATCCAATCCAATCCAATCCAATCCAATCCAATCCAATCCAATCCAATCAATCCATCCATCCATCCATCCATCCCATCCAATCCAATCCAATCCAATCCAATCCAATCAATCCAATCAATCAATCGATCCATCCATCCATCCAATCAATCAATCAATCAATCAATCAATGAATGAATCAATCAGTCAATCAATCAATCAATCAATCAATCAATGAATCAATGAATCAATGAATCAATGAATCAATGAATCAATGAATCAATGAATCAATGAATCAATGAATCAACCAACCAACCAACCAATCAATCAATCAATCAATCAATCAATCAATCAACCAACCAGACAATCAAGCCATGGAACACGCAAACAAACAAACAAACAAACAAACAATCAATCAAACAAACAAACAAACAAACAAACAAGCAAGCAAGCAAACAAACAAACAAGCAAGCAAGCAAGCAAGCAAGCAAGCAAACAAGCAAACAAACAAGCAAGCAAACAATCAATCAATCAATCAATTTCACAAACAAACAATCACACCGACAAACAATCAAACGAACAAACAAGCAAACAAACAATCAATCAAGCAAACAAACAAGCAAGCAAGCGAGCAAACAAGCAAGCAGCCAACAAGCAATCAAGCAACCAATCAATCAAGCAATCAAACAAGCAAACACTCAAGCACACAAGCCAACAAGCAAACAAACAGACAAGCAAACAAACAAACAAACAAACAACCAAGCAAGCAAGCAAACAAACAAACAAACAAACACGCAAGCAAGCAAGCAAGCAAACAAGCAAACACACAAGCAAGCAAGCAAGCAATCAAGCAAACAATCAATCAATCAATCAATCAATTTCACAAACAAACAATCACACCGACAAACAAACAAACGAACAAACAAGCAAACAAACAATCAATCAAGCAAACAAACAAGCAAGCAAGCGAGCAAACAAGCAAGCAGCCAACAAGCAATCAAGCAACCAATCAATCAAGCAATCAAACAAGCAAACACTCAAGCACACAAGCCAACAAGCAAACAAACAGACAAGCAAACAAACAAACAAACAAACAACCAAGCAAGCAAGCAAACAAACAAACAAACAAACACGCAAGCAAGCAAGCAAGCAAACAAGCAAACACACAAGCAAGCAAGCAAGCAATCAAGCAAACAATCAATCAATCAATCAATCAATTTCACAAACAAACAATCACACCGACAAACAAACAAACGAACAAACAAGCAAACAAACAATCAATCAAGCAAACAAACAAGCAAGCAAGCGAGCAAACAAGCAAGCAGCCAACAAGCAATCAAGCAACCAATCAATCAAGCAATCAAACAAGCAAACACTCAAGCACACAAGCCAACAAGCAAACAAACAGACAAACAAACAAGCAAAAAACAAACAAGCAATCAAGCAAACAAACAAATAAGCAAGCAACATATCACCACGATCAATCAGTAAACAAACAAACACGCACACACGCAAACAAACAATTAAACAAACAAGCAAGCAAACAAGCCAACAAGCAAACAAATAAACAAGCAAACAAACAACCAAACAAGCAAACAAGCACACAAGCACACAATGAAGCAAGCAAAGAAAGGGAGGCTCAGAAGAAAGGCAAAACTCAAAAACAATGACGCGCCCAAACGTTCGAGTTGTAGAACCGGATCCAAGGAAGCTGGCCTCTCACTGGAGCTGCGATTCCTGGGCAGCTCGCGCCTGCCCAGGCGCCCCAATCCTATCTGGCCGTGGGTCAACACCAATGGTACCATTTTGGGGTAGGTGCACCACCCATTTTGGTCTATTTTAGTTGGGCTTGGGATGTTCACTGAGGGTACGGGATTTTGGCCCATGGCCATCTGGCAAGCCACTTAAGCGAGCCGCAATCAACGCCCGGGTCAGTGAGGGGTAGACTATCTTATGATGATCGCTCACTTCCTGAGTTCATGATTTTTATTTTATTTTCGGGAAGACCATTTTAGTGGTAAAACAAGTTTGGACTTTTTTGTTGGGCCATCCTCTCAGCCAGTGAGTGATGTTTTGGATTTGTGGTTTTGGGATTTGAACCCCTGTTTTACCCCTCGTGATCTCGGTGCAAATTCCCGGCGGGTTTTCAGTATATTTTGAAGAATCCGGTTTCCCATGGTAAATGCATCTCCGCCTTTGCGCCAGCTGTCATTGGACATCATACCCTGCTCAATGAAGTCGTCCCTAGAATTCAATGCTCAAAGGACCCAATTAGCATGAATCTCAATCTCCTGAAAGCTAAACAACGGTTACATGATCCCAACCACTGTTTCAATGGTACTTTCAATCGCATTTGATACAGTCATGGGAGTGACCCACTGGTATTTTGCTCAGGGAGCGTGGGGTGAAGCCCTTTGTGTTCAGCGACAGGCTGAGTCGGCTCCACTTCTTCGCAGAGAGCGTCCAGGATGAAGTCCTGCTGCAAATCCCCTTGGGCCGTTTGCGGAGGCACATGGGTATGGGTCAAGATTAAACCACCAGGGACTGCACATGTTAGTCTACGTTTCCACTTGCCAGGTTCCATTTTGGGTACCTATTCTTGACCCACAGCCACATGGAAACGGAGGATCGGAGGGTTCCGGAAGACGACTTTTCTTTCATGGAGCCTCGATCGAAAAGTGGTTGGAGAAAATGCAAATAAGGCGGCAACTCTTCAAAGAAGGAATGCGAGGGCACTTTTGGCTTCCCTAAGAGGTGTCGACCCCTTCCGTTTGAAGGGTCCGGCTGGGCGCTTGGGTTGATTTTCGAATGGTGTTCAAGCAACTTTGTCCCAGAGGCCTGTTTGATGGCGAATGCCAGTAGAACCATTTGTAAATTGAGGGGCTGTGTACACATCCCCAGAGCTGCCGCGGGTTGCTTCCTTTTCAAGCTTTTTGTTGGAGGGAACTCCTTTAAACTTAAAATGCCAAGGGGTGTACATGGTGTGACCCAAAACTGCGACCCCTTTGCTTTCGATCCCGAAACACGGAACTTGCCACCTTCTCGGAGTTGCTACTGTGCCTTTTCTTGTTCCTCCACCCCTTGTGTCCCCCCAAAAAGACACATTTCCGAAAGTTGGACCTCTTTCTTTCTTGCTTGTGATGCTTGGTGACCCCACCTCGTTCAGAACAAATCATTCTAACATTGCAGCTTCGGTTGGTCAACCCTCAGCCTCCAGCACCACGCCTGTTTCTTGACTCGGCCAAAACGGCACTTGGGTGTTCAAACCACTTTGTAACCGGGCTCGAACCAGGGTGTTGTTTGGGACTGTCCCCAGCCCAGTTCTCTTCAAGATTATATCCAATTCAGTTGGCTGATCATCCCAGGGAAGGGAAGCCTGTGACCCCTTTGCTTTGAGGCTCACCAAAAACTCAAGGTCCTCACCAGCAAGTTTTGGCCCTTTGCTTTGAGGCACACCAAAACTCCGGGTTAGCCAAAAAGGGGTTTTCAACTCTTGGTGGGTCCCGGCCATCCCCTTAGCCTTTTAGCCTTTTAGCCTTTTAGTGTTTAGTGGTATAGTTTCCATTCAGCCCACTAAAAGTTAAACTTTTAGCGGGGGATCTGAAAACGGGCAGCCCAGAACTGCCTGCGCTTTCGGGAGGCCGCGCTTGTACATCTTCGGCATCAACTTCGACATCATGCGGCGCACGGCGATCCCCAATGTGGGGGACAGCCATGGCAGCCTGGCCGCAGCCGAGCCATCGAAACTGGCAGTCGGGTTATCCGAGGTCTGTCATCGTTTGAGGTACCCCGTGTTTTGTGACTTTTAAAGGGAGCCCTAAAAGGAAAAACCGATCACCCAAATACCTAGAACTTTTGTTGGGGAATGTCAACTTTGGATTTTAAGAAGGAGGATCTCAATAGTCAGGGCACCCCTTCAATTAGGTCATGCCCTAGGCGAGATCTGAAGTTAAAGTTGTATTTTGGACCTGGTCGTCCTTCAAAAACTCAGGGGTCGGCCTCATAGCCCAAGCGTTATTTGCTCGAATTGGTGGTGTGGATTGCTTTGGATTTGAAGCCCTGGGTTTTCAGGAGGTAAATGGGAAAACACCTCCAACCTCCAAACCCCAAATCAAAACATCCAAATCAGGGAGAGCTGAAGTTGGCATTTGCGTGCCGAGCCGCAATGAGCATACCACACCTATCAGCCAAATCTAGAGGTCAGTTTGGGATATGGGACCTCTAAAGCTCGACAACGTCCATGTAATTACCCGGGAAGTACCCTGCCACCCACTAATATGGGGGGAATCCTGGAAGACAGTTTGTCCTCCAAAAGGGACCTACCTCTGTTGGGCTCCATGTTAGGTGTGAGGGTTAAACAAAACCATTGGGGTATGTCACCTGCTATGGAAGTACGGCGGATGGACACAATCCACTTCGCGCCACTTTTGATAAACCCTAGGGAAACCACTTACTGCTGCCTGGCGCGGATTTGTGCATCCCATCCTGTTTGGTACAGAATACCCTCCCACACTAGGGTCCCCTTTTAGAGGAGAATGGTTTTCTAACAGCGCCCTGGTCAGTTTCCATGTTCGGGAGGTGATTTTGGTTGCGCTACTTGTTCAGTTCCTGTATAAACGACTGCCCTAAGCATGAAACGGCCCTGACAACGGAGGTCCCCAAGACCCCCTGAGGGTCCTGTCTGATGCTAAGGCGCCATGTTTCTGGACCGGGACTTGCTGCGGCTTCCTGGCGAGCGCGTGAGTTTCATGGGGGTTTCGCTTGGATTCACACAGGTGCAAAGGTGCTATGGATCATCAGATTTGAGCCATAGTCAACACCAGGCATAGAAAGTGGTAGCAATTAAGGGATAATCCCAACCATAAATGGGTGCAGCCGGCTTCTTAATTCTTTGCCTAATTTTGGGTACACCAGTTTAGTACCAGGTTTTGGTGACTGATTTGGGTGTGTCCTTGTTTAGAGGACCCCCAACATGATGGTTTTCCCTGCGCTTTCTTTGAATTTAAGAAAGCCTGCTCAAAAAGGGGTCCCGCAAAACACAGACATACCCGTTTCAGCAAATGCGGAAGGGCGACGCAGAATGAGATTCCAAGAACATAATGAACATACGCAATCAAATTGGGCCCTGAAAAAGGATGTTTCTGAAGCACTTGTTTTACGATCTTCTTGACTTGACACGGAGCACCCACTTTCACATCTCCTGGTTGCTCACCTTGAGTTTCCTTTGCGGAAGATGGTTGTCGACATCTTGAAACCAGCCATGGTTGCAACATTTGCTCAAGCAACCAATTCTTGATCCCCTTTGAAGGCGAGCCATCAAGATGTTGTTTGAATAAAGGGTGTTTACTAAACATGTTCATTTGCGCCACTCAAAGACGTCGGCCGTGACCGGACCCAAAGCTCTAAAGAAGACACTGAGGCCTTATTTGAGGCTTTGTTTGTCCCTATCACTTAACCGAACCCTTCTGCACTCCTTCCACGTGAACTTTGTGTGAGTGGGATCTCAAGTGTCCCCATTGTTAGCCCCCAACTTAGCCCTTTCCTAATTCACTCCTTCCAGATCTTCAGCAAGATCCTGTTGGGCTTTCAAGCAAAATACGGGTCACAAAGACATGCGTCGGTTTTCTTTTAGAGGAAGCTCTTCAGCTGCAAGGGGCCAAGGGTCCCAGTTCAACTGAGGCTCTACGTCATGGTGCGAGGCCACGGCGAACCAGCCGACGCCAACCAGGGTTGTCGTGCTTCTTTAAAAAGCAAAAATCAATCACGTACCTCCGTCACTGGAAGCTCACTTGGCTGTGGGTCAAGAATAGGTACCCAAAATGAAACCCTGGTAAATGGAACCAAGGACTAAAACCTGTGGTTCCCTGGTGGTTTCATTTTGACCCATTCCCCCTTGACCAAATCGACCTTATTGACCTTTTGCTTTCCCGATTTTGGTCCACTGTAAAGGTCCCGAAAGGTGAATCTTTAGTTTTAGGTCCTTTGGGGTGAGTAACTTCATTACTTGACAAGGGCTCAGAATGATCAGGCCTATGAATTTGCCCCCCAAGGTCCGAATGGTTCCACTCGCTTGCGGGTTCGTCAGTCCAAAGCAGAAATTTAAATTATACCCCCTAAATGGGTGGTTTAAAGGGAATCCACAAAGGGTCCCAGATGAATATTTTATATCTTCACTTTGACCCAGTCAGAAAGCTTCCACCCAAACGGGAAGTTGAGAATGGGTCCCTTGCCTTTGGACGCCACGGCAGGCTTCTCGAGAGGGATTGACCCGAATTGATAAACAGTCCCGTATGATTTCCCAGGATATCCCACGGTTCAGTCTCAGAACCCCGGAAAAGAAGACAAAGACCAGATTCCCGATGGAGCCAGCAAGATGCGGCAAATTTCGGTTGAATTGAATGGTTAAGCCAAACGCAAAGTTTGAACCAACCACTCCCAGTTCAAGCAGGGCCCAAGGAGGAACTGGTCGCTATTCGGGTTCTTCGTTGGGCGGGTCATGACCCTCGGGGTACATGGTTTGTGGAACGGAAAGCCAAGTTTTACAAGGCAAAAGGTGACGGGCCTTCAATTGGTAGTTTGGATTTGGATTTGAACCCTCTGGGTCTTTAGGGTAAAATTGGGTTTCTCCACCCCTAAGCACCAAAACCCAAAACCAACACCAAAAACCCAAAACCCAAAACCAAACCGTTTGGAAGGAAGCCGACTTTGGCTTGGGTCGAAGCAAGTGCTTGCGCGGCTTCGGAGGTATGCCTGGAGGTCTGCAGGGGCAAGGGGTGTTGCTGCAACTTCTGGAAGTCTTTGAGGCGGAAGTGGCCTGGGGCCTCAGCTCAGACTCGCGCTGCGCTGAGGGAAGTTGAGGGAAGTTGTGGGAAGTCGGGGAGGTGGGAAGGTACAAAAGAATCTTCCCGGAGCTTAGGGCCGTCGAGGCAGTTGTCTTGGGAAGGATTTTCCTTGGCCCAGTTGGCGGCTCAGGGTTTTTTGCATGGCCGCTGCAAGCGTCGGTACTGTCTTGGGGACAGCCGCGGTAAGTTTCAAGTTTTCAGTGGTGGAAGCAGGAGCAGAGGCTCATGAGATTAAGAGCTCAGGATGTCACTATTGTAGATGGTGGTCATGACTTGCAGGGTTTACCCTTGTTGATGGAACTGTCGAGACCCGCCAACACTGCAGAAACCCTTTGCAGGGGAGTCCCTTGATGATCCCAACGGGTGCCTGCGAGTGCCTGAAATCAAGAGTTCGGTCTCACAGTCACAAGGCTCCCTAGATTTCCCCTTTCGATGGTTTTGAAACATCCCCTTTTGGCCCGATCTAAAGCGAGTTTTCCTTTTGAAAGAGTGAGATTGAAGAAGGAACTGTAGGGAACCTTTGCCAAAAGGTGATGTTTCAGAATGACATATTTCGGGAATCGTGCCCTCGGTTTGTTGTTTGCTTGGAGTCACTGCACCGGCAAGTCGAGCCATGTGACTTGATTTTTCCTCCTGGTCAGCACGAAAACCTGGGGGCTGGAGAAGGAGGGGGCTGATGCCCCTCGATGAGTTGATAGCCCACTTGCCACTTGTGAATCCAAACCCTTTGCTTCAAAGGCGGGGCCCGGCCCGGGTGCTTGTGTAGGCTTTGTCTGGAAAATGACGGCCTTTCCCACGCAAAACATCATTCCCCTCAACTCAAGCGTTTGGGGCTTTTTGTTTGTTCCGCTTCTCGGGTTACAGCCCAGAGGCAAGCCTTATGCTCAAAGCCAGCCTGCAGACCCACAGGAGAAAAACAAACACCTTTCCGGACTTTTGGGTTTGTTCCCCACTTTTCTTTCAGAGGACTTCCTGCCCGCTCGTTTTTTTTCCGCCTGCACAGGTATTTGGCCAAGCCAACTGGTCGGGTCCGGTCAAAGCATCGGTTGCTCAGGTGGTCTTTGTGCCCCTGGAGGAGTTCAGCGAGTTTGTCTTCGTGGCAGACGTGTCGAGGCAACGTTTGGGGGGACTTCCGGTTGGGGATGCTACTGGCAGATGCCATCCTTGGCTGGTAAAACCAAAGAACACAATCATGACAACTTGGCATTTTTGGTGAATCCCTGTTTTTGTTTGGGTGCTTGAAACGCGAGGTGAAGGGTAAATGCGAATAAGTGTTCAGTCAGGGGTTCACGGATCAGAGTGTATGGGAAAGACGGGTGGAACCGGGGCGTGGCCCTAGGTCTTGGAGAAGGTTGGAGGGCAGCGAACACTAAAAAGGAGGCTTTCTGATGAAAGGCTCACGAAAGGGAGGCCTTTTATGTTCAACCAAAAGGGGATACAAAAGGCACCCTCTGAAAACATGAGTTCCAGGTTCGGTCATGGAAGGTGGCTTTAACATGGCTTTAACTGGTTCACGCTGGATTCCCCATAATGCAGGTCAAGGGACCGCTGGATTCGACAGGTTCCATGTGAGCACCTCCTGGTATGAACCGTGATCATTCTTGCCAAATTATTCTGTAATTATGCACCCAACACATGTCCAACATCGCCAGGGTTCATGCATCGGACACATGCAATCAGCCTTTGAATCACGACCATTGAATTTGTAGCCCACCGTGGTAGATGCACAAGTCGATGGGTTTTGGGCCTACTCCCGTGTTTTCAGGGGTACTTTGGATTGAATGATCGTAATAGCCACAGGCTGAAATGGACGAGTTTGCAGCACAACCCAGATTTGTTTTGGAGGGCCTCCTGCCAATCCGAAGCTGAGGGAATCCTTGTTTGGGTTGTTTCACCAGAACCCAAAGGAAAACCCCACATTTCATGGCTGCTTCTTGGACAGAATGTGGGTTGTCGGCGTGGGAAAACGCGTTGTTGCCCTTGAGACGAACTGAAGTGGACATTGCCTCGAGAAGAGCTCAGAAGGTGAGATGTTCAGGTGTCAAATTCCACATTGAAACTGTTTCTCCTGACTGCTTTTTGATAAGCCAGCAACCAAAAGAGGGGCTCTCCTTGAAATTGAACCGCAAAGGAGATTCTGCAAGCCCATCTGGCCCTGGCCCCAATTTACGATCTCGTTTGGACAAACCGGAGCTGACGCCCTTTGGTCAGGCTTGAATGCTGAACCAAAGCCAAAACTCAGCAGACTCAGCAGACTCACATTGCCCCCCCTAGGCATCTGACAGGACCCTCCATTGCAGGAATCGAGCCAGACCTCCATTGCACGGTTGACCTCAAAAAGGCTTCTTGCCTTTTTGAGGCTCGGCCCGCTTGATGGGAAATGGGCCTCAGTGGCTGGCCTCATTGTTTTACCATGCTCAAAGTCACCCCCCAAGTGGTGGGTAAAGGGGAAACAAACCCCATTTCTGACTTTGATAACCCCCAGAAACCGTCAAAATAATGACCCCTGAGTGGGTCTGGCGCACCAAAACGTCTCCGGAGGTCCTTGAACGTATCCCAAGACCGCGTGGCGCTGGTGGACATCCGCTACGACGGCCAGAAGTGGCTCGCGGGGCCCAACGGCCGACGCTTGGAGATGGTGGCACCTCGGCTGTGAATGGCGCGCGCTGGAGGCCATGGACCGCTTCTGGACCCATGGGGGTGGCTCAAGATTCAACCACCAGACCGCAGGTTGGAGTCCTTTCCATTCACCAGGGCAAGCCATTGTGGGTACCCATGCTTGAGCCACACCCAGAGTTCACCTTTTTGAGGTCAGGCTAGATTTTCCCCCACCTACACGTTCTGTTTGCCTTGAGTTTCCCGTGCCTTTGTTTTGAGAGCATTTTTGGGGGGTTGTATTTGCGCCGTCCGACTCGGCTGAGGATACTCTGCGCATCAAGTTTGAGGTCTCTGAGGAGTGTCAGGGGGATCCGGGTGGCTATGCGTTGATTTTTAGGGAACCCTGTTTGGATGGTTTAAAAGGGAAACCAAAATGGAAGCCATGTGTTGGGTGGGTTCCAATATTTTTCAGATTTTTTTCAGAGAAACCTGCATCCAGGGTTATAAGTTATAACCTACAAGTACCCGATGTTGGTGCTTCATAGGGGTCTCAACAGGAACCTTGGGGCTCCCAGGTAAGTGGCATCACTTACGCACTTCCGTTGCGGAAACTATGGGGAACCTGGAACGCGAACCAAGCTCCAGGCTTTTTTTGGCCCAAAACGTTTTCGCTCACGCACCTGCGAAAACAAGGCTTCTGCTTCCCAGCTTGGTCGAGCATCCAAGGGTATGGCAAGCGTGAATTTCCACGCAAACATCTTTTGTCTTGCAGATTGTTGGTTCCATTTTTACACTTTTCACTTTGCAGGAAATGATTTTCTTCCACCAAACAGCAACAAGTCGAACCTTTCGCACCGGGGAATCGATTCGGTATCTCCTGCGCTAGGATCCCGACAGCCTCAGCGCTTTTGCCACTCAGCAGGGAGGGAGGGGCAGTCGGCAGTCGGCAGGCGCTCGCCGTCGCTTGGTTTGTGCTTGTCGAGCCATCAGAACCGGGGTCCCAGGCGCTTGTTGGACTTGCTTGGGGTTTTGAACATGACAGTGAGGGGGCGGCAGGGGGGTGGGGGGGTGGGGTTGTTATGCTCGGTTTGGTTTTGGACCCCAAGTAAGGTCAGTGGATGATGGAGCGCCAAGGTTCCTTTGGGACGCCTCGTCAGGTACGTTGCAACCATGAATAAATAGCTTTGTCTCAAAATAATGGAGCCCCCAAAATGAGTGGTTTCATGTTAGTTTCCCAAGAAAAACCTACCCAACGTTTTGTTGGGCGTCCCCAGCCTCCAAGCTATAAACCTGCCACAATAGCCTTTTGCTTAGTCTCCACCAATACTATGCCACTCTTAAACCCATCAAGTGTTCAAGGTGTTCAAGCTCACAAAAACGAAACTGACGCTGCGTGTTAAAGTCCTATTGCCCAGCGGACCGAAGAGGTTCTCCCCAGCTTCCTGTTTCCAAATCGGTTGGCTGGGAAGAGTCTCAGCTTTCTGGGTTCGGACCTTGAGAGCGGGGGGGCCCTTTGCTGCTCAGGGGAATCCATTCCCCTGGATGTGAAGAAGCCTTGAAAATTCACTCAGCTCGTTTGGACCGACAATCTTTGCCTTACTCGCGGTTTCATGGGCACGTTTCTGCTGAGTGTGTGTGGTTTTCTCCTCCAATTTGAGGCATGCCCTGTGTTGCTTTACTTTGTTTCTTGTTTCCTTGGAATTTGTTTCTAGCAGGCTGTCTTTCCCGCCATGTTGACTGATATTTATCCATATTCTTCTCACATATTGGATTTAGTTGTTATGTTTCCCACTCAGGACCTTATACCCAAATGGGCCTTGCTTTCCGTTTGCACATCTTGACCCAGAATTCAGTTTCATGGCTCGATTCTGGCGTTCGACTGACTTGTGGGTCCCGATGATTGCTGACAGCTTCGGAGGTCCAAGCAAAATGGACATGCAGGAGCATTCATGCGCCCTAAGTTGATCTTGCTGAAGAAGCTGCAACTATCAGCTTTTCAGCCTTTCTTCCACAATCAGACCCAGGGTTCCAAAGCCACTCCACACCCCAACTTCGTTGGCGGTTTTATTTGAGGGCCACATTTGTGAGTATCCAAAATCCAACATAGATCCGTGAATTGCGAGATGTAAGAGCCCCGAGATGGTGAATCCTGGGTCCAGGTGTAAGAAGCCCATAGGTGTCCTTTTTGGTTGTTTTGCTAGAAAATAGATGGCCCTGGTGGTTTAATCATCCACCAGGGCCATCTATTTCCCCTAAAAGGACACCTATGAAGAAGCCACCCCACAAAATCCCGCCAAGCCATCCCCGGGCCAACTCCGTGGGAGCCGAAGCGAGGCGCTGTCGGACAGGGCCTGGGACCCTCCGGGCGCCTACAACGCCTTCTTCGAGGAGTCGCCGCGGTAGTCGCGTTTCGCAGTTTGGGGGCGTCACTGGCGTATGTGGCCGTGGGGAACAACCTATACTTCCATTTGGTTAAGAATATTTGTTATTTTCCCCTGTTGGTTTTAAAGGGAATCTATCACTAATTATTGGATTTGTTTATTATTATTTTTCCAGGGGACTCAAGCAAATGGAGGTATGGCTCCATTTTGGGGCGGATGAACATCGATTTGCCACCTATTTTGATTTTTGATGTTCACCAGGGGTACAGGGTTTTGACCCACATCTGTGTGTCAATGGGCACCTCAGATGAATTAACCTCCCTACTTGATGTTTTGCCCCAACGCCTGAAGGCTAGCAGATGGTCTCCGCGGTGGTCCAAGGCAGCTCTGAGGCGAATCCCTGGGCTTAGTGTGTCGGTGTCCCTGGCTTTAGTGGTTGGAATCCGACTCTAGAAGGGGAAGTGCCCTCCTATTAGTCAACTGGGGTGGATTAATATGGCCATGCATTTTAGTAGGGAACCACCTCAAAAATGATAGGTGGACATGAATCCCCACCTAAATGATGTCCACCAAAGGGTCCCTTATTAAAATTCATAGCCATATGGGGTCAGCGTTTTGGAGCACTGTCCTGCAGTCACCAACTCGATCGCCGTCTTTGCCCGCAGGACAACGTGCAGTCACAGCCCGCAGAGGCAGGAGTGTGCTCGGCTGACTCTATGAGCTCGCAAGTTTGACCCCGACAAATTCCAGGTGGTCGTGGTTGGGAAGCCTGAATCAGCTTGGGCCCACCCTAGACACAAGTAATAGTATAGTTTGCCCAAATTTGCTGTTCATGGCTGAAGGCTTCTGAGTGTTTGCGTGGGAGCTCGGCCGCAAAGGTGTCCACGCCTTTGAGACAAATCGGAAACCCAGTCTCGTAGTGGGTCTTCCTGTTAATTTGAGAGGTTTTCCCTTGAACATCAAGTGCCAAACAAGTCGCCCTTGTTGACATTGAGAAAGGTTTGCTGGGGAATCTGGCGTATGCTCCCCTTGCCGTGAGAACAGAAACCCCTTTGGTAGGTCCATCTAAGGCCCCTCTTATCCCGCCCCAAAACATGGGGTTTCTTCAAAAACAAGGGGTGCGTTTTCCCCTGAAGAAGTAGATCTTATGCTCGTTCTATCCAACCAACCGAAGTGACCCTACTTCCTTCCCCCTTCCCCTTACATACTCCCTGCTTTTCTTTGGGGCATGCCGTCAAATGGCGTCAGCCGCTGACTGAAAGCCGGGATAGAACCATGTTCGTCACCCTAAACCCCAAAAGACCGCAAAAAGTTCTGAAACCCAGAGAGTATTGGAGATTTTTCCCAAGACCTTCAGATGGTATTTGGAGGGGGTCGTTGTTACTTGATAAGTTCCCCTCTGACCATCTCGCTCAGGCCGAGGCGATCTCTGGCATCCGCAACCTGTCCACCACGTTTCTGGTGCTTCCGCTTCGAAGCCCCGCAGTCGGGCTCCGTCTTCAAGTATTCGGGAGCTTTGTTTCGAAGAGTATATTCATTTCTGCAAACCAGGCGGCGGTTTTAGTATTTGGTTGATTTTGGTTGACAACTATCCACTTAGGAAAAGAGACAGTATAGACAATTTTCTTGTTTGGTGGGAGAGGTTTTGTGACTTGCATGGTTTGTCCTGCACATTTCTCCAGTCCCCCAGCATGCAGTGGATTCATCTTCGAAATATGCAACCATCATCATAAACGATTATCCGGGGAGTCGGCGTTGTTTGTTGCTTGGATTCCGTTGCGCGGATTCCTTAAGACTTGAGGGAAAAGGTTTCGATGTGAAGCCTCCCCTGTGGAAGTAATGTGTTGCCAGGACTCCCCCGGCCCAGCAACGGCTATCAAACGGCCAGTTGACAGCGTTAAACTGCGCTTGGCACGTGTGGTTTTTGAGATGTATTGGTTTGATTTGATAAACCTGAATATGTGTGCTGCATACGCCACCTTTCTTTACGAAACAATACCAATAATTAGGCTTGTTCAGAATATTTGGAGTTCGATGTTTCGCTAGTTGAGTAAGACTATAGCAGATTGCTGCTTCATTTTCAAGACCTGGTTTGATGCCCGGCAAGAAAGGATGCGGGTTTGGGTTCGGCCCTGGCCAGCAAAGCTTCAATACAGGCTTGTGTGTGAAATCCCTCGTCTCATGGTTGTCAGGGCCACCTCCAATAGAAGCACCCAAAATGAATCCTGTTAGCCCCTGAGGGCTATGGGGGAGAGGCATTTAAAGAAGTCGTGCCTTTCGTGAAACGTGCAGGAACACGCTACGTAGTTGAATCATTTGTTCCGCTCGTCGGGTACTTGAAGGTGTTTTTTGTTGATATGGGGTCAACATTATTTTAGTCACTTTTAGCCTTGCTGGGATTGGGGCACCGGTGAAGGTGCCAGAACTCCCACCCTCCACGACAGCTTGTTGGATCCTGGAGTAGGGGTCAAGGGGCTTGAAACAGCAGGCGTTTCCCTGGCTGCCCTACTATGATGTTAACCTAGTGGCACTTACCAAGTGGGTGTGTCTTTTGGGGTATTTCTTTTTGGGTGGTTTTCATGGGACACACCCAACTGGCGTGACCATCCAAGCAGCTGACGCCACTGCCAGCCCAACGTCCGGCGCATTTGGCTCAGGCTCGTGGTGCTTTACGCTTGGCGAAGCCAAGGTAAAGACATCCCGGGGCCTCAGTTTCGACCCGAAATACCACAAAGTGCTTTGGCAAAGTTAACTTGGCAAACTTGCTGCTCATCGCAGGCATTGGATTGGGCGCGTATATTTTCAAGGAAAATCTGGGACACGTAGCTTCAGGCGATTTGCTTCCTGTTTTCAACAGAACTGAGCCAAGACTTCAGAAAGAGGAATGGCTGGCTTTTGATGAGCAGACGAGATCAAAGATGGACTTCAAGCCACCCCCAAAGGAAATACGGGTTTCCCAACTCTATTGGATCCTCGGCCATCCCTCGTGGCAACTTCCAACTTTAGGCCTGTTTTAGTAGTTGTTTGTCTGGAAGATTGCAGTTATGAATGTACCATGAGTGTATCCATAGATCTCATCAAAGTCAACCTCTCAAGAAAGCAAGGAAAAAGGCACAACTAGTGAGTCCGTCCACCCTAAAGATAGCACACAGCCAGCTTCCACATGAATTCGCTCAGCTCGCAGCCCGGCTAGCGCATGTTCGAGGCCCTTCGGTCGGCGTTTTTGGGTCCTTAAAAGCGATCCTTCGGGCAAAACGACCGGCACTAAAGTGCTCCAAGCCAAACCTTACCCCCTGCTCCCAATACCAAGTCAAAGGCGTTCAGCCCTTGACCCCCCCCCAAAGAAAAAGTATTTCCCATGGACAGCCAGGTTTTTCCAATTATGCACCCAAAAAAAGAAGTGGGTATTTGGAGTGGAGGCAGGCGCGAACTGGCCAACGTATTGTCATTGTTTGGCGCTCAAAATGCTGACACCTTTGAACCCGCCCTTTGCCAGCCCCTCCTCCAAAGGACTGCTTTTTGAACACTACGGTTACAGGGAGGAAACGAGGCATCTTTTTTTGGTGTCGCCTAGGTTTCAGGCACAGCCACTTGGGGTTTTGAACTGAGAAAAGGCAGTTGGGTGCTGGTGTGAGCTGTGCGTGAGAACCAATGCCAAACACCCCAAATCCACCAGTTGCCAGTTGCGGCCTGATCTGATCTTTGTCGCGCTTCTCCTAAGCCGACCTTTTGAACTGAACTGTTAGCCTTTTACACACTTCCCGGGTTCCTGGACTTTAAGCTTTTTGGGAAGACCAGTTTAGTGGTAAATAAACAGTTCGGACTTCTTGGCCAATCACTCAGGAAGTGAGGTAATCTGCATTTAGATGCCACAATGCTAGCCTGTTGTGTATTCTGTTGCAGGTCCTTTGGGCATGTTGTGCAATTCGGAGTCCACGTGTGGCGGTGTCTCAAAATTAAGGAGCTAGGGTTACGCAGGTTTTAGTCTTTGGTTCCATTGCCAAGCGCGGTCAGAATTTTCGGAAAAGGAGAGTAGTCTACACTTGGACATCCCTGTAGCTCAAGGTGCTTGAAACCATGGAAAACGATAGGGGACTCAAAAAAACAATACCTTTGTGCTACAGACCAAACGCTGGAAAACGATAATTAGGGCACTCTCTAAATTCGAACTTACTTACTGTGAACAACAAATTTTGACGGAACTTCACCAACGAAGCCGACCAACCTTGTTTGTGATAAGGTTCTGCACCACACATCCTGTGTTTCGGGCATGTTTCCAAGCGCTGCTTTCACATTCAACCTACAAGAGCGTTGTGGTCCCGCTCCCATCAGCACTTTGAAAGGCTCCTAGAGACAGGATGTCTCCTTTGCTTAGTCGGCCCAGTGAGGCCATGTCTTGAGGAAGGGCAACCGGCCTTTGACAACCAACGGTGGAACATGGCGTTTTGGGCTAGCCTCTTGCGGCTATCAACGCCTGCGATGCTGATGCAGGTGTTAGCCCCCTGAAGAAAAAAAACACCACACGGCAGCCACAACCTTCCACTGGAGGTTCCGAACCCTTCAATTCTGGGTCCAAGGATGTGAGTGTTAAACACTTCCCTCCTAAATTGTGACACCCCCGATGCGGAAACCACCATGAACTTCACTCTTGGCAAGTTGCCTTGGTCCGGTTCCTTTTTGCGCCGATGGGGCCGCCAAAAAAAAAACAAACAGTTTGTGGCAGCCATAGCAAGGCTCGAGCCAAACCATTGGAGGCTCGAGGCTCCTGTCTGCTTTCGGCATCAACTCGCCTGCCAGGCGCTCTCGACATGTCCGAGGCTGGGAGCCCAGAGGCTCCGGGAGTGCGGATGCCTTCGAATGTAGGAGTCCTTCTTTTCTTTTTTTCCTTCGGGCGGGGGGGGGGGGAAGGAAATGTGTTTTTGTCCTTTGGGATTCGGTTTCATGTTTTTTGTGTTGTTCTTTTTGGTGAAAAGGGTAGTCTGCAAAAAGCAAGACGCCGTCTGACTGAGAGCTGTGGAATGA